TGTCACATCTTGAGAATTACTTATTATAATTGAATTTTACAATTTGTTTCCGTTTTCGTTCATGATTTACTACTTCAGAAATGTATAAAATCGAATTACAGTTGCGTTAATGTTGAGCTGCTGAGCTGCTGAGTGACTGTCAGTGTAAATTGATTACAACACAAAAACAACAAAAAATAATAAGTAAGACGAAGAAAAAGAAGAAGAAATGAATGAAATTTTGATTTTATTCCATTCGTAAGCTCAAGATCAAATTAATTTTCTCCATTTCAATTTGACTGCATTTCAAAATCCATTCACATGAAATGACACAATGAGACTAATGTGACATTGGTAATAATTTACAAGAACAAATTCCCAACAAGTGTCACAGTCCTAAGCGAGAGTGCTTCTGAAGCGAAAGTGCTCTTTTAGTATTTATTCGTATTTTGTACAATTGCTATTGCAAAAAAGGTTAGTATGATAAATGACAATATTTAAATTATAAATCTTTTATATTGCAATTGAAATCCTTCGTTCGTGCCGGTGGTCAAATAGTTTAGTCAATTTTCGAAAAACGAAATGAGCTATCCACGAAGGCGCTTAATTTTCATTGTTATACCGTAGCTTTCATAATCTTAATCAATTCATTTGTAATGTTCAGTCTATTCCCATCGCAATGCATATAATATTCCTTCGCATCTGATCATTTAAATTAATTGTATGTAATTTACATAATAATAAACTAAACGGTTTCAGCTCCACCGAATGAACCGAAAAATAAATGTGGGTCCGTTGTTGGATTGGTGTGCCTTTAATTTGCTATTAGCATTGCCATTGTTGTTGTTGTTTTATTTATGTAACTTGAAAACCGTTCTCTCATATTTATTGAGTAACTTTCGCATTCATTTTCCTCACATTTCCCTTTGAACAATTTTTCGATGGGAATTTTTCGCTTATCTTCATCGACGATGTGCGGAAATGCGTTTTAATATGAATAATTGATGAGTAATTTAAGTTTTTTACGAGTAAAGTAAGAGTAACTCAATATTCGAAGTTCATGACTGAATCATCCAAACATAGAGATGAAGTCAAGGTTATTTATTATTCTCTCTTCGTAGCGGAGGATGAACAAAGTTCAAACGTTATATTTTTGTTTCAAACCGGTAAAATGCACTTGATGCTTGTTTGTAACATTTCCAACATCAAAGGGACTTTGTGAGCAACAGAAAAAAAATGTGTTGCTACTTTAATTTACATTCGAAAACTTATTTTGAATAGATTAATGGCGTATCTATGTATTTTGTTCAGCCAATTAATGCGATGCATACGACTTTTATTGCTGCAAAAAATACAGTGCACACAATTTCCTGGAGTGTAAGATGAAAAATGTGAAAATGATTAAACTCATGAATGAATGAATGAATGCATAAACTATGGCATGAAATTGCTAACATCGTTTGTATAACATACGTTTTAAATCCATCCGGGAACATTACGCTTCATGAATGAATATTGGAAAACCAAGAAAATAACATCGAAATTTTAGCATAGTTTCTTAATTCAAAGCACTCGCATACTTCTTTTTGCGCCAAATGTCCGCTGCATAACGAAAAACATTGCACCACTTGTATATTACAAACAGTATTGATAATAATAATGCTTTCGTTAGTTAAAATGCGATGGGTTATGTGTCATTTACATGTTTCTGGAAGATTTTCCGAGTGTACAAAGAATTTACTGAATATTTTATCACGTTCACATGAAGCAGTTATGTCGTGCACTAAAATTCAAAATAAGTGTCTCATTTTTTTTGCATACCCTCCACAAACTGAAGAAAATGCATGACCACATCTGAGTGTGAGTTCAAATATTATGTTGTGCACAGATATATTCAGGTGCATACGATCAGCATAAATCAAGATAAATGTCACATGCATTAACATTGACAACCACCTACGAAAATGGCAATGCTGTTTTGCATGTATGCAAAACTGCATAGAACATCATCTGCCATGACTGGTCACCAACAACTAAAACATTTCCAACACATAGCCAAAACCTTCAGCAAAAGAGCACACACACACACCGTTTTATTCACTGTCGTCTTTTCTACTATTACGTGTGCATATTTTACTATGAAAAAAATCGAATTTTCTACACATCGTACATGTGTAGTTTCATTAACAACATGGATAAGATTCTCTCACTTGTAATGCACACATCCAACATTACCGATTTCATCTCTTGAATATTTCTATGATTTTCGTGGGAATTTGCATAGAAATTACATAAAAAATGTCCTTATTTGATTGCATTTGTTTATTGCTATTGATTTCGATATTCAAAGATGCCGATAACAAAATAATTTCAATATAGTTTTGATAGCAGTTCGGAAAGTACGTATAATTTGTATATGAGTGCGATTCCGAGCAATCGATAGCGATGAGAAAAACTTTTGAGAAATTTGTTGTATCTATTCGATTTGGCAGTTTGTGTTTCCGCTGCCAAATGCAATCCCACTGGAGCCAATTGAAAAATATCAAGACCGAGCGAATAAGAAAATCGATAGAATGTTTAAAATGGAAACGTACACTTTGAACATATATACATTATACATACACACCCCAACACTAGTAGAAATAATAACAATTACCATTTCCGCTTTCGTAGTGTGGTGGGTATTTGCTTTGGCGTTATGAATCTTCTTAGTTATATGCGGTTTGAAAGTTTACTCGTGTGAAATGGTTAGGAACTGGCAAAGAGGCATGAACTGCGAAGAAAACTTTTCGAATTGTTTGCATTTCGATGCACTTTTGTTTGGCGAACATGGCATTTGTTATTTCAGCATAAAAATACAAAGTGTCCGATTTTTCTTTGGCAATAGTCACAAGAATGATTGGATAAGTGCTTTAGATATGGCAACTTAGAAACTTTTCACTGAAAAGCAAACGAAAAAAAAAAAAGGAAATGAAAAACAAAACGCAGAAGCGCATTGAATCGAAAAGTTGGCGACCTTTTATTCAATCTAACCAAATGAATGAGCACAACAATGCAATGTAAACATTTCGTATGCTGTGAAAAATATGCTTCCAATGAGTTTTATCAATTGTGATTCGCTGCAAACACACACATATATATATTATTATTATTGGTCGAGTGCGATGCTTTACAAACGGAAATCTTTGTTGTTTTAACAAAGAGAAATGCTCATAAAAATGTTGAAACTTTTGGCGATGCATTCGCTGCCCTTTTTCTCGTTTGATATCTCTCCAGACATGTTGGTGTTTACATTTCTTTGGTGGTGAAGAGGTGAATTGAACTACAATCGATTTTAACCACAATCTATCACGACAATGTCACACTTTTTCGTGTATGTTTGCATTTTCCTCTATCAAATCTCGAATATGCCCCTACATGTTGACAATTTTATGTGCCGGGTCGATTCATTTTTTCTTCTTCGCCGTATCCGTTTCATTTGAGTTTGCATGTTCGAACATTGAATACATTCATATTGGCAAATCTGAACAGTGCAAATAACATCAATTTTGATTTACGGTTAAATTCTCTTTCATTCGCCCGTATTATTGCAAATTGAACAAAAGCCAATTTGCACAGGCAAAAAAGAGAACGAGCAGAAGGGAAAAGAAGTGAAGTTTCAATGTTTTGTACGAATCTACAATGTATTTGTTTGCCTTGTATGAATGTGTAATTGTGTGTATGGTGAATTTATCGTACAATGGCTTTTAAATTTTCACAAACGCACAATGCACTTTGCTAAAATACAGATCAAATATAGAGAATGTGGAACCAATAAAAATAATTTCCATTCAATCGACGTACCGAATTCAAATGTCATCTATAAATTCTAATTTCTTCAAAGAGAGTAACGATTGAACAACCGATTTTAATGGCCATATCCATTCGCTTGGAATAGACTAGATGTATGTATGCACGTATTAGATTTGGTTTTATTGGCCACATTTCCACAGCGATAATAGAACAATTGAATGAAGCGGCAAAAACCACAGACTAAATAATTTTGAGAATGTTGACTAAAAACCTCATCACTTTTTGCTTTAACAAACCATTCGTAAGGCAGTTTTAAGGCTGTCGTGTTTAATCCCCTCGAACTGTGTGAATAGTTAACACACACCGCATTCAACGATACCACAACAGATGAAACAACAGTGTTATGCAAATACGAAACTAACGCAGATCTGTGGCTGGATAACAAATCCAAAAAAAAATGTTCAACAAAATAGTAGCTTTTGCAGTAAGGCAATATGAATTGAGCCAGATTTATTTATAATGTGGATCACGCAAACTGAACTGAAAAGTTATGATACGTATAATTTTAACTGAAAAAAAATACCAACTGTGTAACGATCGTATCATTTTCATATTCGAATAATAGCAAACAACCACCAACTATCATGTAAAATGGGGTTGTAAAAAGTTACCCACTTCCTGTTAAGGTAACTTTGAGAAGATAGACGAATAATTGTTTCGAAACTTTTACATCTTAAAAAGAAAGAACGAAAGAGAAATGGGTGGGGAAACGGTGAGAAATGTCACAAAACATCAAAATTGCGCCATACAGAAAGTTGATGTCGAGAATCATGTGGAAAATTGCTTCGTCACTCACACACATTGCTGAAACTTTTTTGATTGACACTCAAGTTTTCATGTATTGTACATGGTTAGACTTTGAGTTTTGCGGATCAAGACAGAAGATTTGCGAACTATATACTGTGAAATTTGCATCCGTGGACAAATTGTCAATTTGCGATAATCAATTTTAGTAGAAAATTTGCTGATTGTATAGTTTAAATAAATTTTCCATCCGGTCGTGATGTTGCCTAATGACATGACAACACTATCAGCATTATTTTAAATGGCTCATATTCACTTTCTCGCTCTGGCTGTCTGTCTGTTTATCAATTCACACGACCAAAACTTGACTGACTGAAATCACAGAAAAACAATAAATGTTTGAAATAATGACAAGAAAAGTTACGTCCTTTTGTTTACTTTTATTTTGTGTTTTTGTAGTACATGTGTCATTTTAATATTTTTTTTTTAAACATAACGAATACAATTTTATAACTTCAATGTATGCATTAATCATATCACCGAGATCGGTTCATCAGAATAAAAAAATGCACATGTAAAACATGTTGATAGTTTTTGCTTTCGATTTGTAAGCACGAAGAGTCGAATAGAAGCAAATGCACTAACATCGATGAGAAAAAATAATAATAATAAGAAACATTGAATTATTATGGATCTATTTTGTGTTATAAATGGTTCTTACGACGTGAATCAAAACAGTAAAAATATTCTATGCTGAATGAGATGCAGCAACATTATTCCTCCTTCAATTACTATGTCTTAAAACATCTATCCATTTTCATTTACGTGATTGTAATAATATTTTTTTTTGTATTGAATAATGTTTAAATGCCTGTGATATTTGTATATGTACGTTAATTTGTCCTGTTTTCGTTCATCTTTTTTTTTTCACCTTCATTTCTTTCATCTCCTTCGCTCCTTGAAAATTCAGCTATTTAATAAGTTCGGTTGTTGTTTGTCAGCAGTGATCCATTTGCGATTTATTGTGAAACCATTTCGGCGAATGATTTCAAATAAGCTTCATGAATTTTCCGAATGAAGCTTGGATCATTTTTCATCAAATAAGAAATAGCTTGTAGCAGTTGCGTTTCAGTCAATGGCTGTACGGCTGCGGCCAAATCATCAGTTTGTTGTGCCTGTGTATGTGGCTGCTGCTGTTGTTGTTCATGTGCCGACTTCTTTCTTGACTTTGGATTGCCCACATCTTTGCTCTTTGCCATGGAATTCTTCTTGTTTGTTTCATTGCTTTCATTTTTGCCAGCCTTTGCGTTTGCATTTTGTGGCCCAACGCGTTGATTGTTTGCCTCATTGGCTGTCGTTTCAAACATAGTTGGCGGCATTAATTTGGTAGCAGCTGGCTTTCCCGGTGTTGTATTACTACTTTGCGAGCCGCCTGGTTTTGGTGTCGACGACACTGGCACCGGTTTTTTCAAAAGTGCCTGCAATTGAGGATCGGTTTTCTGACGCTGAGATTCAATTTCCTTAACGTCTGTTGGCAGTGGTCCTTTAAAATGTGCCAAATTATTTGATGCAATGAATGTGGCCAAAGGCGATGTGCCCAAATCAATTGATGCATTTTGTTGCTGTGTTGGCGAATTGATTCGAACGAAACTCAAACCATTCTCAATGTTTGCAACCGAACCAAATGGAATTTGCTTGGGCTTTGCATTTGATGATGTTGATCGATTTTGTGGTGGAGACTGTTTCTCTTTCAATGGTGTTTTAACGCCTGAAAAAAGCAGAAGATGTTTATTTCATTAAAATCAGTTGAATTGAACGATTCAAGTTATCACTTACGTTGTTCAATTTGATCAATATGAACGGGCTGTGAAAGCATGCGCTGCAACAATGGTCCGGATCCTTCTTTCAATTGAGCCTGTGCTGGTTTGGCAGCAGCAAAGAAATTCATCACTGAACTGTTCACGGGAATTTGAATGGGCGCTGCAGCCGGTGCAACTTTTTGTAGTGCACTCTTCTTCTCAATCGATTCGTTGACCATAACTTTTGGTGCGTCTGGCGATGGTGGCACCGCCTTAGTTTTGGACGCTGTTAACGAAGTATTGAAATCTTGTTGTGCTCTGCTTAGCATACTAAAAATATCGACATTATTATTTGAATAAGTCATCAAGTCGAATGCCTGTGTTGGTAAGTTGGATTCGCCACTCTTTTGACTTTCCGTCAATGGTTCAGCGTCCTTGGCAATTCGTTCAACTAATTCACTGATGCGATCACATTCGTTTCGATTATAAAACCAAAAACCACGAATTCGATTGCGTTCGTTGCGATAGAGCAAGAACGGTGTTTGATTTTGTAATTCAATGCCAGCCGTAATTGGTTCGACCAATGAATTGGTGTTCAAACGATTATTAATGAATACACTGTGGTATGGTTCAGCATTACGACTATATACGAAAAATGCACCCTCAATATCCGTCTTTTCCCATTCGGTTTCGTCCGGATTGAATGTATAAAATGCAACATGCGCCGAATTATCGATAATATCCTTTGCATATGGATCGACACGCTTTATTGCTGCCAAATTCATTCGTAATTCACTTGTTTTGTCCGCCATCACTGTAAATTCTAATTTTGCACATACAATAAAAAAAAGACATATATTTCAATCACATGAGATGATAACGCAATGCATTTATATTGAATTCAATGCGAACATTCACGACAGTTAATGCTGTCATCAAAAATAAAACGTTTGGGCGAAATGCAACAAAGACACTTACCTTAATTACTTAAAGAAAAAAAAAAGAATCTCGTTTTTTACGCTTGTGTTTTGTTGTACAATTTACTGTAATAGGTTCGCATTGAATACTTCTTCTTACAATCCACACTTCTACAAAAATTTGCGGCATCTGTCACCTGTCATCCACTGCTGCGCAAATGTCACAACCGTTTGGAATCGGAGTGCGTTCCGATGTTGCAAAAATGAAACACAATGAAAACCATGAAGAATATCTTCTTGTTTTTTTACATATTGGTTTCTTTAATACTTATATTTATTGCTGTATAACTATTCTAAACATAATCCTGTCTCTCTTCGAAACTTAAGGTTTCATTTAATTTATTTAACTGATTAGTGTGGGAAAGCGTCTTGAGATGACGATCTAGCTGAGACTTTGTTGTAACATCATGGTTACAAATTTCACAACGAAATGGTTTCTCTCCCGTGTGCGTACGACGATGGTTTTGCATGTTGTAAAGAGAACGAAAGACTCGATCGCAAAAATCACAAGGAAATGTTTTAGTAAAAACACCGGTATGCTCTTCCATGTGTTTCAGCAAAACACTTTTTCGGCTATATTTCTTTCCACATTCCGTGCACTGAACAGACCGCTCACCCGAATGTGTTTCTAGATGTGTTTTCAAGTTGTACTTATTCTTAAATCTAAAATGACCAATTTTATAATTTAAAAAATAAACCAATTGTTTAAATGGATATTTTTGAATTTAAAAACTTACGCTTTTGGACAAACATTGCATTGGAAAGGTCGAATATCCAAATGCACTACCGAATGGGCCTTTAATGAACTGCGTTCCATGAAGTCTTTTCCACACTGCTCACAGACATATGGTTTGGCAGTTCCATTGGGTTGTACAAGTTTGGCTTTTTTCTTGGCAGCCGCTGTATCAAGTCCATGTCTTCTTCTCATGTGGTTATAGTAAGTCGAAACATCCACAAAGAAATGGTCGCTGAAATTAAATAGATTCGATTGATTAAATGTGTATTTTTTTCTTGGAAAAAATTAAAATTAACCTACCACTCTTCACATCCATACATTTTAACGCTTGCGCCCATATGCATTCGACGATGTACCTGCATTAAAAACACGAATTCAAAACTTTGCAAAATCGAATGAATCTCAAGGAATTTACCTTGAGCGCGAATGCGCTTGGAAATTTTTTGCTGCAAACATCACAAAAGTAATCGATGTGATTCTTTTGATGCGATGTATAATGACGTTGTGTACGAAATCTTGAGTTACAATACTGGCACTTGAACCGACGAGGCAATGTGTGAACGACCATGTGATATTTGAGTAGTGGAAATTTCTTGAAACTGATAAAAATGCAAAGAAATGTTAATAAAATGTAAACGAATTTTTTGTCGATAGTTTTGCCTACCCTCTTTTACACAAATAGCAATAATATTCTCGATCGCTTTGGTCTCTCGGAAATGAATTTCGAATTGGAGGTTCAAGATCACCGCTTTCATTGAATCGAAATTGGATCGGAGGAAAGTCAAATTCCGTCGATGTTTCGGCTTCGTGTTCGACGATATCAACACCACCGGTACCACCTATTTCAGAGCTACAGTCAACGAACGTTGGTTTACTTTCAACTATATCCAAGCTATCAATAAAATGGGTGCAGGCCTGTTTCTTGTGCTTTTCCAGTAGTTTATAGCTGCAAAACAAGTCCAAGCACATATCACACTTCAGTTTGCCCTGATTCTTGCAGTGCGTAAGAAAGCTGCCCCTGGTTTTGAATCTGTGGTACAATGATCACATATATTCAGTAATCAATCGGATTGAATGATTTGAAAAGCTTACGTTTTTTGGCAAATGTTACATTTAAAGTGTGAATCATCACGTGATGAAATACATTCGTGTTTCTCCATTGCAATCCGTGAAGGGAAAATATTCTCGCATTTATTGCACTGAAATGTTGACTTCGACGTCTTGGCTGTTGATGCTGTTGACAATGATATCGGCTTAGAGATCCCCGAATCATTTTCTATTTCAAATTAAAATCATCATAATATTTCACAATGGCACGAATATGTGACAGTTTGACTCAATACTCACCACAAATATTTTGTATTTTTCGCTGAGCCGATTGAACGCTTTGTAAAAATAACCAGCTATTTTCTAATCTTTCATAACAAAACAAACAAACATCTTGCGGCAACTCAAAATCAGTATTTTGTGGATTCCATTGACAACACGCAATCAATTTTCGTTCAATCGAACGTTCCGGATCGTTAATTGATGTTACAATATTAGATGGATCTTTTGTCTCCGCACATAAACGGCAAAAAATCGACATTTTTACCACTTTATTAAGAAATTTCTTTCCAAATGTTTGGACGCAAATATTTTACTACTATTCTTGTTGACGTTTCTTGTGACAGTCGGATTTATGACGATAATGTGTCACAAAGTACATATAGTATTATACATTCAAACTCATTTTAACGCACAGTTCACTAAACCATCGATATATTGGCAAAAAAAACTGTAAAAATGTGCAATCTTTCCCCGAATAGTTTTTGAGACTGGAATCAATTTTGAAACTGAGTGGAGAAAACACAAATAACATCACCAAACCTAAATACGATGACTGATTTATAATTTGATTCGGTTTGTTCTATGCACTTATTCTTGAGTATTTATCGATGCGTAAATGATTATATTTTGCAGAAAAATCACAATAAAATAGCATAATAATTGTACTTGTTTGTCGACAATCAGTCAGCGGAACGTATGCAATATTGATTTAAAGAACGGCATAATGAGGTTTAAGTTAACTATTGGTCCGTCATAAAAAAAAGTCATCAAAGAGTAGATGTATTTCAAAATCATTAAAAGGGGGAAAAATCACTCAAAAAAACCAAACATTATTCGATCTATCGTGCGGTGCGGCTTTTTATAATAGGCTCTAGAACTGTAGAGAAAATATTGGAATTGGTGGACATACATTGCTTATCTTTAAATTGAAAAACTCGTTTCAAAGAAAAAAACTCATATTTTTTCACACAATTTATTAAGATGGCTTATATTATGTGTGTAACTTTTTTTCTTTGTAAGTTTCTGGACATACAATTATTTTGAAATATTAAATGTAAATATCGATTATTAATATTCATTGTGTTATTTTCTGTTACTAAATTTTTTGATATAAACCAGTATAAGTATATCTTATTATAGAATCGATTCATAATCTTTGTCATTTTATGACATAGCTGTGGCCCGGGCTTGTTCTTGTATCTTTCTTGCTAGGACAGAAATACCTTAAGAATAAAATGAGAAAAGCATGAAAAATCAACACATTTTTTTGCATGCCATGAAGCAGTCAGGCACGACTTAACTAACCATGCTCTTTCTTAAGATGACTATAAAAACTTGACATTGTCCGAAAATTGGAAGCACAATGCTCACAGAAATACCTTGAGAAACAAATTAAAAAAGTATTTAACAAATAGTTTAATGAATTTAGCTTGTGGTTAAATTACGGTTTTTCGCCGGTATGGATGCGACGGTGTTCAATGAGATTGGCATTAAGTCGAAATCCCTTTCCGCAAAAATCGCAAGTGAATGGTTTCAGAATTGAGCCAGTATGATACTAAAGAAATATAAAATGTGTAAATAATAACATTGAAACCAGTAAGCATTTGAACATTTTGATCAAATTATTCGAATGTTTCAGTTTCGATCAAAATAGCTAATATTTATTTTTATGAGCTAAAATCTCACCTCCAAATGTCTGCGTAAGCTAATTTTCTTCCTAAAAGCCTTGTCGCATTGCGTACACTTCCAATCGAGTGAATCGGTGTGTGTTTTACGGTGGTCTTGCATAGTACGTTTGCGTTTGAAACTGTAAAACAAAACTGACGAATCTGAGATTCAATTTTAGATGAGGAAATTAAATCAATATTTACCCCAGCCCGCAGACTTCACATTTATGCGGCCTGTAGTCAGAATGAACAGTCCTATGGAAAAAGGTAACAAAGAAAAATTAAAGAAGAGTTTTTTTTGTGAATATTTTTCTGTTTGTAATACATGTGCGTGTAAAGCCCTCCTCGCTGTGTAAAACTCATGCCACAAAGTTCACAAGTGAATTTCCTATCCGCTGCGTGTGAGAGTGAAAAATGAATGAAAAAATTACTTCTAATATAATTAATGGATTGAATCTATCAGTTGGTCGTACGTATTTTTGGTGGAAGTGGTGGTTTTTTCTCTCTCTTTGGTAATGGTGCACCATGTCTCTCTTTTATATGATTATCACGTTGAATATTGCGCCTAAAGCGTTTATGACAAATATGGCATTCGATTGTGGGATACTGTGTATGTATTCGCATATGAGCTCGAAGCAATTTCCTTCGTTTAAAACATCTATGGCACATCCAGCATTCAAACGGTCGATCCGAAGAATGAATGGTCTGATGTGCCGTGAGAGTGCATTTTAAGCGAAAACGTCGACCGCATGCATTACATGCATATTGAAACTCTGGTAAATTCAGTGATCCTGCTGGTTCTTCCTCTGGTTTTAGGTCGGCGTTCGATTCAGCTGAGTTCTCTACCTTCATATCTTCACAATCACTTGATTTATCTTTGCTGTGGACCTGTCGTAGATGTTGGTTTAAATTCGATGAACTCTTAAAATATTTTCCGCATTTTAAACAGCAGTAAGGACGCTCATTCGTATGGATTCTTTTGTGGACCTAGGGGGAAGCAAAAATTTAATTTGCACTTTACTTTGTTTTGGAATGCACTTGAAAACGAACCGTCAAGTTGTAAGCAGTTGTGAAGCACTTTTGGCATACATCGCATTCATGGCTGTGACGAGTTTTGGCCTCATCCGAAGATTCAATCGTAGAACCAATTAAATGCTTCTCATCATCGGTTGTAGCCAGTTCTGCCACGCCAATCGGTTGAATAGGTTCCACAAAAATATCCTCTTGGGTATCACATAACGGAAATTCATCGATATCATCACCGAATTCACTTTTCACCGCTATCAGTTCCGTTTCACAGAAGATCTCTTGCAGTTTTATTTGGGCAAAAGCTATACTTTCATTGAATAGCCAAGATTTCTCTAACTTTTCGGTACACGAATAACAGATTGTCTCCGGCAGGTGTACATAATTTATGTAGTTATTCCATTGGCAACAAATGACTAGTTTTTCTTTTACATTCGACTTGGGATCATTGATAGTAATAGTATTTAGTTCATCTTCAGTTTTAAATTCAGCACACAGCCGACAATAGGTCGTCATATTTGACGCAGTGACTGAATTGCGGAATTTTCAATGATTCCTATCGATTGATGATAAAAAATAAAATTGATTTTATTATATTTGTTTAGTAAACAAATAAGTTTTTTAATCTGTCAAATCGGGTATTGGTTCGGGTTTTAACATTAGAAAAACCAAATGTCAACTACACCAAGTATGTGACAAATTAAGTACATGAGTGCGTTCCCAGTGTGCGTTTTCTATTTTGCGTTAAGAGAGTGTTTTACACCGACTTTTTTAACTTTAAATTGTACTATTTTCGTTGAGATTCTGTCAAAAGAAAAGTTCTTAAATAAATTCAAAATAAGAAATGAGTGATTTTGGGAGTTTTTTTTTCGAAAAAAATAGTTTTCAAGAAATAGCTCTGTCATTAAGTATTTTTTTTAAATGTCTGTGTGTACTTTAAACCCAGACTCTGAGTCTCAGAGTTTACCTTGGGTACTTAACCTTTTTTTCAATCTAGGAAATAAATAGAACGAAGACATTGCGGATGCATTGTTTTGAAAAACAATACAAAATCAGATGGATGATAAACATGTTATCCCAATTTGGAAAATGGCTGTAATGCGATGGTCTGCATGCTACTTGATATTTACTTTAATCTTTATTTAAGTGTACAAAATTCAAGGTTAAGAGCTTTAAATACATCTTTTTTTTTAATTTTTCTTCTTTTTGTTTCGTTTTTTTGTTATTATTTCTTTCTCTTATCGAATTAATTTAAATTCAAATATTATTTATTTTGCAATCGATCGATTATGATTACAAAAAAAATGTCTTCCTTTTTCTTTAAAATATAATTAATGGTATTCGCCTTGTTTATCTTAAAAGTACTGCGGGTAAAAACGAAATTAAATAACAAACGATGAGGCGTCGCGTTAAGATGAAAAAAACAAAAAAGGGCTATGAAATGTACAACTCATTAATATTATTACCGATAATTAAACTACTAGAAAAAGGACTGGCTATAATTTGTTTCAAAGTGAAAGAAGCGCAAAATAAACAGAAAAAAAGTGTATTACAATTAAGGTTCCATGATTTGGGTTCCATATATCATTTGTTTTGTTGATGTTTTGCTTTAGTTTGAGTGTTGATGTTGTTGTCTTAAGATTATCATCGAAGGTATCAACTTAATTGGTTGCTTTTAAACGAAAGTCAATGACAGTAGACACATTCGCTTCACACACGCAACACTAAAATGTTCAAAGCAAAATAGAATCCAATAGGTAAATCATAACGTATACGATAAGCTGTGTAAAAACTAAATTATTTACCAAAAATTGTTGGTTAACTGTTTTACGTTACAGTTCCATGTCTTCGGCAACATTTTCACTAAAATCAGACATGCTCGATTCGCTGTCCGAACTTTCGTTTTCTGTTTGTTCGCGTAAGGCTTCTTCGGTAGCAAAACGCTTGACATAATCGGACACCCGTTTACTGTAATCATCTGGTGTGTGAAGAAATAGTGCGGCCGCCTCACTATTTAACGGATCCTGCGGATTTGGATATGTTAACAGCTGCGGCAGAAATTGTTCGAAAATATTCGATAGATCGTATAGTGCAGTCCTACATTTAAAAAAAAAACACAATATATTATGATTACCAAAGTGCGATTGAAATGATTCTCTTTGAATTTACCAGGTTTGATTAATAACATCCAAACAAACAGTGCCTGACACTTCATCGATATTTGGGTGAAAGATCTAAATAAGTGGCATTGAATAAAAAAATATATGATGCAATAAGCGGAAGGAATTAAGAAACAATTATGACCCTTACTTTGTTCATAAATCCTATACTTGGCGACTTGAATGGGTAATTGTCTGGTAGGTGAACCCGAACTTTCCAAACACCGCCTTCATACGGAGTGCCTTTTGGACCGAAGAATTTGACGCAAAACTCATTCAAACCACCGATGATGGTGACTTCGTGTTTACTTTCTATCAATTTTATGACATCAGTATCAATGCGACGTTTTCCTGCACTCGGCGATGACATTTTCTAAGCTTTGATTTTTTTTTTATTCGTTGATAAATCAATTCAAATCACAGTAATCAATTAAAATGCTCAATCTAACTCTGCACTGAACTTGGTCGTCAATAAACTTGAACACAATACCAAATGCTCATATTTTTGCGTTGACTCAATGCGTTTTCGTCTTTTTTTTATTTCTCTTTGTGTTCGCACTTCAAATTGAATTGACCGTGCTATGTTTGTTTTGTATCAATTCAGTAGTTTTTTTTGTGATCAATTGCGTGATTTTAAAATATGCAAGCGATTTTTTTTCTCAATCGAATAAAAAAAATGTCTTCTGCAATTTGATGGATGTATGCTTTACGTACCTGATTCACACCAAACAATGAAATGAATTTGTGCTTGATAGTTTTGCTCTTCACGAAAATACTTATTTTGCTTTCTGTGACAGTTCGACGTACCAACACAACCTCACTGCTTGTATAGCACAATATGAGTTTGGTAAACATTGCTTGCAGCTGTCACAAAACGGGCGCTAACAGCAGTCAAGTTGCTTTTTTGTTGCTCTTTTTCTTTCATTCTCTCGCCCGATTTCATATTTGCTTGAATTTGTTGGATGTAAATGCAACATTTTATTGCAGCTCAAATTTTATTTACGAAGCTATCAAGTCACATTGAAATAAACAAAAAAGCGCCAAATGATGTAAACATTTAAAAATAAATGGCAAAATTCAGCAAATTCAAAAACAACTGATACACAAATAAACAACTTTTAAACACTTTTGTTGTAATCTGTAAATAGTCAAACTATAGAAATTTATTTATTTCCGATTTTAGTTTGCTATTTTTATGGACATATTTTCATTAAGCAAATCATGAATCTAATCGTAAAAAAATATACGAATTTCTATTGATCAATGAAGTTGAGCAGGAAACTAAGAACGAAAAAAAACTACACATGAAACGACTTATATTCGTACTTGAGACTCGACAAACGTTATCAGTTATGTATTTTTTTCGTTGGATGTTCTGATTTTTTTGAGCTAAATTGAATTTTGTAAGTTGTTGCTTGTACGACAAAATACCGAGATAATTAGTATGTAAATAGTATTAAAGCAATCTGGTTGGAGTTTGCTACCCAGAAATTAACTATATTATAGAATCGTTTTGTTTTGAACAGCAAAATGTTTTCATTTTGTAATTATCGAATTGTATTCTCATTCGTACTAATTTCAGTTTCGTGTTGTGCCGAGCTAAAAGAGCCAAATAAAGCCGAAAAACCGTCTATTGATTATCTGACGTTGGACTATTTGAGTGTGGAGCAGAGCTTATGGTCACGATTAAGTCATGCAGGTGACAAAAATGATCATTATTCTCTACTACAGAGTGAACACCTTCCATTTTTTGCCAACGATTTTGGAGTAAGTCAAAACACCCAACAGTTCGTTCCATCGGGATATCTTGCAAATAATTTATCCTTGGTCAATGGTTTATTTTACAATATGAGCGTCATATTGAAATCAAATTCAACCGATGCAATAAACATATATCATGTTCATGAGATTTTGGATCACTCCATCGAGTACGGAAAAAATGTTTTCCAGGAGGCGATTCGTGCGGAATTTTGGAATAAAGGAAAAGATGTTCGTAGGAATTGTTTCTCCTTGTTACCCATTTAATTTTTCAATTCTAATTCATAAATGTATCTGTTCTCCATAGTACGTTCAACATTGCCGTGAAACCGAATCGAAAGCGATAATAGTGGAATCTGAATTCCAGTTGATTTATAACTATTACAAGGACGTCCGTGCTGCTCTTCTAAAAACATATATGTTGACCCAATTATCGCACATGCTAATAAATATCAACAACAAAGGTTAGATTGCTGCTTGGGCGCATGTTTTGTTTACTACAAAAAATCATGATGCTTCATTATGTGTTGCGTATGATTGCGTTGATATATTTTTCATTTTTTTTTCTGTTTTTATTTTGTTTACGATTCGTTTTTGCGAGAACAGGAAGTAATGTTGTTTCATCACAGCGGCCGTATTATGTGAAGGATGAATTAGATCTTCGTGTTGATTTGATCAGACGGAACGTCAAGAATTTATTGAAAATTGCAAAACGAGACTCATGGGTTTGCGATCGTTTCCCCTATGTGCATGGTATATGACAGTGTTATTTGTAAATTTTAATCAAACATGTGTTAAAGTCGATCTGTTTTATTTAAAAGTTGACGAGTACATACAAGTGACCAAATTCCTTCAAGGTTATGTAGATAATGAATTGAATTTCAATCAAGAGGATACATGCAAAAATACATGCGAAGATTTTACAAATACGAACCACGTTCGATGTGCTGACAAAACATTGTGCGCACAAAATCGAAACACCGATTTGGTTGTGTGCAATGGCCAAATCCGTGATTGTCAAGAAATTCCAAGTGAAGACGTTGAAGTTTGTTATGGTAACGATACGTTCCAACGATACCATTACTTGAAGTATAGCGATGGAAAAATGCACGGATCCAAACCAAGAACTGGATGTTCTCAGATTAATCATGTAAAATTGTCATTTTAAATTAAGTGGAAACAAATCGACATATTTGTATATTTCTAATTCAAGGCGAACTCTTGGCGACGATGGTTTGTGAAGTGTAGCTCATGTTATTGTCTGTGCGATGATCCGAACAATTCAGAACGACACTTCAGCTTACATCCAGTTGTATCCGATGTTGAAAATAATAAGTATGTAATCAAACAAAAAACGTGATTCTACCGAGAATTTGCCACTAAAAGAATTAAAATGCATTTTGTTTCTTTTAAATTTTTTGTTGTGTGAAGAGTCATTACTGGAGTTCGTCTTATCAAAAAGAATGGTGTCATTCAATTTTCCATATCGGAGCGTACTCTTCGGGCGTTCGGCCAAACTGATGAGTCGGACAACACATGGAAAGAGGCGGAATATCAATTCGCAACAAGCGACCCGGATGCATTGGATGGCGTCGACTATTTCACTTTAACCTATGAAAATCGTTCGATTAACTTAGATGATCTGGTTCTACCGCAAGGAAGAGTTGTCACAGGAGTTCGATTCTTTAATTTAAATGGTCATTTAATATTACAAATAAGATCTACAAGTTTCGATTATTTTACCGGTCGTTTGTTAAATGTTTCACACAATCCTTGGGTAATGAATGAAAACGGTGGCCAAACGGAAATTGAAATTGTCACAAAAGAAAATCCACTTGCAAATATTGTTGCAAGTTTATACATTCCCGACACTACTCCAAATGCATTTGTTCAATTTGGACCGAGTGATATTCGATCGGATGTCGGACAATCAACTCTGCCACTAATTGATACATCAAAACTTGAATCACGAAATCCCGTCGTACTCAGTGGAATTGGTTTAATTTATAAGCGAAACGATGACTCAGGTGGTTTTATTGGCGTAAAAACAATTACATACGATTTTGCTATAGCTGATATAACCATTGACGAAGAATACGATTACATTGATTGAACAGAAAATTGAATAATTATTTACTCAAACTGTAATCAATATTAAATATCAAAGAACTCGAAATAAATCAATTTTATTTTCAACATCACTTGTATTTGATTGACTTCCTAACCTTCGGTGCATCGCAAAAAAAAATGTTCCCACTCAAACTGTATCTGAATATTAGTAAATGAATCTGAAAATTTTATAGGAGGTTACCTACCTAGGTAATTCACAGCACAACATAAGAAGACTAGATTAAATCGATTTGAAAAAAAAACTACAGAATCATTCACGAAAAAAAATGCTGCCGCAACTTTATTCGATTTGCATATTTACAAATTGTTCAATTACCTTGACACTCCGGTCAGTTGAAGATCACGTTTATTAGCGAGGGAGCGCAATTTAGAACGTGTGATCTCGTGATGTTATGGACTTGATGCTGATTTGAACAAACGTTTAAATGTTCGGTTTAAACAGCAGACACTGGAATTGATAAATAGCAAACTAGTAGCCACTTTATCGTTCATCACAGCATCAAAAACAATAAATCAGAATTACAACGGCTTACACTCAACTGAACGACAATGAATGTGAAGTTAAGTTAGACAGAACATAGGCCCACAAATTTCCACATAAGCATCGGTACTGAGAGATGTTCGCCACGCGCAATTATTTCCGTAACAGTGATTTTTTTTGTTTCGTTGCATTCGTAAACAATAAGTACTTGATTTTGATGTGCTGATTAATTGGCTTATGGCATGAACACGCGTCTTTGCTGTTTAATCAATTTATACTATTATTTATTGTTATTCGTTGCTTATCCCGCTGCCATTTGGAATGAGTCTAGTATAACTTTTCAGCGGCAATCGTGCTCAGTCTTTGTAGAAATGCTGTACTTGTTTGAAGTGTTTTTATTCGCGCTAACGTTGGCCAGTGAGACTTTTTTCATTTTTTATAATGATTATTCATTGGTTGAATTTTTTTTTTGTTCATTTAGTTGATTCATATTTTTCCCAATCTATTTTTGTTTTTTTCTTTGTGATTCAAAGATGCGCTGCCAACGGCACCTGTTCAATCAGAACAAGAGATTTCGGACAACGACATTGATGACAATGACTTCAGTAAGGAGTTGCCATTTGAAGCAGAATATTATCGCACCAGCACCGATCGTGATGAATTTGTGCGACCAATTGCAAGTCCAAAGGAGAATGAAATTGATGAAGGAGAAGATGGCATTGATTTAGATGATCTAAACACTTTTGTCCATACACCGGATTGTACATATCACATTGCCATCAGATTATTTTACGAAAGTATCGATGAATTGGAAATTAAATTGGAAGGTTTAACACTGAAAAATGACACAAAGAGTAACATCAGTTTGAGTGATTTTGTACAACAAGCGCAATTACAGATTGTCAATACAATTAAAGAAAAAATGTTTACAAATGAACTGGTGAATGATGTCATTAATTATTTGAGACAAACATTTGTGAGTGCATTCGGGTTTGAGAACAATTGCGGTGTTTCAACCACAGTTGTTACGTACTTTACAAAGAACGATACTCAAGTTGATGGCCCGCAAGCGAACGAAGACACTACAGATGTTGTCCCAACGACTGAGGAAATTATTCAAAATGAAACTGACGCATCTATTGATACTGAAACGAGCACAAGCACCGACGATGAAGAGGATGCTACGGAAGAGTATCAATCGAAAACCTTAATCAGACCAAAATTAAGTGACGTTGTTCAGGATGTAATCAATGTATATAAAGCACTCCACAACTGGAGATATTCACAACAGGCTTAGTTTGATTGGTTTTATTGAATTTTCTTTTAACCTGGAACATATTACAAAGTATCTAAAATTCAGTTGTCAAAAATCTTATGCATATTTTCTCAATTATTCAATTGATGTGGTTGTCTGTTTTTTTTTCCTTCATATTAACAAATAAAGTTCATGTGGCTAAAATTATTTTACAAGACTATTGTATTTCTGATGTATTTTCCTCATCCATATAATGGGCCTTTCGTTTTTCTAATAAAGCTATTTTTTTCTCAACAAATTCTGTATATTCCCGCAAGGCAGTCAAATATTTCTCAAGTCTATCTTTAAACGGGTCCCTGCCTAATTGTGTTGCCGCATAGTTCTCCAGTTCACGAATTGTACACAGTTGAAGGGTTTGGAAATCGATTTCGAGTTCATCCGGATTGGCACCACGAAGTGACGGCTCATTTTCTATTATGATTTTAACAACTTGACCAAGTTTATTGCCTGTAAGAATGACAAACACGTGAAAAAAAAAATGAAATATTTGTTATAGCTTTAAGAAAGGCATCTCGTCGGTGAATTGTTTTATAGTTGATGATTACCCGGTAATTCACTGAGGTCCAATGACAATTGGCGTATTCTCTCATACGGATCGCTGACTGGACTGTGATCTTCTGAGTGTGAGCTGTCTTCTGAGCGTGAGCTGTCTTCTGATTGTTCAACTTCTTCGTTAGCAAAACATTCAGTATGATCCGATACCCATTTACTGTATTGACTTGGTGAGTAAATAAAAATTGTGGCCGCTTTTCTATTTAAGGGACATTCTACATTTGGATATGTTAACAGGTTCGGCAAAATTTCTTCGAACAAATTCAATAGATCGTAGATTGGACTCCTAAAAAACTTGATTATTAACAAATTGCAAATGAGAAAGGAATTATTTTGAATTTACCATTTTTTATCGATAACATCCAAACAAACAGTGCCAAATCGTTCATCGATATTCGGGTGAAAGATCTGAAAATACGATGAATAGCGAAAATTGATGTAAAAATCGAGAAAATAAAAACAGATGCGAAAATCTTACTTTGTTCATGAATACTATACAAGGAGATTCGAAGGGGTAATTTTCTGGTAGGCGAACCCTAACTTTCCACACACCGCCTTCGTACGCAGTGTCTTTCGGACCGAAGAATTTAACAAAAATCTCATTCAAACCACCGTTAACTTCGTATTTTTGTTCTATCAATTTTATGATATCACTTTCAATACGATGTGCATTTGGGGACGACATTTTTTCTAATCTTAGACTTTTTATTCGATTATTAACGATAAATTAACTAAAAAATAATCTTTTTTCTTTAAATAAACTTTGTCGTTAATTAACTTGAGCACAACATCAAATGCTCTTATTTTGGCGATGACTCAGCGCGTTTTCTTTCTTCAATTCGCTTTGTGCTCTCACTGTGAATTGAATTTAACTGTGCTATGTTTGGTTACTTCAATTTGGTATTTTTTTGTATCGTTAATTGTGTGATTTATTATTTTAAACAATTTCATCCAAACCAAACAATGAAATGAATATTTGCTTGATGTTTTTGATGTTCACGAAAATATATAAAAAAAAAATTGCTTTCTGGTACAAAATCGACACACGACACGCACAGCTTGAATAGCGTTCGTTTGAAATATTAAACATCGCTTGTGATTGCAACTGTCATAAAATGTGCGTCGACTTTTCTCTCGATCATATTTGCTTGCATTTTTTACAAGATTTTATATCTACCACAGTCGACCGGTGAAATTAACGCAAACAATGACATCGATGATGAAACTTAAGTAAAGTATCGCAGTGCGTTACGAATATTTATGCTACACCCAAATAAAACGAAATTTTCGAATGATATAATGACATATTGATATTTTATTTTCGACATTATACATATACGACATTAGACATGAAATCGATACTACTACTTTTAAATATCATTAAAGCAAATAATAATTATTATTACTTAAGATGTGAAACATTAATTGTTGTATGAACACAGTTTGGATGAGAATGAATTGAGCACGCAGCACTTTAGATGTCGGCTTGTTGCTCTGTTGCTGTGGCCAGTTTTGCAGCTGTAATAGACAATATGAATATAGAATATACTTAAGTGCCACCTTGAACACTTGTCATACCTTCTTGTTTACGTTTCTCAATTTCGAAGAATAGCTTCCGTGCAGCCTCGAATTGTTTGAAGATTGAAAGTTGCTCAGTTTCGACGATTGGTCCTTTTTGAGTGCATGAATCTACAGTTGATTTAAAATCAAATGATATCCGATGAAAATAGTTGATTTTCAAAAGCATCTCATAAACACTTACCAACAATCTTTGCTTCGGGTGTTTTAATTTCACTTGATGGTGGAATTTGTTCGTCAGTTGATTCATTTGCATCATTTTTCGATAGGGCACGTATAGAGCTGTGCAAAAAACTTGATTTTTTTCGTAGTGGAACAAAGGATGGTACGGTGCATACTTTTTGCCTCTTTTCGATCTGACTTGGCACTTTTGGCTGGAAATTCATTGACTTTTTCGTCGAATTTTTTGCTTTACTGTCGCTCATTTTATCGAATATTAGTTCTGGAACCAAAACATCATCTATAGCGTATATTAAATTGAGATTTTATTGTAACCTACCTGGCACTGATGGGATGATCAAATTTTTTGGTTTTTGCGGCGATTTGTCTGCAACATCAGCTCGAAGCGGACTTGCCTTTGATAAAGACACAATTTTCTGTGGTGATGCGACATTAGCTGTGCTCGTGCTTGGCATGGATCTGTTTCTGTTTTGATGTTGCGATTGTACTTCGCCGTCAGGTTGTAACAAGCATGGCAATGATGGTAATTCAACTAGTAATTCACTACTTTTGTTCACTTCTGGTTTGCCATTAGATGAGATCGTACTTGGTGCTGATGGACAGACCAAATCTTTTTGTGGTTTCGGTAATTTTACCTTAACATCAGCTTGGAACGGAGTTGGGAGTGATGGTGCGAGCGTATTGTTTTGCTGCTGCGGTAATTCAACTTTAACAATGTGATCATTAACATACTCGCCCATAAAAATAACATCATCCTCATCGTCATCATCGTCAACGACAATAACATCATCGACATAATCACTATCACTATCACCATCATCATAATCATCATCTCTTTCTAATTCGGAGATGTCCGGTGGACTGAAATTATTGACTATTCGTTCTTGAATCAGATCAAATTTCGCAAAAGTTTCCTCTTGCCATTTCTCTGCCTCTTGAATCAAGTTGAGTACTGCCAACGTGACCTTCCTCTTTGAATCATTAACAAACTTCACCATTGACTGAACCCATTTCTATTAAAACAAAGTAATCACAAATTTCTTTTACTACAATACCTTTTTTTTAATTTGCGTCGAAAACTCACTTTTTTACAGCTATGTCTACGAATTTCAATCTTCATTCCCAATCTCTTGTGCCCAGTGCCATCTGGCAAGTTTGTCTTTTTCGCTCTGGATATTTGCGCAACCCTTTTTGTATTTCGTGTTGGAACTGTCTTTACCATGATTATTATCACACGAAAAATATTTAAAAATTATAAAATTTAACACGAAATTCACTTCTCGGATAACGTATCGATTCTCTATTTGAATGACATTTGACATTAGTGATACACAAAATATGGAAACCAACGGCTATGTACAGAGCTGATATTTTTACTCTGGTAGTGCGCGCACACAGTAGGCTTTACACTCGCAAACACATAGAAGTCTGAAATTTCAAATATTAGTTTTGAATTTTTCGACAACTGTTAAACTTCTATGTAAATGTGTGTGCGCCGCACACAGTCTGTGAATGCAAAGTATACTGTGTTCAGGGCGCGCACTATCAGAGTGAAAATACCAGCTCTGGTAATGCATAACAGTTAAAAATCGTACTTATGGATGACAGCTGGGCATTTGAATTAGAATTCTGATCAGTGTTTTGAATTCTATTTATATAGTTAATTGATCACCAATACTTGAATGTTTTGAATTCATTAAGAATTTATTTGTTTCTGATGCACAACGGCATATAAATGCGATAAAGCCATTAATATTATCGGCCCCTTGAATTGAATCTTTCTGTGAAAATGTAAATGTAAGAGAATAAAACTTGGAGCTATTTGTTTTCATATCTGTTTATTTGCCTATGTTAAAAATTTGTTTAGTTCCTTTACATTCATATTTTATTTTTGTTGAATAAAAAACGAATAATTAATCATAAAATACTGAAGAATAATTCTACAAATATGTTGTCTCCAACACATTTTTTTAGCATTTAAATTCATTTTGTTAGCAACACGCCATTCTTCTCTCATTTATGCTATGAATTAATCGGTTTAAATAGATGTAAGATCTATACCATGGTTTCTAGTAATAAGTTGTAACTGAAACCAAACGAAAAGAAGAAAAAAAGTACAACAATTATAAAAGTCGGTTAGCAGCAATCTGTGGATGAACTGGTTATTTTCTATGCACGAGAATTGCTGTTTTGGATTCGGGGAAAGAATAATAAACATCGAATTTTTTTAAGTTTTGTTTTTTTTTGTATATTCTTAACATTGTTTTTTTTATTACTTACAAACATAAACACTTTATAACTGAAAATAATTGTTGTTCCTTGTTTTGCACATAAACATTTTTTTTTATATTTTTCAAAAAAGAAGAGATTGAAGATGATTGTAAATTCATTTCTAAAAATGACGCATCATTTTCCTACACATATTTAATTCAAATCAATTCAATAGAATTTATGTTCTATTTTTGTCTATTCGAATGTGAACCCTTTGATGAATGTGTGAAACGAAATATAAACATGAATTTCAATGATTGCAAGCAACCGGCAATGAAAATGTAATCGAAAGAATCAAAAGCAACTGAATGTATCATGATTGTATTTCATATCTCATTACTTTGACATATTAATATTATCAACTATGCAATGTAGAACACTAAAATTTATGTCTATGTTCGATAGTAAAATGTAAATGTTAGCTTTGCATCTTTTTGTTTGTTTGTTTAAATGTTGTTTCGCTGTATGTGACCGGGTATTCATTTTTCATTTTTCTTGTTGAAATTGTGTTGTTGGCGCTAGTGCCATGAACAAAACGGAAATGAATCTATTGGATGCAAAATAATTTGATTTATTTTTCGTCTCAAGTTATCTTGTGATTTTGCGTAAAAGCAAAACAGGAACTGATTGTTAATATATGTATGTCTGATCAAAAGTGTGTAACAAATTTCAACCGACGCAAAAGAAAATGTAAAAATGTCAAATCACTTTTTTCTTCTTCTTCTTTTTTGTTCCAAAAATGAAACATTATAACGTAAACGATTTTGCTCCATAGCAAAAAATTTCCTTTTCGTTACACTATTTCGTGTTGTTCACTTTTTGCACATTGTACTGATAAGTAAAATTCAAATAATAAAAAAAACCTAAACAAATAGAATTACGAAATGTCCATTTAGTCAAATAGTTTCTAATATAAGATGTGTTTGTGTGTGTATATATATTTTCCCTTTGCATACGAAATGTTTCCTTTCTTCACTAAATATAGATTCCAAACGCTTCTGACTAAATAGTTTTAAAGTATTGTTTTTTTTTGTATTCACTTTAACGATGGTTTTCTCTTTTTTAATCTGTTATGCTTAATTGCCTATGTATCCTTATCTAATACATATACAGTGGTTGATAATAATATGTTCATCTGTTTATATTAAATTCCATAATTCTAAATTAAATCGGGGGTTTTCGTGGGTTCTGATTTCATTTGAACTGAAGCAGACTCTACACATATTCTTCCTATCTTCCATTCACATCTATGTCAACCAAACCAATTTGTTTCTTTCTTTATCGACCGCCACGTTCCAAAGATTCTTCAAAGGCCGCCATCATTTCGCTTTGCATGTTCATGTCAATTTGACCGGCCATCTGTTTCAATACGAAAAACCAAAAAAAAAACGCTCAAGAATTATTGTTTCAAGTCAAAATACGATATATACTAACCGCTTCACGTCTTCTGCGCTCCTGTTCTTGTCGTCGAAGTTCGGCTCGTTTTGCAGCTGCTCTGTCGTTAGCAGACGGTGTTCCCGGTGATGCACTACCTTGTGGTGAAGCCTTCAAATCGTCACGACCAAGAATCTGATCTAACGGTTGCCTCCTGCAATGAAACAAATATAACGGATTTGATAAGAACTTTTCATTTTTCTCTTCTATTTGTTATAATCTCAGTCAATCCAAACGGTCTTACCGGTCGATTTCTTCTCTCTTTTTTTGTTGTTCTTGTTGCCGTTTTTCAACAGCTTCTTTGTGACTGCGTTGTTTCATCTCTTGTTGTTCCAGCAATTTTTGTCGGTCGGCTTTCTCTTTGGCTCTGTTTTTGAACTGCTGGAATGAATCCATGGCCGGTGTTACTTTTGGTTTACTTGATGTCGGTGTGCTTTGCGGTGAAACAGCTGCAGCTAACGATGACCACGAACTATAAAAAAAAATTATTTTATAAAATTGATACATTTCAAATGAACGGATATTCGATGTTTACCTTGCTATTGTATTTTTAATCGCCGGATCCATGCTTTTATTGAACGTATTCGACAAATTTGATTTTTGTTCATTCATCGGCATTTGCTGGGGTAACGCTGGTGGAGTGTTTTTCTTGTCATGTTGTGGCAATAGCTCTTCAATTGGCTTCGGCCGGAATAGGCCAACATTTAAATTCGGTGCTGTCACTCCGTTGCCAGTCATCATATTTGAACTATTCATATTATTATTATTTGTGTTAGTATTATTGCTGTTGATAGGCGCTATCGCATTAACCGAACTATTCATTGCGACCGGTGGCAAGTTACCGGACGACGTTGTTAGTCCTGTCATAAAACCTATCGATTCAAATAAATTGATATTAAAATTTGCAAAATCGATTATAATTCAATAAATGATCGAAAGAATAATGTACCACGTTGATCGGCTGATGTTGCCAATGCATCGGATGTAACCGGTGGCAAGGCATTTGCATTCGATTGCGTCAATGATGGTAATCCCATCATCATATTATTATTATTATTTGATACGGATGCCGAAACATTTGTCATGCCATTTAAAGTGTTCAGCGTTGAGTCCATGCTGAAGCCATTGTTTCCATTGTTGTGATGTGGATTATCAAAGCCTAAAAAAATATTCGATTAATTGACTCTTATTTTCAATTGCTTCGCACGTATGAACACTTACACCCTAATGTTTGTTCAAGTGACGCCAATGATTGTTCGACTGGATCGTCGAAATTTGGCATCATATTCATGATCGATTTATCATTCATCGAATTCATGGGTGGCATTAATGGATTTAAGGATGGCATACCGTGGTTTTTATTATCTGAAAATGCAAAGTTATTTTTTATGATAAGCAAATCACCTCGTCGTGATTGTTTAAACAATTGAAAAGATACCTAGCAAGCTGCCAAGATTAAGATTGGGATTTATCGGTTGTGTAGAGAACGATTGATTCACATCGTTATTATTCAAAGCATTCTGATTTTGCATTATATTTTGTGGCGGTTGTTGTGACAGCGATGAATTTGTTTTCATTGATTGAGGTGGTTGCTGCTGAGGATGCAGACTATTTAGTGATGGCATTGGTGGTAACGCTGATTGAGTATGTTGCACTTGATTTTGTTGTTGCGGTGTTGACTGCATGAGAAAGAAAATATATTTGATTTCAATATTTTGAGTTGCGAAACAACGGAAGTAGTTTCAAATGTCGGAGTTGCGAAATTAAAACATAGAAAAAAAAAATGCAATTACCGTTGCGAATCCTGGTGCATTCAACATAGACATATTTGGTGTTTGATTTAGTGATGTTAATGCTTTAGCTGATGGTAAAGCGGGTAAAGCTCCCTACAAATGCATCATTCATTGCGTAAGAAAATCAAATTGATTGGAAATTGGTATGCCGACTTACCGATCGAATAGCAGGCGATGGAGAATCTTTTAATTTCTTCTTGCGCGGTGTCCTCGTCGTAGAACCTACATCAATTCAAATCAAGTTTGGGGATAATTTAACTTTTATGTTAGACGACGACCTTCCACTAACAAAAGTTTAAATGTGTGTATGGCAACGAATAACACCCAAATCAATCCATCCATTTCATGATTTTCGCCCCAAAACCAAACAAAATCCAGAACAGAAAGAAGAAAGAGCCTGAGCGATACATTTTACGATTTGCAATCTTTGGCATCCGCCCATAAATCAAAAGCCATATTTTATTGGTCATTTCTTCGTCAATTTCGTTTTTATTTTGATATTTGCTTTTATTTCTATTTCATTTCATGTTTATATAAGTTTGTAATTGTTGTTGTGTTAATGCAATCTATTTTGGGTGAGATAAATTTAAGCAAAATTTATCTCTCATATCAAATAAAAAGTGTGAAAAGGTTGTGTATATTCCAGTCATTTTAATGATGAATTTCAATCAATTTTTTTTTCAATTTATTCGATTTATTAGTGGTTTCATTGAGTGGCTTTTTTTGTCGCCCATAATGAAAGTTTGCGTACTTAACAACTAGAACAAACGGAAAAATGTCTAGTTTAATAAATTTTTTCTTGTCTGCTTATTGTTCCTCATACATGTGTGGGTGTGGGTGTGTTTTTTTCTTAAATTAAGACGAATCATTTTCGCATTTTTAAATGTAAATTTTTATTATTTTGTATGATTTTTCATGAATTATTTTCGCATAATAATAATAATAGTAATTTTTTTGTGTTTTTTTTTTCTTCTTTTGCATTTTTCTGAAATTCCTTTTAGTTTTGTCGGACACACTAGAAAACTTTATCGAAATATTAATAATACATATAAATACATACATACATACATATTCCAATTATTGTATCATATTTATGACAATTAAATACTAAGAACTGACCAATGATCTTAGCAGCCGTTCTTATTTTCACAGGGATTATTGGATTTAAAGTTGAATTTATATGTTAAAACTGATTACAAATTTAATCCGATAAATACAAAATTGCTCGTACAATTCAAATTTAATCAATAATCCTTTTATAATAATATATAATAATATTTATTCACCGCCAAAACTGGCTGAATCTTTTGAGTTTGTACATAATTTTTATACATTTGTTTGGTGAGAAAAAAAATATAGACACCATCGCGAGAGATAATATAATAATAAGCTGAGCCGCTAAAATCAATATAATCAACTGTAAATGACGTCTAAACGATTTTCTATCTGCACAGACAAAATAATAAAACTCTTGACATTTTATCGTGTAATTTGTTTGTTTACTTGTTCATACACATAATATATGTTTCAAATGAATATTTTTTTTAAACTGACCAATTTTTTTTAATCAAACATTGAACGAAAAACAAATAGACTAAACAAATTGAATGATCGTTATTACTTATGATTTGCGATATAGTAGACCCTAAAATTTAGTTTTACTTTAATGAAAAAAAAAAAAAAAACAATATACACGAGATACATAAAGTAGAAAACTAACGTAGTTCTTATCGATAATTTCTCCCGTATCAACACCTTTTTTGTCATTTAATTTAAACAAAACTTATTATTTATCTATTTCTATGAATGTTCATTATTCCATAGCATGTATGTGTGTGTTGTTTTTTTTGTATTTGTATTTGTTGTTTGCTGTTTGTTTTTATTAATTGTGAGTGAATTTTTAACTATTTTAAATGTGTTTCTCTTTCTCATTTGCTATAAAATAGGCTTAAAATTAAATGTTTTTTTTTTACTAATTTGAATAAAATGAACAGTAATGTGCTCACATTTGTAATTCGTGTAATTGCCAGTAATTCATATGTTGTCACACCTGATAGGCTACTTTGTAAAATCAAATAGAATGAACTGTACGGTCCATTATTACGGATAGTCAATTCATATCGATTGTTTGTTTCGATAGGCGATTGTTTTTCATTTTGTTTTCTTTCATTTTTTATCTATTTGCGAATATGCAATATAAATGCTATAATTTATTTTTATATTATTTTTTTTTTTTCAAATTAATTACTCGGTCCTGGTCTCCTTTGAAAGTCCTATTGATTTTTGTGCAAACAATGTGTAAAGGGGAAAGCCGACAGCCGCGCCTTAAAATTTGCTTTGTTGGAATTGCTCTCACTGTTGTCGAGCTCAGTAAATTCACACAGAATGTTTTTGTTTTGCTTGAATTGATGATCGACCGACACACACACATACATCGTGTAGTATTCGCCAATTGCCGCTGTTTTTTTACATCATCGGCATCGATCCAACTATAAATAGCTCAAGTCCTGTTTTCTGTTATTGCGCATGCAATATATATGGATCCAAATCACTCAACGTGACCAATTGCAATTGGTTCCCGGTCGAAATGTGTGATTTTTCTTAGTAGAATCAGATTTTTCTTTTCATTTATCTTTTGAATTCAACAACATAAAAAAAATCACCAAAATTTCTACACCTTTATATCGTATTACTTGATCATGATCGTTTGGATTCCAAAACTAAAATCACCAAATGATCTAATTTTATATGCGTACTTGCTATAGGATATTCGAATTTTGTCGCGGCACACGTCGGCATAGACCGGAAATTGTATGCAAGTCGCTGTTCAATTTTTTTTTAATGTATCGAAAAATTGTGCGTGCCGTTTGCACGTTTGCCGAACTTGAGAGCGATGTAACTGTTGTGTTTAACTCACATTTTAAAGTGAAATATATGTGGTAGCAATTTTTAATAGCTCGTTGTGCTCCAGTTTCTCCGTTATGATTTACACATTGTCTGCAATTCGGGTGGATTAAAATACTAATGATGAACAACAACAACAAATTGAAAGAAAAATGAACTCAACTATGATCATAATCCTAAAGATAAATTGCTATAGTTTACTAATTGCGTGTAACACAGATTTGTTTCTCGATTGATTTTTTTCTTCCACGTCGTTTTCCTACGGCTCAACTAAAATTGATTTAACTTAGCGGTGGTATGTCTCTCTATCATTCGATTTGAGTTGATCGATTTCGTATTAGTGTTCCGCACGCATTGCACTGTGTGAAGTGGTATTTCATTTAGCTGTTTTAGTTAAACTAAGTGTTCACTTGAATGATTGAAGATCCTATGAATTTAATATGCCACCGGTTTAATCAACATTTTCCAATTTGTATTTTGTGTCGAATGCACGAACTCATCTGTTTTCGATGGTTTACACACATTTTAAATAGAAATATTGGTGTTATGGCGAATTTTAATTAGGCGAATTTTTCACGATTATGAAATGTAATACGATATAATCATTTAATAACTCGAATTTCATTCGACGAATATTCGACTTTTGTATTAATATTCAATCGTTCAAATGAAAGGGAAGATTTTTCTAATTGCTATTTTATCACAAAACAAAGAAATTATTGAAACAAATTGTATCTGTATTCAGGTCACGCGGATGTTTTTTTTTTGTTTTTCAACGACTTGGACAAAATTGTTAAGAAATTCTTTCCGTTTGTTTTAGAGTTTAGTTTTTGTTTTTGTTTTTTTTTTTTTCGTTGGTCCAGTAAAGAGAAAAAGAAATGGATTTTAGATTGCAACAACAAAATTCAGGTCTTTCTTCATTTGATAGTAAAAAGAAATAAAGCAAATTGAATGGATGTCCTGTTGGCTGCCCCCATGCACACATTTAACTTTTATTTTCGTTAAATACCATAAACCTATATTTCTTTGATTAATTTTTTGTACAGTTTAAAACTTGATTTCATTTGATCCACAAACTACGGAATCGCACAGAATACAATTATTTTATAGTTGTTTTTTTCTTTTCTTTTTTTTTGTTTGGGATGAACGAATCGCAAAGAATGATCATTGTTCTTTGATGGACAAGTTCAAGGAAGCTTAATTTTCGTAATAAACAAAGATTTGAACGCCGAAACCATGTGCACCACACAAATACGTACATTTATGACTACATATTTGTTGGTATTTACAATAAATCGGGTCGGCGAACGGCAATTGAGCATTTTTATTGAAATAAATGTGATTGCGATTTTGGAAAATATTGCATCAAAGGGTTTGTTTAACGCGAGCCATTGGAAATGATGATTAAAAATGACTTATGGCACATTTCCGAAAAGTTTTTGTGTTCAGGAGTTGAAATTCCTGCATCGGCCACATAAACCAGTTTAATATTTTATCTGCGTTGCCACGATTCGTGACCCGATTTCAAGTTCTACATCTAAATTCATGATTTAAAATAAAACAATTTTCTTTAACTTTTATTGTATATAAAATGTGAAAAGAACTATCGAAAGAGAAACTTTTTTTTTTCAAGCCGATAAAATGAAAGAATATAAGAGAAACTAATAAAAATTTATATACGTGTACGATGAATGCCGTTGTGTTGGATGTATTTCATCGGTGTTAATGTATTTAATATTAAATGTCTTTTACTTCCTTTTTTAGAACAAAAAAAATGAAATCATTGAATTTTTACTGAGTGAAATGTATAAAAAGGTAAGAGATGAATTGGACTCATTTATTTAACCATATTTCTATATATGTACAAATGCGAAAGTATAATAAGAGGAATATAGTTGAACACACATTCATCGGTTTTTGTGTAATTGTTCTACATATTTATATTGAATACGCGTTTTTTAAAAACATTCTTGTCAATATCAGGAGTCGATGTGGGAAAATAAATCTCGAACGCCTATTAGGCACTGCTTATTTTCTCGCTACATTTTCGTTAGCTTCTTCCCTTAGACAAGTAGATCGATTCAAATTCACGATCTACTTTCAACATTTAGCATTGTATTCGTTTGATTCAATATTAGAAATTAATACATATTCTAACACATTCGTAAGTGTGTTTGGTTTTTTTAAAAGATAAAATGTTTAACACGTTTTCGTAAATCAAATGAATCAGCTACTTCTTTTACAAATATTTTGCATATTTCATTTTTTTGTGTGTATTTAGTTTAATTCCTAACCTGCTTCACTGTCACTCGAATCGCTTGAACTGCTATCGCTGGAACTAGATGACGATGAATCACTTGAACTGGAACTTGATGACAGATGACCGGCAGGTGGTACAACGGCAGCATCTAATTTTCCAGCAGCTGCATCTTCAACTGAAAATACACATAGAAAAAATGAAACGAAAAGAAAATGAACGAATGTTCGTGACCGTTTGTTATCATTCCGATCATGGGAAAAGAGAAGAAATCACAATTGTTTTATAGATATACGATTCTCATTTATACTATCCATACCTTTCTTGGCTGCCTTTTTAGCAGAGCCCAATTGACCTGTCACATCCTGTAAGCGTTTCTCAAGCTCTTGCTTCTTTTCCGCCATTTGCTCATCCTTCGATTTTCCAGACACCTTTTTGTCTACATTTTCGAAATAAATAAAATGATGCACATCAGTGTCATATGCTTAATTCTCGATGATTGGCCAATTGATTCAGTTAAAGATAGAATAGAAACAGTGCTTTATATGTTACAGAAACACTTTCAAATGAAAACAAATATTTTTGTTGGAAGTGCCAAGTTATTAGAATATCATCGCCGAAAGGTATAAAATAACGACAAAAAAACTTAAAAAAAACTTAAGATGTGGTGCAAAAATTATGAAAGTAAAACATGCAACCAAAAATTTTGAAAATTAATTGAAAAAAAATATTTGTTTTCCATATTCACGAACACAATATAAAAACTAAAACACATAGACCAATGAAATGACAAAATAATAAATAAAAAAATAAAAATAATAATAATTCAAATAGGTTGATGCTCAGTTCATCCAATTAACACAGACACTACTAATTTGATTAGATTGATCGCAAAAATCACTTTTTTCGCCATATTTACTGTACAAATTGGCATTGGTTAGGTTCTAGAGCTAGAATTATTTACATGCTATTTCAATTGCACACATACGCGATATTTTATTTACAATTTTATTTATGAGTAATTCTTTTTGAGAAGAGAATTGGTTGGCGTTTGATTGCTTTTTTTGGTGCATAGGAATAGGGTGCAAGTGAAGCATGTGATGCAGTGAGTAAAATGCTATATATATTTACAGTTTTACAGTGTTTGACAACAAGCACATCCATGGGTGAAACGTAAAGTATGTTATTTCTCATCCTTTTTGCGACGGACATTGTGTCACACAGGACAGTACCATCTCGATAAAAAGAGAGAAACAATACACTTTACTTGTCGTCTCAATGAGACGGTCTCAACCACAGATGTTTGCCTATTCAAACTTTTGTGGATTTTTTTCATTGTGGTTTTCTAGCTCCAACAAGGAACGAAAAAGTGTTAAGGTGCGTATTTATGTGATTTCTATTGTGTGGGGTTACGATCGATTTGTAAAATACTTTAATATTCTATTTTGATTTGGTTCATCTTTAAATCATCATTTTCCGTTTTAGCAGTGTGTGTCTATTGGGAACTTACAGTAAGTCTTACGAGTTTTTTTACGAAGACATGTGGCAACATAGCTCTCCAGTTCACGAAGTGTAGACGGTTTAAGGGTTTCGAAATCAATTTCGATTTCATCCGGATTGGAATCACGAAGTGATGGCTCACGATTCTGTATGATATGAACAACTCGACCAAGTTTGTCGCCTATAAAAACAAAAATAAATAGTATTCGTTGTGGTTTTAAGGAAGGCGGATCTTGCCGATGATTTGTTTCATGTATATACTGTGATGTTTACCTGGTAATTTATTGATGTCCAATGACAATTGGCGTTTTTCATCATACGACATTGGTTTAGCAGTGTCTTCGTCCTCAGACTCAAAGTTGGTTGTCGGCACTGTTGGTTTCTTCTTATTTGCACCACGTGCAGTTGCTGGAGCGTTACCTGAATAAATTCCGTGCAAATTGAAAAATTAATAAATGTAAAGAAAGAAAAAATGGTGACGATTGCTGTCGTTAGTGTTATTATAAATAGACTTACCCATGGCCGCTTTTCCACGTTTGGGTGCACCTTGTCCAGCGTTTGCCTTTGGAGCACGTTGTCCTTTTGCCTTAGCACCTTTGGCGGCAGTAGTCGGCACCGATACGGCTGGATTAACTCCCATCGCTTGCATGGCGGCCATTGGGTTTTGTGCTGCTTTGGCGGCCGCTGTGGCCGCATGACTGATTGGTGTGTGACTGGTAAGCATTGTGGGCATCATGGGTGTGCTAACTGGAGCGGTTGCTTTCTTTTTGTCTTTGACTTTTTTCTTGGTCGTTTTTCGTTTGTTCGATTGTTCGTCCTTCAATTTTTGAATTTCATTTTGTAGCACAGACAATTGCGCCTCCAGGGTTTTTATTTTCAATGTTCGTTCATCATCTGAATTCGATTCAACGCCTTCGTCGCTGGAGTCATCATCAGATGTGTCTATTTGTTTGTGTGGATGACGCTGATACGATGTATTACGAACGGGTTCATCGGGAATGTTTGCAAATCGCATTTCGAAAACGTCTTGTAATTTTCGGCCCATCATGACAACATCATGATCTGGTGGATTGTATTTGTAACAATTTGTGAAGATCAATCGAACATCGTCGGCAAACTCGGACGCACTTTTGTATTCGCGATCGTCCATCTTCTTTTTCACCGTGCCCAGGTCCATTGGCTTTTTAATGATATCATGATAGTCATGCAATCCCAGCAGTTCAGCATCGACCGGCTTATAGAATGGCCATGCATATCCCGAATGCTTCTTTGAGAATAATTCTTTTAAGATTTCATTACAGGCTTTTAAGGCTTCTGACAATTTGCCCTTATTTTTGGGCGTAGCGGCTTGATGGGGTGTCATTGGTGACATTGGAAAAGCACCTGTTTGATACGGAGGTATTGCCGTTTCCTGCAAATTATTTGAATAATATTTTATAAATTTTTTTTCATGTTACCATGATCAATATGGAATTGAAAGTTGCGTTTTAGCGAATATGTGAGGAATTGTTATTGAGATTTTGTCACATAATACAATGGAATAATGTTTGATAACAAATACACTATAAGTATGAAAATTCGTTCTTACCTGTCGACCAGATTCACGTCGAGTGGCGATTTTGGCGCTTTTCGTAAGCGGATCTGTGAGAGTGTATGACTCGAAAGAGTTGGCTGGTGTCGTTGTATCGGCTTTTCTTTTCACACCTTTCTTCATTTTAGCAGGTTGTTGTGGTGGCAAAACTGAATCCATTCCCGGTTGCGGTGCTTTGTTCAATTGATACTGGGGTTGCTGAAGTGCAGCGAGTGCATTTGGTGGCATACCCGGCATCTGCGGTGGAACAGCACCTTTTGGTGCAAACTGTTGTACCGGCGGTATCAATGCAGTTGTTGTCGTGTTAGTGCTTCCTGGTATCGAAGATGGTGGCATCGTACCAATTGGTGGTATGGTTGAGCCTGTTAATCATTATCATACAGAAATTATATTCATTAGAAAATGGAAAATCGAAATCAAACGTGTTTTTTTTTTTTGGAGAGTCACATAGAGAGGAAATCTCATGTAAGATGATTGGTATACGAAATTAAAGCAGTATTTTTGTCATCAAATTACCTAATGCATTTGGTGGTGCGCTCGACGTTGTCACAGATCCAAGTGATGATGCAGGTCGTCCACGGTTTATACCAGCAGCAGCTGCAACTGGTCCGACCGGACTTGGCAATGGAGCGGCCCCGCTAATACGTGGTGCCTTCTTTTTATTTTTATTCGATGTGCGGCTTTCGATTTCAATCTCGTCCTTTGGCATCAGTGTCACTTTTGTCAAGAAAACTTTTTCAAGTGCTTGTGCCATAACGACCACATCTTCTCCTGGTTTATTGTATACATAACAATTTGTGAACATTGTATTAAAATCCTGAATGCACTCCTTTGAACTCCAATAAAAGTTGTTCTCCAATCGTTTCTTTATCGTGCCCAAATCCATTGCTTGTTTGATGATTTTATGATAATCGGGAAGATTCAATTTCTTTGCGTCGACAGGTTGTTGGAATGGCCATGAAAATTTGTGCTTCCAGACATCTTTCATGACAGTTTTTGAGAGGAAGTGCAATTGATTTGTTAATCGGCCTGGTCGTTCGGGAGGCGGGATAACAGGTGGTTGTACAGTACCATTGACGGAATCTCCACCCGATTCAGTTTTGATCGGCGTTTGATCAGCAACCCGTGGCACTTCCTTACTCTGCTCCATTGTTGTTGGTGTCGTTGATGGAAAATCTTTTTTCTCAGTCGGCGGTCTTGGCGGAATGCCCTTTTTATATTTTCATGCAAAGAAAGCAAAAAACCAATTAAAAATTGTAAAACATTTAAAATAACCGCGTATCTTATTCATTTCAATTTTCAATTGGTAAAAATGACAGCTCATAGTGAATACTTACAGAAACGGCGGTCGATGAAGATTCAGTCCCTTGCTGCATACTTGAATGCAGACTGAAATCAAATACATCATGATTGTTAGGATTAAAATTTTGTACCATATTCATAAAATTCGCGTTCATGCCCATATTTGAGCTCAAATTCGAACTGACGCTCGAGTTAATGCTCGAACTAATGTTCGAATTCATACTGATTGAATTCATATCAGCAGTACTAGTGCCACCTCCAGCACCGTTGAACCACATTTTTTTTCGCAGAGCAAATTTTTGCTAGAAATAGCCACGAAATTAGTTTTCGCAAAATAAATTGATTCGCATTATGCATACATTTCGAAGACGAAATATTTTTCTCCTGCGCAAACACAACTGAATTCATTTAATTGCACTATCTATACTTCAATTGGGTTTGTTCTACTGACGTCAGTCTATTGCATATTGTCTGCACTAACTTAACCAAACTTTTTTCCCTGGATTTTCTGCTTATTTTTTGTTTGGTTTGGGCGAAGCCGTCACAAATGTAAATTGAATAGTTCGATCCAACTATAATTTTTCAAACTGAATTTTTCAAGTATTTTTAGTCAAATAATATTGGAAAACATATCTATTTCACCGATTATTCCAGGGCGAGTGCACTATTGAAATCAGCAATCAAGGAAAAATTGCAACATAAAATTTGATTATCACTTCAAGGTTAATTTTTGCCTGAGTGTCCGGCGTTTCGTTTTATATTTGCATACACACGATTTACACTCAAAATGCACCTTTTATTGTAAAAAAAATGGTTGAAAACAATTTTGTGTAGTGTATTAGTGTTCCATCACTAATTTATCCTCAAAAATGCGTCGTTAAAAATCATTTTTAATCAAATTTTGTTGGAATGAATGCAGCAAAACGGTTTTTTTTTCACTACGGACACTTCTACATATATATGTGAAAGAAAAGCGAAAAAAGATTATGGCCGCAAAAGACGACGCGCTCATAAAATTGTCGATGTCGCTGTACACTCTTCTTCTTATTATTTTGTGTCTTTGTTATATGGTAAGGCTGATGCTGCTCTGCTTTGTACACCGCATGTGTATTGGTGTGAACGCAGCGACGACAAGAAACAGCATTTTTCACTAATAAACACTCTTTTCTATACACTCAAGCTGAAGCACACGTTCACCGAAACACGATTAACATATAACTGACAGCGACGAGACCCAAACGCATTCGCTCTCGAGAAACGAACGCTCAACAAAAATTCGACACTCACTCATACTTACTCACATCGATACATAGACACACACACACATACCAGCCAATGTGCCATTCCATGAGCATAAACAATAAAACAAAAACCTAAACACTATGACTTCATTTCTCACTCTGTCATTTCACTCAGACCCCTCGAACGGAAGCCGCAAGGACTATACTCTTGGTCTCTTTCGAAAGCAAGCATTTTCAGTCATTGTCATTTCTCATTCGCATTAAGTCTGTCTTTTTCTTACAATCTCGTTCGACAGACTACTCTGTTTGTCGCTTTTATGTGTGTGTATTGCTGTTCTATTGTTTTCGAAATGGTTTGCGTTTGGTTTTTGGCATGTTATTTTTGTTGTTGTCGCTCTCGTGTTTTCTCTATCGTCATAAACTGAATGGAACGAGTATCGGGTTTGAGGCACGTAACTGTACCATTACATATCGTGTATTTTAACATATATATTTTTTTCTTCTCTTCTCTCTGTTATTTTAAATTTTGTGTATTTATACTGTTTGTATATTTTTATGAAGTACATTCAATGGTCGTATGTAATTATTTTGCGCATTTTGCTTCATTGCTTTCGGTCTCGATGTTCGTTTCGCTTCTTTTATGTCTGTCTTTTTCTCTCTATCTCCCATTTGCACGAATGCTATCATATTAACGTAGGTTTGAAGGATATGCGGCGGTACACTGAATATAAACCACATACAAAGTGCGCAAGCATTTCAATCGTTTTGACACAGAAAATTGTTCAAAAAAAGACCACGTCAGTTTTGGCCATTTAATTTTATTGTCATCAGTTTATAATATTATTATATCGCAGATGCGGGGAATCACATCGACGGTGCAATAAAATAGTATCAGCGAAAATAAGTTTTTATTTTCGAATATGGAAACTGGGCTATATCACATGAAATAAGTAGGCCAATCGAATGTCGTAAATGTAGCTCCCTGGAAATGGAAAAGTGTTTCGCATCGTATTTGACGTGGTTAAATGCAGCCCATGTAGCATATGTATTTTTATCGATAATAATAACGAACGATTCGTGCAAAGAATCGCAGGTAGAAAAATGACAATGGCTTCACTGCACTATCTGGTGAAATTCAGAAAAGAATAGATAAAATGCCAACAAAACAAATTGTTTGTTTGGTAGCAATATATGCTATACAATCTATCGGTTGTGCCTTATTGGTTTCGTTCTTCACATAAAATTTGTTCGAACAAAAACGTGAAGAATGCATTCATGGTCCCATCGCTTTCTTATATTTTTTTAATACTTTTTCATGCCGAATGGCACGTATTTTATCCGTTCGCTTTGTGAGCGCCAAAAATTGTTTCATATGTTGTTATCACCGATCGATCGGTACGGCTGTATACAGTATTTGTTCCGCATGTTTTTTTTTTCACGGCTAACAAGTAGAAATCATTTTTTGGTCATTGGACTCAGATGTATGAAAGAAGAGAAAAAACTTGAATTTCTGCCGAAATAGCATGTGTTTTGTTGTGTTGATTGTACGCAGCACCAACACATGCCATAATGCTTTCAGACAAACATAGTGTCGTTTCGTTTTTCTATTTTCGTCTCGTGTGGCGAAAATAGCTCCAGACAGATATGATCGTTATGTGTATATTTATATCGATAGAAGTATACTTGAAAACGGCACATAGTTAAAAGTACTCGAAACGTATGTCGTCGCTTGATTCATATGTAACTCATTGATTTCACATCTATTACACACTCTTTCACAATCGCACTCGTACTCACATTCACCCAAACACAAACGTACACTCAACATACCCCGTATACGCAAGTCACTTCGATTTCTCCACTATAAAATAGTCTCACACATACTCACATACGCGATAGAGGAAGAGAGAGAGAGAAATTCATGCAACAACAATTATTTCGTCGTTTACTTCGTTTTCCTATTCCGTGAATGAAACAACTCTAGACCATGCATCGCAAAACAATGCGATCGAGAAAAAGAGAAAGCAATATTGCTGGGTGAAAAAAATAACTCAATCGGCAGCATTCGTTGTGAGTGTGTGCATGAATTACATATGCGCGCGCCTTTTTCATTGTCGCCTTTTCAGACCTTTTGCTATTCAAACGCGGTTTTGTGGTTCTTCGTAGCGACAAACTGTACACTTCTTGTTTTCACTGACTGGCTAAAATAAAAGGCACTCCATCGTATGCATCAACAGCTCAAAAAAAAATTGTGAGTGAAATGGAAAAAGAAGCGGAGTAGCGAACGAGGTGCTAAAAGAGCGGCAATTGTACGTTGAAGTACAGCACGCACGGCACTAAGAAAAAATATCACATTCGTAGTGAAATCAACAACTGAATTGAAGTCGCATACATTTCATATTGACACGAAAAAAAGAAAGTGTCTCATCACCGGATATATTGATTTTTGCATTGCCTTCGAAGAAGAATTCGAATGACTGAAACAGAAATCGCTTTGGAAAAAAAAGATTTTAATCTGTCTCATTCATATGGATGCTACTAAATTTTAAAATATTTTCAATTTTATTGCCAATAGTTTAGTTGTGAAATGAAACAAAAAAAGAAAAGAAGTATCGATGTTTCTGTTTATAAAACACGAACCAAACAATTTTTCTTTTCAACGATTAGTTGCTTTTCTTTTTGGCGCGTTTTTTTCTGTCTTCACAATTTTCTGTACACCAAAAAGTGCAATTGATTTATATGTTTGCATTATTTGCTGATCTCGCTTTTTACTCTGTTTATTTGTTCTCTCATGTTTATGAAGTAAAGAATAATTCTTCGATTATTTATCAAAGTCATCAATATATGATAGAGCTTTAATAGATTTTTTTTATTCTTGAGAAGATGAACATAGATCTGTTTCGATTTCAACAAAAAATGTTATCAAAATATATCACGGATTTCATTTGAAACGCTGAGTTTTGGACAATCATTCTAACATTTATCACGTCCTTCAATATATTTTTGTTTTGATTCACGATGTTTGACAATATGGCAATGGTTTTCAAATAATTCTTAGACGTTTTTTTAATAAAAACACTGTTTGTTTATGATTACGTTATGTGCACCGAGCAATATTTCTAAATATAGATTAAATAGCCGTTAAAAATCTTTCGCGTTTTCTTCATTCTTACAATATAGAATTCTTCACTTTACAACAATTTTTCAACAGAATTTTTGATTTCTTGAGCGATGAGGTTTTACATAAAATAGTAGTCACTTTTTAAAGAATGTAGTTGTTCAATTTCATTGCATTTTGTCCTTGAATGTCATCATTACGTTTTTTGCAAACTGAACAAAGAGGAAATCGTCCCTTGTTTTTTAAATGAAAACAGAACTCACTTTAAGTTTGATGACCTCAAAAGCAGAGTATTTTTTTTGTTGACACGCGCTCGTGTTTATTTCTATTATATCAGTGATCGAAACACAAATTGAAATGTTTTCGGAAGTAGGAAGCAATGGCGATAATTATCAAGTTGTCATATATTTTGGAAGTGTATTTTTCACTATTACAATCATTAAATTTTTTAAAAAACTGATTTCGTGGTCACTCTTTCGCAATTATTTGTTTGCTTTTGAAAACTGCTGGTGGTTCACTGAAAAATGGCACTGAATTTGTTTGGAAACAAATAGGATGGAATAGGGGAGATGCTTACCAATTCAGACGTAATCAATGAAATGAATACAGGTCAGCTCAGGCAGATCATTTATATGTCATTAAGCATCCAAAGATCTTTCTTTGATAGTCTGTTTACTCTTTAAAATCACTTGCTTTTTTATGAAATTGACGACATTAAATCTGAAATTATAAAAAAAATTAACGTTAAATTTGTGTATCTATTTTTTTAGCTCAAGTAAAAAGGGAAAAAATACAATATTGGTGCAATCACCCACACTCAATACCAAATGTTTCGAAATAATCTGTTGAACGCCAGAGTTTGGCTTGAAATAAATCCCATTCAGAGCTGATGAACTATATATACACATAGAATAGATTTGTTCTTAATTACTTTTAAACAGTCGTTAAAAACGCATTGTGAATGCACTTTGATGTTTTGGTGACAGGCTCATTTATGCATGTACTATCAACTTTGCATATTCTTTCGGCAATCAAGAGAAGTGTTTTGGTTAAATTTTGCTCTTCAGAGATATTTGCCAACTCACAGCAGAAGTAGCAACAATGGTCACAAACTATCAAAGTGAAATATTTGATTTTAAAAATGGAAACAATGTTGACAGAGATGTGTACAATCAGAACATGTTATCCGTACATTTTGTATATTATCTATAAGTCTATCATATTGTTGACATTACTGACATGCAATGTAGCAAAAAAAAAACAGTTGCTGTTCAACAATATTTTCATGAAATGACGATATAGATTTTAGATTACATAAAATTCATGGGAACATGAACGGAAAAGCACAAAAATCCGAATTCTGTACACTTTGTTCTGTGTATTATCATATGATAGTGAATTTTCATAAAAATGGCATAAATACGATGCACATTCTCACAACAAATGTTCCGCAAAAAAAACACGATAAAGCGATTTGGACCATAACTTGTTTCATTTTTTGAATGTCGAGAATATTTTTTTGTTTCGATTTAGTTAGGTAAACAATAAAACTGACTTTGACAAATAGCAGATGAACGGTCCCGTGCGAATGTTCATTGTCTAATCCGTTGTCACAAAAGAGGGAGTGAGAGAAGAAAAAAAACAGTTCATCATGTACAATACATATTTTGTCTTATTGACTTTCACACAATTGAACCCGTTCACTTTTCACTTGCGACTTTATTTTTTCTCATTCTACGCATTTATCGTCGTGCAACTGTCGGTATTTGCGTTGTTTTAATACGCATTTATTGTATTTGGGATAATTTACGACACATTTATTGATCCGAATTGGATGCGATTGAAATGCGTTTGGTGCATTTAGCTGATGCGCCTTTATTAATTATGGATATTATCGAGTGCTATAGTAATAATAAATAAAAATGTACGGTGACTCCCAAACATGGCGGCGCTCGCAACGACAACGATTACTATAGCTCACTGTTACTGCCAATACGGCTACCAGTGCTGCTACTGCTGTGAAAAATATGTCTCTTTCGTCGTTCAACACAATACACAAAAACGAAAAAGTGTTCGCCTCAGTCGGCGATAGACGTCGATTCAAATTGGATCTTATTTCACTGCATCTTCGTCACTCAATTTACCTCGGTCAATTGCAATAGCAACGATTTTAAATAAATTTCTTTTTGAATTAAATTTAATCCAAACAAAAAAAAATAATAATCTACTTTTATCCGTAATGAAAATGAAAACGCGAATACACTCGCTGGCCTAACACCAAAGACACACACACGCTACTAATCAATGAATACAGTTTTTTCCGAGTCGATTTAATGAGAATTTATACTCATCGAAATGGAGAGATACGGGGGAGCTAGAGTGAGAAAGAGAGCATTTACACACAGGCTTCACTTGACCTAAAAATGGCGGCGGCGGGCGAGGGTTTCGCGTGTGTACGCGATATTGTGAAATGGTTGTTTCACTCTAGCTCATATGTGATGGCTGATGTTGGAGTATGTTACACATAGATGTTTGTATGACCAACACGCGCGCACAAACATCACATTCATTTTCACTTGATTAGCACCACACAAAGGGCGCTTGTTTGACGACACATACACACACACAAACACAAGCGTTGCGCTGGTGTGCGTGCTCATTTTTGTTTCGCCTTGATGTTCAACTATTAGCGCAATTCATTATTCGACGATAAATCGGTTTCCGTGCTGCTTGCTTTTGTCGTTTGCCTGCAAAAATGACTTCGTTTTTTGATCGAATGAAATGAAAATTTTGTTAGCAACATCAATATCGAAAATGTTCAATTTGCCATCATTTGGATTGACGAAGGAAAAAACGAAAATACTCATTAAAATTTGCAATTCATTTGCCATGGATTGCAATTTATTTTGTGAGGCGATGCAGTCCATTCAATGTGGATGTTATCCGATTAAAAAAAAACTTACGAAAAAATATTAATATTTATTCTTGCCGTTTTGTAATGGCGTACATGAAGACAACGGAGGGAACGAAGACAGCAGTTGTGACTATGGCGCAACAGCAAACTATGGTGTATATATGAGTAATAGGAAATGAAAAAAAAGATGGCTGCCATGAATGGACTTTGTAATATTAAATCATGATTCAATTTTTTTTTTGCTTAATTTTTTGCAATTTATTTGCAAATCTTCAACTTTTGTGCAAATTAAATAAAACGCAACTAATAATTTCTGTTTTTCATCTCTGAACAGTTTTTAATTTACCATTTATTTCGACAACAATTTGATCTTGGGTTGGGTGATCTTTCTTTTTTCTGTGGCTTTTATTTTTTTTTTCTTTTTTTCTGAAATACAATTTCATCAATCAGTATTTCCCGCACATTTTATAATTACTCGTTGTAACTTCAAAAATGTAATCAGAAAAATACGTACACTTCAGATTTCTTCAAAGTAAATGAGTCTCTCTATGTATTTAGACAAAAAAAAAGTTTTTATGGATAGTATTTTTCTGGTTAAAAATGTCTCTTATGCACACAATACTTTATTCAGCGCTTGCTTTGTTTTCTCGATACAAAAAATATATATCGATTTAGATCGATAATTTCAACACTCCACGGAACAAAATCGGTTTATAAATTGTTTTTTCTTGAATAAATAAAAATTACGATTAAAAATCGACGTGAAAAAATTAATTTTATTAACTCGATTTTCGCCCCGTGAACAGCATCATTTTCTCTCTCTACGAAAGTGTATGAACGTCATTTCGCATAAGCATTCATATTCATTTATAAATGTGTACGGCAGACACGCATTCAGTGGAGGCAACAGTATGGCAATAAAGCAGCAAAAACAACAACAACAATCGTATGAAAGAAGAAAAAAAATGGACGACTCACTGGTTACTCCATTAGATTGTGGCCATACTGCACAGCAACGCAACTCAATGCGGCAAATGTATCATTTCATTCGAATGGATACGTTCAAACCCTCTACGAAAATGAATAAAACGTAATTGGTTTTGTTATTTTCGAAATACCAATGCTATTTTGTTGAAAAGTCAAAAGTTTTGGTCGCACGTGCATTTGACAACTGATTTTACTGAGTCGCGTTTTGTTTATTTTCTTATTTCGATCGCATTCACAAGTTTCAAAATGGGAAAAAAGCGTAAGTTTGAGGTTGAACAAAAGGAGACCAATGAATTTGGTTTGCACGCGAAATTTTTGGCCACTAGTCACATTCGATCGCAAGAAAAGCGGTTAATTGTCGTTTTAGAAGGGGCACAATTGGAAACAGTTAAGGTAAACTATACATCAATTGTTGTTTTTATACATGTTATGCTCACATGGTTTGTTATTGGTTTTAGGTTGGAAATACTTTTGAACTACTAAATTGCGACGATCACATCAATATTATGCGAAGGAACCACAAAGACCCGGCAACCGTTCGTCCGGATATTACTCATCAGTCGTTGTTGATGTTATTTGATTCGCCGTTGAATCGTGCCGGTTTATTACAGGTGTACATTCATACACACAAAAATGTACTAATCGAAATTAATCCACAAACTCGAATTCCACGTACTTTCAAACGATTTGGCGGACTTATGGGTATGTTTTTGATAAACAACAAAAATTAGTTGTAGACAAAAAAATTCCAATCTTTGGACTAATTCTCATTTGTTTTGTTCTTTCAGTGCAATTACTACACAAAATGAGTGTACGGGCCGCCGATACAACAGTCAAATTGATGAAAGTAATAAAGAATCCCATCACAGACCATTTACCCGTCGGATGTAAAAAATATGTTATGTCATATACTGGAACACTCGTGAAGAACCCACGTGAACTTGTGCCCAAAAACGATGACGAACCAATTGCTTTGGTTATTGGTGCATTTGCTCATGGAAATGTTGACGTTGACTACACCGAAGGTTCATTTTCGATCAGCAATTATCCGTTGTCCGCCGCTTTGGCTTGCTCAAAACTGTGTAATGCATTTGAGGAAGTATGGAATGTGGTTTAAATTTAGTAATAAAATTAAATAATCCTTTCGAAAATCAAATCAACAATATGTTATTTTTGCTTTATTGAGTCTTTAAAAACGAATTTGACCAGCTAAAATCGCTTTCCTTTGCCTCTTTTGAACTTTGACATAAACTGCTTTTCGTTTGATTCGGCTTCGACTGGCTTGTGAGCAATGTGAATAATTTCCCAAAACATTTTTGCGTTTGCTTCACTTCCAAGAAGATCGGTAAGTTGTTCCTTCAAAAAAAAAAAAGAAACAATTGAACTTTTACTCTTGTAAACTATTACAATACGCAGATCATTTCTTACCATATTCATTTTGATGAGCTCCCTCAAGTTTTTCACCTTTGTCATGACTTTTCCAATATTTCTTGTCGTGATTCCTGGCAATTTCAGAAGAAAATCATAGATGTTTGTGTTCATTCGATCGGCAATGCTATCCAATTCTCTTGAATTCTCATCGGATCCGAGTGCCGCTGCTTGAATGGGATCAGGTTCGAGTTTTCCATGCTTGAGTTCACCAAATAGTTGAGCGGTGGCATATGGACTTGGCGACCAAACGAAACGCAATTTCGGAAAGTGAATCGTGAGCAACTGCAATTTTTGTGTAATATCGATGTTTGATGTTGCTGATTCACCCGAAATTATGTAATTGCCCTGCAAAACACAAAAAAATCTCTTTTTAAAATTTATTCTCTTGACGTAATATTGCGCGTAATAAAGTCACCTGGAGATAGAACGGTTTATTCTGATCGAATTCAATGAGTAAAATAGCTTTCTTGTAATGTCTTGTCATTTGAATACATTGAGTGTACAGGCGACCTGAATTCAGCGAACCAATTAAGTCTGATATAGATTTTCGTTCGACGCAAATATCCGGCGTTAAAATGTAATCACCAATTGTTATTGTAACAGGAACAACTTGAATACCACGACGATGTATCAAACATGGTAGGTCTGATCGAAACTCTCGCATATCGACAATTATTCGGGGAATGATTGTGCCCTCTTCGGTCTGTTGACCGCCAGCTTGCCGAGTGTTTGTCACCACATCCGTAACTTTTTGAAAGGCAATCAATGAATCATCCGTTTTTCCATCCTGATGCTCTGGTATGACCATTTTCTATAAAAAGAAGCTTTTTAATTAAATTATAATACTTAATGGTTTGATTTTAAATTACCGATTTGGTATCGATAATCAATTCGAATGCCTGTTTTTCACGCCGCAATGATGTGAGATAGCTTTGTTCTTCGACAGTTTGTGCGTGTACGAGAAAGAAGACTTTCAGTCTTTGGCTTTGTACACGTCGCTTCCGTGCTTCGTACACCTCAATTTGACGAATCGCCGTCACATTACAATGGTACATGATGACATATGCTGGATCGATTTCATTCAGTGTTCGATCTAATGATATGGGACCATCTTCACCAGTTTTAAACGTTTGAATGCATACTATTGGTTTTCGTTGATGTTGAATGATTTGACTAATGTCAAGAGTCTCAAGCTAAAATCAAATTTAAATCCATATGATGTCACCGGTTTTTATTTTGTTTAAGCATAAATTACCTCAGCAAAAGATTCAAATTGACCGTTTGTCATTTGTGTTACGTCGAAGGAGTCATCTTTTGCAGCCTCGGCTGGAACTTCAATCGATGGATTTTCGGTGACTGTTAATACATATGATTCACGGTAAAGTGAGAACTCCGATATATCTTCTGTTGCAAGTTCATCCAATTCATTTGCCGGCTTGTTGGTTTCATCTTCTTCTCCAAATTCCTTCATTTCCGCTTCCTTTCGTTTTGCGATTCTATCGCGCAAAAATCCTTTTTTGCCCGTATCTGATACGGTACTATTCAGTGTTTGACTTGCATCCTCTGATTCTGGTGCAGCCTTTCGCTTGGTAGCTGAGGTTGTAGTGGTGGATGCCAAACTTGTTGTTGGCTATTAAATATATTTGACATTCAGTCGTTGAAAGAGAAAGTGAATTAAAATCGAACATACCTTAATAGTTTCGTTCTGCATGTGACTTCCACGCAGACGAATACTATTTATATCACTTTCTCTGACATTTTTATAAGCTTCAGATAGCTTTTTTATTGGTATGTCGTTTTTCATGGCGGTGAATAGCAAATATTTTTCAGCACCTTCAGTCAAATACTGATTTAGTTGGTAGCATGTCCGAGAATCTTGACATAAAATCAGTACAACGATCGGTTTATTGGCTGCTCGTCGTCCACTTTCTATGGATGCTCTAACATCACTCGGAATCTCAACACGCAGTATCTCGGACAATGTATCCCATTTCGGACACTTCTCTGGCTCGAATTCTGAAAATAAAAATATATTCTACTCAAAATTCACGTGAGAAACATCACTTCGATAATACACACCATCATTTGAATTATAGACACGATCACGTGTCGTTTTGAAAATTTGTTCAGCGGTATCCAATAAAATCCATCCAGAATTATTCAATGCATACTCTTGACTTCGATATCGTTTCATTGTAACGAACAAAGACACGGCATCATTGTAAATGGTCGAGCTAAAATCAGAAACAAATAATCTCTTTATACTTTACACTGATATCGGACACACTTACATCATTAAACTTCGTAGGACTTTCAAATCGGATATCAGCATCTTGGTTTGGGAGTTCAATTGATGCCAAACGCTGTCAAGCTGTGATTGTAAAATCTTGTGGAAACGTTTAGTCACACAATTTTCAACTGTTATCTCTTGCATGTCAATATATCGATTGATTCTTTTGATTTCTTTCACCACGAAGTTCATTATGTCAAGTAACGCTGTTTGAATTGAAATCATCTTATCTGTCATTGGTATGTGTAGTTCGATCACAGTTGGCTCAAATGCTTTTAATGCTTTTCGGGTTAGTGCATGAAATCGTGGCCAAATTAATAATTCGGTGACAAAGAGATTTCGCATCACCTTTTCGATGTGACCATATCCATAGGTGAATGCTTCGGCATTGTTCGAAAAAGCCTTTACAAATCCAGTTTTATTCGATTGGCGATACAGTCGCAAGGCGAACGCTTCCTGGCAAGATTCGATAATTTGATGTGCCCGCAATACAATGATTCCAGTTATTAATTCCATTGGGATACGTTTTTTCAACAAGTCAACTACCAAAATGCGCGTGGAGATAAAATGAATGCCACCCATTAGATAGGTGAGCTCGCTGTAATAAACATTCAATCAATTTTTAAAAGGTACTTAGTAAAAAACATGAGATTTTACCGCTCATTGCTATTGGTAGATGATTCGTGTACATATCTTGGTTCCAATTGACTACGATAGTACTTTTCCTCGTAATCGGCACTGTTTATAACAATAATTAGATTTGCTGGATCGCAGTATACCTTGAGCAGATTGAGTACCACACGTTCATATCCAATACCTCTGAAATGGATGATATGCATACAATGATTTTTAGATAGGATAGATGCGAAAGATCTATGCAAGATCCAGATCCAAGCATGCGTACGCTGCCGCATGATGCATACATATATAATACGCACGCAAATTCGTTATTCTTATTTCCCCTTCTTTGATTCGCATGCCATAGCATTACGGAGTAAGGAATGTATGTATCATGCGGCTACGTACGCTTGGATCCGGATCTTGCGGAGATCTTACGGATCTATTCTATCCAAAAATCATTGTATGATGATATGACTTCAATTTCTTTCTAATTATATTTGCTGAGTTGAATCAATGTACAAACATACCTTGCACTCACCACCAGACAATCAGAGTCAACAGTATCAAGAAACATGTGCTTTTCATATTCTATCATAAAAGTTTTTGATTTGAGTAAAAATTCCTCAACCGTTAACAATCTATCGAGTTCTTTGTCGGCGTTTATTTCACTGTCATTGAATTGATCGCCATCCAATGGAGGTTGATTCGACGTTGAAGGTTGTGGATCATTCGACTCCGAATCCATTTTGTTAACGCAGCTATTCCAGAATAATTTCAAAATATTTCGTAACACCGGCTACATTAGATGATACCTATTTCGTGTACTCTCTGATGTTTGTCTTGAATTGTCAAACAAAATACTATAAACAAAGGTAATGTCATCGCGAAATACAAATGACTGCGTTCAATGAACGTTGTTCGAAAAAAAACGCATCCTACGTATTTTTCGTTTAAAACATTATTGAAGCGGGTAAAAACACAAAAAAAAAACACCTTTTTAATTAAGGAAAAAGAAACAATAAAACGAAGGAAAAATACAAACGGAATAAACCAAAAGTGAATGCTATTTTATTTAATTGAAAATGTTTGGCTTGGCTTTAATTGAATTGCATATGAGTCTGTCTTACACTCACTACAAAACTATTCAAACGTATTTCTCAATACTTAACAAACATGATCTCAGTAACAGCAAAAAGGTAAAAATTGGTAACCATAGGAAAAAAGAAGCAATTTAGCCATTAAAAAAGAGTTTATTTCTATTTCTTCAGTCTTAAGAAAATCAGTCTGATCCATAAGTATTTAAGGCTAAGTTTTACACAAAAAAACTCCATGTTTGAATACAAAGCAAAAATTCTAGTGGCATTAAATCTTAGCTTAAATCACACGAATATGGCATCTGAATGCCATTCAGTGAATTGATGTATATATTTCGTGTATAAAGGTTTTAAAAAATATAAAATGCATGGTTGTAAAAGACACAAGTCGATTCAAAAACATTAAATCTATCATTAACTCACAAAAAGTTTGTCACAAAACCCAATACAAAACACACTAAAATGTGACCAATTTAGACTACGACCAGTATTTAGTTGTTTTCAGTTAGAATTTGACTAATAATATATTTGAAGTTTTTTGAGGTTGTTGATTACTAAATCAAAGACTATTTCTCAAATTTACTCAATTAGGTACATGCGACACTGCTGCTGTATCCGAATGTTAAAAGTTTTGTCGCTAATCGACACGGTTCTGATGTTGCGTTAGACTTCGTGTTATAACCTCAGGAAGTGCTTCCAATCGTTCCTAGATAATAAATAAAAAAATCTTCATTAATATAACACTAAATGATCACACTAACGTTAAACACCAAAAAGTTGAATGTTTTGCATTCGAAACTAAAGTTTTTACCACGAACCTGAATTGTTTGGATTTTTTCTTTCAGGTTAGTTAACTGCTCTATAACAGCATATTTGCTGCTTGACATGTCAGATACGATATCATAAACGTCGTTTTGTGTCTGTTCAAATTAAATGAAAAGAAATGAGAATTTGTGAAATAATAATTTTCTTATATGCTTGGTTACCTAGAGTTGATCAGAAGAAAAGGATGGAAAAAATGGAAATTAATCAATAAGTAATGAAACAGAATGAAAAAAGGAATCGAAGGAATGGATCAGGAATGGTAGAGTAATGGAATAGTAATTTTTAAGTAAGTATGCCATTTTGGTTACCTTTGCCATGTCTGTTATACTATTTGCATTGTTAAAAAGTATTTTTTGGTCCATTTTTGCTTTTCTTGATCTTATTTTGGATAATATAATTCAGTTAGCTTTTTATTGAATTAAACAATTTCATATTACTTACGCATAGATTGCCGTTAAGAATTTTTTCTGATGCGTTCGAAGTAGTCCATGATTTACTCCAAGCTTGCTATGCTTGTAGATGAGCCAAGTTTCTCTCATTATATTCGCCGCTGTATTTTTGAGCTGTTAAATATGAAAATACAATTTCTTGTACTTGTTATCACAAATATATTATTATCACCTATTATTAAATGAAATTTTTAGTTAAATTTGTATTTTATAAGCTATTATTTATTACAAAGTATTAATTGATATAAAATCAAACTGTTTTAAATGGTCATTACTCGTTTTGTTATTTGGAAATCCATCAAGAAATTATATACGAGCTTTTCTGAACGGCGAAGTTCCAATTTTCGTGATACAACTGCTATTAACAAAGCCATGGAAACAGCTCCCTGAAAAATGAAAAATATTGTTAAAATATACTACTTCAGTATCTGCATCCAAATAATACGTGGATGTCCTAAAAAAATAATTGATTTCTTCGCCTGCTTTTAGGTAATGGATTAGAACATAATGGATTACGAGTGTGACTCACCATTATTGCGGTACTGACAGCGATTCCGCGACCGCAATACGTATTGGGCACTATGTCGCCGAAGCCAACTTTCAAAAATGTAATAGCAATCAGCCTTTATGGTCAAAGAGACAAAGACAAACGAAACGTATGGAAAATTCGATATCATTGAATTAGATATTTTTTGTATAAATGAAGGTAAATCATACCACATCGAGTTAAGCAGGTTCGCATGTACCTCGTCGTGAAATCTATTTAATTGACCAAACGATCCGAGACGCGAAAAAGACAAGAAATTAATTGAATGAATATATTTTTTTTGCTATTTGTTATATATTTAATCATTTATCAACAGTTTCATTAGAATGTAAATCATGAAGAATTTTGCTTACCGTTCACATTGCTGTAAAGTCCACGATGCAATTATCCAGAATGAAACCATGAATACGAGAAGAATCGTACCCGGACAAAATGTCATCAATAACTTCAAAAAGAATCTAATGATATGCGAGAAAAATAGAATGAAAAAGATTTTACATGTCCCGAATTGGAAATCAAATGAAATAATTTTTGATAGGTTTGGATATTACCCGGTGTTAAAGTTCATACGATTTAAAGCTCCTGTACTACGTGATGATGCATCATTAATAATTTTTGAATGGAATAACATGACGCGACATATCAGGTACAAGCGAAGGAACATTGGCAGTGACAAAGCCACATCATATGGTACAATTTCACGTCCGAGTGCTTTATCTTTGTTTGCCAATATAGTTAACTCGAAATAGTATTCTAAAAATATAACAATAGTTGATAGCAATCATGTATAGAAATTAATAAATTATTAGTCACATCTTATTAGACTAAAAATACTTACGACCCGGTATCGGATGTACAGCACAAATCATTAACTCTAGTGTTATTTGACACATTCGTTGCCATGTCATTGCTATTCGCCAATCATCAGCACAATTGTCTATTTTGAATAACTGTGCATATTTCGTAGATAATATGTGAAAAACAAGGAATTATTAGCCTTTATATGTTGAATGGGAATTTATATACTATTGAATTTTCTTAATGAGTTTGACATCGTAGATAACTTGAATAAATCCAATACTTTACTGTAATTCTGATTTTATTGCATTGTTTAATTTGAATACCTGCACATCCAATGCATGATAGGCCACTATCAAACCAAGAAGAATCACAGTCGACACAGAAATCGAGATTTTTAAAGCTGTTGAGTAAAATGAGGCCTGAAAAAAATTGAAAGAGTGCTTGAAATAAAAAATATTACAATATCGATCTAAAAGTTCACGGTGTACAAATATGCATTCGGAAAAATCATGAATTGGGACAAATTACGTTTTACCCTAAATGAGATTTTTTCAAGTCCATACTTTTCATAGTTGTACAATATCTATATCGTTGGAAAGGACTTGCCGAGTTCTGCAAATTGCAGACTGCAATATTTACTCTAAAATGTAGTGCCCTACCCCCTATAGTTTGGAGAATATATCCTCCCATAGAAATTTATTTTCTATCTCAAGGTTTCACAATTCTGGTTTAAGTAAAATAAATATTGAAAAATAATGTTTTTTTTAACTTACTTTGGTGTATACGCCAGCACTGCTCAATTCATTTTCTATCACCATTACTCCGATACCAAATATTGCCATTACTAATGCATAGTCAATAATGCGTTTTCGTTTTTCAAATAAAACCTTTCGTTTACCCGAACGATAACCAGCATTTTGCTTATCTTTTTGACTAGCATTTGATCCCTGGACTAGTGGTTTATTAGAATCTAATTTGGAACCGCCTTGACCACACAGACCAAGCTCCAACTCCTCCATGTACCTTAAGATAAAATTGGACACAACAATAAAACCCAAAATCAAGTTGTGTCTGGAATGTATTTATGACATATTTAAATCAAAGTCGGTGAAAAAACTAATGATGCCAATTAGAGATGATGACGTAAATTTATTTAGAGGGGCCCTGGAAAAATTCATGGGGGTCCCTGACAAAGTCAACAATTTGTCGGAAATGAGGATAAAATCGTTTTTTTTTGCTCTTCACTTTTTCGCCAAAGCAAAAAAAAGGTCCTCATTTCCAAAATTGTTGAGGGTTCCTAAAAATATTTTAGAGAGGGATAATCCGAACCCTAGGAACCCTCGTCATCACCTATGATGCCGATCGAATGAGCACGGAAAAATACTTTGATTTTGATAGGGGTTTAGGGGATGTTTTCACTCCAAAGCACTCAAATCAGCGTCGGGCAAAATTTTGAGAGAAAAAAAGTGAACGACGTATGGGAAGTGAAACAACGTCAAATTCCCATGGCGTAGAACCCTTAGATACTCATTTTCATAGCGTTTGAATCACAATAATGTGATTTCAGAGAGTCACACTGAAAAATTACCGAATCATTTTTTTTTTATAAATTTTTTTTTCTGGTAATTCCTTAATTGTAAATAAAATTGAATAATTTAATTATAAATAAAAAATTGTCACATTCGATTGCAATTTTTCCAATAAATCGTGTAAAAATCAATTCAATTTTAATAAAATAATAAACCTTACCCGGTTTATGACTATTACAAAGCGGTATCAAAACGGTATCAAGTTAAATCGCGCCTGCGTCTTGGTCACAAATAACATCAACAATGTATGTAATGTGCAGCTGCATCCACCACTTTTATATGTATGCAACACAATTGTCCTTTTTATTGTTTGGTACAATTTCAAAATATTCACTTTGTTTCAAAATAAAATGTTCTTCAATAAAAAAGTTTGAATCTTCGAAAGTCAATTGAAAAGGATTCAAAGTAAAAAACAAAGTCAAAAGTTTCACAGAGAATGTAAGTACTGCTGCGATCCCTGAATTCAGAGTGGTGAAGAACACATAGAATATTGTGTTGCTTTGTTATGAATGTAGGGCGCCTGTGCGACTTTACATTTCATATGCGTGAGAGGGAAACGTATATTGACACATAAATCTCCCTAAAAAATAAACTGACAGCACAAACATATGAGTTTCATATGTTTTTTTATTGTGTATGTGTAAGTAAGCATACACGACATCGCATATATTCGTGTTGTTTGGAAGAAATATGTAGCGCAATATATATTTCTCTTTCGCGCATATGAAATAATATGAAAAGTCGCACAGGCTTCCTACATTTATAACGAAACAAAGCAATATTGCACACGTTATTCAGCACCCTGAATTCAGGATTCTCAGCGGTATTTTACTATGTAAACAAGTCCTTCTATTTGAAGTTTTTGACTTATTGTAATATTTATGGATGTCAAATTGAAACATACATACTTTCAGTGCTAAAATAATAGAAATAAAAACTTACGACAAAAACGTAACATATAAAATTGAGAGTTAAAACACCAAAGCGATATGTGCTATTTTTTGCTACTGAATTTCGATAAGTTATTTATTTAATTTTCCATCATAAAGTTCAAATCAATTGCCAGAGATAACATTTCAGTTTTTTCATTTCTTTTGGGATTTCTGTTTTTTTTGGGCCTTTTGTTTTCGGGCTGATTTTGGTTTTCGTGCTCCCTTCTTCTTCTTTGATTTCGGGGTTTTTTTACCACCCTTCTTGTTTGCATTAGGTTGGGCACCGATTATGGGTGCTTGTTGTGCGTTTTGAGCAAGTTGTTCACTTGCTGCAACATCGTTTGCGGCGGGAACTAGAGCAGCCTCTGGGTTTTGTTGTTGCTGTGGTACACTTTCTTCAAGGGATACTCTTTCGCTATTTACTCTGCATTTTCAATCAATTTGAATTTTTAGATATAGGAAATAAAAGATGAAAGGAATATATTTACGGTTCAAATGGTGTCTCAACTGATGTTTCAGCTGATCCAACAGCGGCGTTTTCATCTTCAACGGCGTTGACTTGGCTTTAATGTAAAAAAATATCGATTTTGTTAGAAAACATTGCAGAATTTAAATTTGACAGTGATATAGCTTACAAAGTCGTTGCGACTAAAACGACCAAACTGATTGTCAAAAGGGTTTTGAAAAATGTCATTTTGCTTGCTTATGTCGATGTCTGTACTTCTCAACACGAACTGAATTTCCACTGGCTTGAATTCATATTTATACCAGTAGTTCATTGCAAATTTTCCATATATTTTTAAGCATCATCAAAAAAAAAGCAGGAAATATCATCTTACTGAAATTTAATCAGAATATGCGTAATGAAATTTCATTATAACTATTTTGCATATGTGCTCAATAATTCTCAAAATCAATATTGAATATTAAATTGAAGAAACCATGTGTTATCAAATTATACACGAAATTAAAGTTTTGCTAAAATGTTACAGAAATTACAAACTAAATTTGAAAAATAATTTTTCAAAAATAAGATTAAATGAATTGCATCGAAGATTCTTCTTAAATTTTCCATAATCACATACAGAAACTATTATCTACGTATAAATGAGGAGATCAATATGAAGATGAACAAAATCCATATACAGAATGTGGCTGGTTTTTGTTTTACACTTTAAAAGTACGTTTACGTGGCTTTGGGTACCGTAGCTTAAACAAATGTTTTCTTGTTTTACGTTATATTCAAAGATATGTGAAAAATTTGCTTATAATCATCACAAATAATATTTATATGAAGATATCAGTATATAAAAACCTTGAATAAAACTAGAACTTCAGTTTAATTTGTACAGTCGTTCCGAAAAGCAAATAAAGCAAAATGATATTTTTGCGAGTGGCTCTAATCGTTCTATTGGCCGTGGTTATGTGAGTACTTTTTTCTATGTTAGAAAAAGATGAAAAAAAGAAATGATTTATAATTTTCGATTTTATTTCAAAATTATAGATTGGCGAATCCCGAAAAGTATGTTTTCTAATATAGAAAAAAATAAGCACAGACTCATAAAACTTTAATTATTTTAGAGATAAGAAAAAAAGTACTAAAGTAACCAAAGCAGCCAAACCAGATCGGAAGGTTAATGCTGAAGTCCCTCCTACAACTATGTAAATTTTTACATTTATTAGCGTGAAAACTATGAAGATTATGAAAAAAAGTAAAAGTTATTAAATCTTGACATTCAAATTTTTAGAGACGATGATGGTTTAGGTAAATATGGGGGATGGTCCGATTTTTATTCTGATGCTGTAGAGACGTCCCAACAACAAACTATGCTTTTGGACGCAGTTGAAGTGGACGAATCTCATGATACAAAAAAGCGCAAAAAGAGTGATGTTGCAACTAAAACTCAACGTAAACAATGGCGCGTTTAGTAAGATATACCAGTCCACAACATACATGTAGAAGAATGTTTTGTCATATTTAAGTGATTGCCACATTAAAACTTAGATTTTCAAAGGAATACAATAAATTCAACATTGTTCTTCTGCAATGTTCAACCTTTTGCATTGTTTGGTTTTATTTGCTCTTGAATTTGTAAGAAATTTTGAAGGTTCTGTAAGTTTAATAACGATCTTTTCTTCACACAAACTCATTTGTATGTAAATATTATTTTATGTGATAAAACATTTGTTGGATTTTATCGAATTGAAAACCTTTATTTCAAATTAATCGATAATTACAGGCGTCTTTTTCATATTCACTTTCCTTCATTTGTGATGTTTTGTTTTTGGAGCAGCTTTTGCTGGTTTTTTATTTCCTTTGGAAGATAAAGGTGCGGCTGGTTCCACAAACTCTTCGGAGCAACTATGATATCCATCATCTTCAAAGGTTAATGGAGCATCGTAGAAAATGTCTTCAGGAAAGCTTATATCATCATCTCTGTATTTGTTTTTGAATGTGATATAAAGAGGTTAATATTTTTTATAATGGAAATGTGAATAATATACAAAAGGTAGTAACACCACGTCATGGCCGTAGATGTACAGCCATCTCGGGGCCATCAAACCATTCAAAGAGGAAAAATGGAATTTTTCTATGAAAAATAGGCCTACTATTTTATTACAAAAGCATACGTTCGGGCGAATGACTTTAAAGCTTACATACAATACAGATAACAAGTAAACCAGGTGATAGCAACGTCAGCCGAAAAAGTGTTACTATCTTTTGATTACAACGCACTAAAAATATCGTTGCTTGCAATTTTCAGTGTGATTACACAGAATTTTGAAAGGAAACGTAAAATACTTACGAAATCGGGTTTGGAATGTGAGTTTCTTCAGATGTTGTTTTTTCTCTAAAATATAAAAAAAAAAACATATAAATTCGGTTCTTTCTTCTTATGTTTTCTTATTCAAAAACGTACATGGCATCAGCTGTCCTAAGGGATTTAAAATTAAAAAGGAATTTAATTTTTTATTGTATAGAATTATTATACAGAAACTAGATAAGTGTATTGGTCAAAATACACTGAATTATAATCGTCAATTTTATATAGAATGTGTAAGTATTTTGATAGTTGATTTTTGTGTGTTCTCTACATAGCCAGTAAGGCAATTACTTTTAAAATAATTTAGGATAGATTTGACATGCAAAATACATGTGATAGAGATAAGTGCAAATCATCATTACCGCACATACATTTATATGGTTATCACTATCAAGTTTATCAAGTATGCGAACAGTCTTTTGCTTTCCTTATGCTATTTAAATACGACAGTTTCTTTAATCTGAATGTTAAACTCTTCGTGAGCATACCTCGTTTCGTCTTGATACAGCGTTAGTTTTGCTAAAGTTTCTAACAACTTTAAATCGAATAATTTCAATATTAATTTGAATTTTTAAATTTTCAACAATGAATTATTTCACCATTTTTATATTTTTTGGTAAGCATTTGTAAACGATTTTTTTAAAAAGTGTACTTTTTTAATTATTATTCGTTCTTTTTTTTATTTAATTAAAGTAACAATTATTCTGGTATCAGCTGGACCACAACCTGATGCAAAATCAGATTGTCTTGATAATTGTCCAGTAACCTTTGAATACAGGCCTGTTTGTGGCTTGGATGGCGTAACTTATGCTAATGAAGCAGCGGTGTCATGTGAAAATGAATGCGGAAATTCAGTAATCATAAGTCATGAGGGTGTATGTCAAACTAAGAGTCTTTAACACTGAAGTGTTCAACTTTTGAACTTATACACTGCAGTTGCTGCTACTACAGCATTTAAACTTTTAAACATCTAAAATGAATGGTTCAGATGAAATATAAATGAAAATTTAGATTCTTTACTCTATAAATCTAGACACTTTGTTGTTCAAAAATTCAGATTTTTCTTGTATGTAAAAAGCTGTTATTATTTTACTAATTCGTAGAAAATATTAATTATTATTATTAGTACTTACTTAATTTTTCCAAATATGTACAAGAAAGTTTTTATTTCATATTGGAAGTTTTATATGAAATCATATCAATGGGAAATGAACATTTCAACTCGGACATGACATGACTATGGTTATATGGTGATAAATTGTTTAGCATTGATTACGCCAAATAATCAGTTTTATAAAACATAGATTGGACGAATGGGCAAAAACAAAACGAATCTTGACCTAAATTATGAAATGATGTTGTTGTTTGAAATTTTTCTTAATTTTCTTGACTTTCGTTGAATTCTAAGAGGAAAATAACTGATTGCGAAGAGTAAAATTTCTGGTTATAGATATCAAGGATGCACAAATTCATTGCCTATATCGATAATCATTTCAACGCTATTTCAACAAACCGACATCAATTAAAAAAAACGATGAGATTATTCCTGATTTAAGAACACTTCCATTGATACCGTTACTTTTTTAAAAATAATAATTCAAAATATTTACTATATTTGATTCATCTTTAAAACTTACAATGCAATAGCCACCAAAACGATTGAAGCGATGAAAAAAAAGGTACGGAAAAATGCCATTTTTTAGAATATTTCGTGCTTGCGTTGATAGTTCAATTAAACTGACTTTCCTCAGTTCTACGTTCAGTTATTTATATCCATTTTTTCTGGAATAATCAACAAATTTTTTGTCATAATTCATTTAAATTTAAAACTCGTTACGATTATTCACAATTCGACTTGAAATAAATTATATCGAAAAATTAAAACCATTATTATTCATATTCATTATTCATCATGTAATCCATGTGATCTAACATAGTAACAATTGTAAGTTTATGCATACATTTTAGGTACTTTTAGGTCCCATTTAGGCATAAGCCTTCGATTTAAATACATTTTAAAAGCGTTACAATTTCATCGTGCTGGTAGGCCTAAATAAGGGTGATTGTGCTCATTGGGAATCCAAATAAAAAAGCCAATAAACTAACTTTTGTCAAATGTTTAGCTTGTGTATTGGGAGTGGGAACATTGCTTTACAGATATCACCTATCCCATGTAATGCTCCAGATTTCAAATCCAATATGGATGGATAGGAATACTTGTTTATGAGAAATATTTTTTTAAAAATATTTTATTTTTAATTCCCGCGATAGATTGAGTGTTTATGCGTACGTCAACACTAACTCCCGCATACGCGAAGACTATCCAGAATATCCATCTCTCATATATTGGGTACGTTTATAACATTTTCAGCTTTATAGCCAAGAGCTCGCCTCCTCGTTGGTAACTTGGATGATTCCAAATAACAAGACAATAGAAAAGTAAGAAGAAAAAAATTAAATCCAATACATAATTATTATGCAAAATTACTTTATTCAAAGGATTTCTTTAATGACATTTGTTTCGGTGTGTTGTTGGTTTTATCTTAAATTTGTTTTTTGTTTTTTTTTTGTTTTTAATTCTTTACAGTTCTCTAAATGGTTTTGGGCATGGATGTTTTTCTTTATTTCATTAGACTTATCTTTAAGATTCAAATAGTTTGTTGCTTTTCGTAAAATGTGTCAAAACAATTCATTTCAACGTCATTTGAATTATATTCTTTGGAGGCCATCAAATTGTGCTCAAACATTTTGGGCAAACTGTGTATAAAATTGCACGTAGCATGTATTAATGGTCAGACACTCATTTCTTACAACTAAACCTTGAATAAAATGAAAAAGAGAAAAATACCTGAATCAGAAACATACAAAGATCAAATTTAGGAATTTATGTTTACGTATTTTGCTTTGTTTGAATTTATCGATAACTAGAAACGGTTTTCAAGTAGTTATTGTTTTGGCGCACTAAAGAAATACTCTAAAAAAACGGTTCACGCATTCAAACTTATGCCCACTGTCAGAGCTAAATCAAACGTAAAAAAGAAGCGACAACAAAAATCAAACTTATACGAATGGACATTTTTGCGACTTTTCCCATTTGAATTTATGTTTTAGATAAGTTCCTTTTTTTATTCTCCTTTTCAGCTCATCGAAATCAAATGATTAAACAATATCGTAAAATAACCTAAATAAATTGATTGAAAGTGTCACAGCCAAAAATCAATCAATCAAATTTTTTTCTCAATTTTTTTTTCTTTGCTTGACGAAACGCCAAACGACATCCGTGTGTCAGAACGACCAGAGAAAATGAATCGTTCTGATTTCTCTATTCTTTTAGCATATAAAATACTTTGACCGCATTAATGTGACGTCGAAAAATAAAGTCAACATACATTCAGTACAAAAACAAAACTAATTGCTGATCGTTAATTTTTCAATGCTATTTTGCATAATAGCTGCCGTTTAATTAAAAAAAAATTATATAAATAGCCTCAGAGCGTGTAAAAACACTCGAGCATTTCATTTTCAAAATGGTTAAAGGCAATCGAAGAAATAAAATACAGAGTTGCAAATTAATTCAATTATTTCGCAATTAATCCGTATACATACTTTGCATGCAATACTTTATCTAATTGCAATGTAATAATTAATTCGTCGCACCAGGTGATCGAGCGATTTTATGTTGCTGTTAAGTAAGTAGTAATTAAAGAGTGAACAAAAAGGTGTAAACAAACACTTAATTAAAATGATTTGCGTCAAACGTTCTATGTACACACTTAAAAGCATGAACTTGTCAATCAACGAAAGAAACGAAGTCCACGACAAAAAAAAACCGTCTAAGAAATGTCATCGTTGATGTTTATCCGTACACAAAAGAGTGGACACTTGTTTTGCACTGATAATAACAAAATGAAGTTGCCGATTAGCGGTTACTATTTTTGCATAATAAATATTAGTTAGTCATCATCATTCATTTGTTAATAAGCTAATAAGTAAGCGATTGCGTTGTAACAAAGCGGAAACCTTAAGGGATTCAGCGAATTCCACTGGTTAATTCACTTTATGTGTTTTGTAGTTGGTTTTTCTTTTTGTTGTTAATGTTGTTGTTGTTGTTTTTACTTCCATTTTTTTGTCTCCTTATTCAACAGGTACAGTGTTTATCATTCAATTTATTATTATTTTCGTATGTATGTGTGTGTAGGTGTAACTTTCGTACATTTGTTTTTGTCGTACTACAATCGAATTCACAGTTTTCCAAGTTGTCGGATCATTTTGTTTTCATTTGTTATAAATATACTTAATATTGCAATTGTAGAATCTGGTATAGTGTTTAACTTTTCTCCATCTTGATTTTAATACGCACTTCAATCTTTAAAAACATGTGTTTGAATTTTAATTTTGCCTTTTGTCACTTTTGTGTGTGTGTGTGTGTGTATCTGTCTTTGCCTAAAAAATATGTATCCTTTAACAGCAACTAACCAACTAACATACTTAAAAACTCATTTTGTGTTTTTAATAGTTATGCAATTTGTATAATATGTGTATAATATAGAAATTTTTAAAACGTTTGTATAAGTAGGTTGCATTTAGAGCATGTTTTCTTTCTGCAATGGATTCATGTTTCTTATCAATTAGTGTCAAAAATATGCTAGATTTTTCTTTTCGTTTGTTTGTTTTTTTTTTTTTATTCAACACATTTATGCAGTGTTTTCTAATAAACTATCGTCTTTGCTTTAAACGTTGAGATTTTATTGCATTTTGTCACCGGTATATCTATTTTTGTTTCTATTTGGTTGGTGATTGTTGAAATAAAATTATGTTGGTTATCTTTTTTCTGTTGTTATTGTTGTTGTTGTCTGTGTGTTTGTGGTTGTGTGTAAATATATGAAAGAATCTTTATAAACAATTTGAGTTCCACTTTCAATGTCAAAATAGAGTAAGTTTTTTTTAGTTTGTTTGTACAAATTAAACCAAAAAAGAGGGATGAAGAGATTGTGACATTTGCACTAGGTAAAAAAAACGCTTTATTCGTTAGCCCGAGGCCCGTCAATCGGCATTTGATGGAGTACTTCATCAAGTAATTGTAGTGCGCGATGTAAGTGTACCTCAATCCAGCAAGGTGTGTCTTTAATTGATGATCGTGGATAGTCTGGGCCCCAGCCCTTAACAAAACTTAAACGTAAAATACACAAGCGCCTTAAATCATCAACGCCAATACCAGCCGCAGCCGTTATATCTATTCAAATAAAAAGAAAATTTCATTCAAAAACTGACTCCGTCTGAAATTGATTCGTCGTGTTTGTTCAACTTACTTCTCGGTGGTCCTCCCAATTGTGAACTTAATCCGGCAACGGCAGCCGCTTGTGCTGCTGCTGCTGCCTGTGCATTTGCCGCTAAAGATTGCATTTGTCGATGACATTGACGTAAATCAAATACTTTAATGTAAGCTTGTGGATAGATTTTATGCACAGCATCGCCCGGACTACGGCCAGCTTCACGATCCAAATAATAGCTCTGTACAAATACTGAATGATCGCTCAAACAACGGATCCAGACATCACCTTCGCCACGCAAATCTAATTGCACACCCTTGCCAATGTGTAAACGTGCCCGTTCACTTTGCTCTGTACGATGCACATTACTCAATGCACCCAAACAAAAGCGATTCCCTCCCGATGGATCAACATAACCATCGATTATAACATTTGGTTTGCTTGATGGAACTTTAAATGTTTCACCGACTTGTGTGTCCAATTCAAAGTATGCAACTGAACACCAATACTCTGGTGCCGGTTGACGTGACAGTAAGGGTAAACGTTGTTGTCCACCTGCTTCAGGTTGCCCTATTGATCGAAATGAATTAAAGAAAATGTGAATTTTTCAAAATATAGAGCATACATTGCAAATAATGAGCACTTACAGTAGTTTGTATGTGAATTTCGTTGATCTGGTAGCATAGATTGTGTATAAGTGAGTGTATGTTGTCCAGACCAAGTGCCTTGAGCCCCGTTATGCGGCGCATTTGGTAATCCTTGTGCAAAATTTGGTAACTGACCATTTCCGGGTAGGTTTGCTGAATTTTTCGTTGTCGCTCCATTGTATCCATTTTGTTGAATATGCGGTGAAATCGGTGAAGACACAATCGAATTCGGTAGAGATCCTTCGTTAGCTGAATTGATTGGTTGTGATGCTACTTGTACTGATTGCTGATCACTGTAACCATAAGTTGGTGACGATGTTGATTGCTGTGAATTTGTTGATACGGATTGTATAGATATCTGAGGATCAGTTGGTAACGATCCAATCGACATATTTGGACCATTATTTGGTGGTTGGCCGCCAGCTGGTGGCGGCTGTGGCGCCATTTGATTATGATTCGTTTGTATTTGTAGCGGTGGCATTGCCATCGGATGAGGAACAGTTGCTAAAAAAAGCATCAAACACGATCAATTTAAGATGTGAAAATCGATATGATTCTAACACTATGTGATGTTTGAAGGTGAGGTGGTTAGATTGGTGAGAGATAAAAACAATTGCTACAACTAGTGAAATGTGTACAAGTTGGTAACTTTAATAAGTTGATATGTTAGTAAACTATTTTATGGTAAAAAAGAATGTTCATCATTCTACTGAGATTAGAGCAAATTATTATCGATTTAAGGTATGCGCTAAAACAAACTAAAAGCATTCCGAATGCGAAATGAAAAAGATTCGAATTTTGTAAAATAAAATAAATATAGCTTACGATGCACAAGAGCGGATGGGCGCGGATTTGGAGCCATCCATTGACTTCTCTGAGTCTCTGTTGGCTCTAATTTTGGTATACGACCATAAAGACTTCCCAATTGACTTGGATCACCTGCATCGAATATAATTCATAAACACCAATTTTCAAACAAAATAATAGAAAATGAAGAACACAAGAGCCATAGATGAAAATTCTTAAGTCATAATGATAAATAGCTTTGTAAACGATAACAAACAAAAATGTTTCAAAAAAGCAAGCGTAACAGCAAAACAGTTTCAAATTAAACAAATTGAAGAAAAAATAGTAATCAAATTCAGTATATACTTTGAAAGCGTCACAAATTTCGAAACTAATACGAAATTGTAAAATTAAACAACAGTATCCATCTCCAGAGTCCGAGAGTATGTTTTGTTTTTCCTCGGTTTGATAATGCATTTGTTTTTTTGTTTTTTTCATAACAAAAATGACATACCTGGTGGATATCCGTATCCTTGTGTAGGCATTGGACCGGCATGATGAATTGTGCCCATTTCGTTGGGATCCATATCAAGTGCCCCGGGTGGAACGACTGAACCCGCTGAATATTCGTCTTTCACAATACGACTTGGTCCCGATTGTAGTGTTAATCCAGATAAATCGATGCCAGGCGAAACAACACGCTCATAATGATATGGATTCACACAAACTGAATCACATTTTAAATCGAACGCAAATTGGCAGTATTTAACATGTTTTAGTTCATTTTTATGCAAGTCAGGCCAACGCCAAATTCTTGCATAGATCACATGAGGAAATCCTTTTCGGCCGGCTACCTGCAATTGTCAAAAAAATGTATGAGAAATGTGTTGATTTTTAATTGAATCACATGATTCATGCGATATAAACATCTATATATCGTTATATATACGTACTTGCAAACGACCATCAAGCGTTCGTTGTATGGTTACACACTTGCTTGGATGTGCTCCATTTGTTGTGATTGCAGTTATCAATGAGTCCAATTCATCGCGTTTTTCCTTTAGTTTTTTTACCAAAGACTCGATTGCACGCTTAGCAAAACTCTCACTTTCACCACCTTGTCGATGGCACATCAAGGAGTGCACTATCGACAGGCATGCATCAGCCGATGTTGGTGCACCGTTCGGCATTGGATTCATGTCATGAATCTAATGTATTAACGTGAAAAAAAAGTCAAAACGAAAAAAACACACTAAAAACTAAACTAGATTTTAGTTGTCACTGTGGTGCTTGCTATGTGTCAACTGTTTTTTTTTCGTTCCACTCAACAGTAATTGCTGAATTTAATTTGAATGAGTGACTTTTGGTTTTTTTTTCTCTTTATTTTGTGTTTAATTATTTTTCGTTTTCAACTAACAATTTGAAATTGGGTGTTGGTTTTTTTGTTGTTGTAGTGTTTGTTTGATTATTTGAGGACAAAGTTAATTTAAAACTAGCTCAAGTCAATATTAGTTGCACTTGCTATTCACTAATAATGACGACAATTTCACAATGATGCGGTTTTTCACCTTTCTTAAATAGAAATGTCAATCAACCAGACTGTGACACTGATTCAATGGCTTGTAATTGAGTTCACTGTTACGAATTCCGTTCGATAATTTCGGTCACTTCACCTTTATATTATTGGCTATATGTTACTTCCGTGTATGATGTGTATTTTTTTCGCTTTGTCGTTTGTTCTTTTATTTACCGCTGCAAGCGGTATATTGACAGCGAATTTCGTTTTGAATATCAGCAATCGTATTGTTTCACTATGAAATGCGCATACATTTAGTCATTGCAACAAATGTGAATTCATTGATTCACTTAAAATGCACGATTTTATTGGGTTTTTAAATGATAACTTTCTTTATTTGCATTTCACTCTGTGCGGAAATATGAACTGCGTTGCAACTAAGAGTTACTCAAACAAATATTAAATATGGCCGACTGATGGACACTAACTATGATTCTTCTTCTTTGTTTTCTTTTCGTATGTGAGCTGTTTTCGTAATGAATGTGTGCGTATGTGTGTATCGCAGTGCTGTTTCTTTGAGTCAAACGGAATTTGACGTCAAGACATCTCTGTGTGTATGTGAACACAGAGCGATAGGGCGCTGTATGAGTCAGTGAAATGTACTGTTTATATGTATAAGATGCATGTTCTGGGTGTTTTTCATACAAAAGAACACAATCATTTATCAGCAGCATGAAGTTTGTGCGAAAAAGATTCATTCAGCGCCAAAAATTGAACACAAACCCAAATTTCAATTTTTGTTTTCATTTTACATAAATATCATGGAATTTTTATTCATTTTCATTTTTACATTATAATATGGTTTTATTTTTGTGTAAAAAAATAAATTCGATTTTTGTCACATTGTTGTTTCATATTTGTTGACATTATTTTCTTCGGTTTGTATAAATATTGCATTCTTCATTGATTCCTGAACGAAGAGAACATCATTTTGCAGAGTATGCATTTTGTAAATATGATAATATGTATTTTGTTTGGATTCATTCAAAAAAAAAAAAATTGATGCTCATTTGAAACGGAATGCTTTTCATAGTTCGGAAATACAAATTATTTGGTAATGCTTACAACTAATGGTCGCTGTATATAATATATATTAAATCTAAATCAAAGTGGTCTGATGTTCATCATTCAACTTAATGAGATTTTGGAAACGATAGTTAAATTTTGAGAATCGATTGTGATTTTGATAGTTGACTACTTCGATTAGACTTCAACATGTTTTTTCCCCTTTCACTAGGAACAATCACAATTTTGGTGGGTTTAAATAAACGCCAAACTTTCCTTAAATTGAGTAGGTGTATTCGCGGCTTCTGTATACAAAGATAAAAGAAAATCCTATAATCATCTTCTAATTTCGACCAAAAAAATGAAATTCAAATGTCTACCGTAATATCTTCGTGTGTTTTTGTGTACCAACTGAAGCAACCTGGAGTGTTGTAACCTAAACGAAATACCACAAATACGATTTATCATGAAATCAATGTATGTCTCCAATTCAAATTCCATATACTCACTTTCGATGATTTCTTTGTGGTTGTAATTTTCAATTGACCAGATGAACTCGATGATGTACACCGTGGACATGATTTTTGTTTTGCGACTTCGAATTTTTTTTCAAGTGCACGATGTTTGGTTGTCAAACGTTTATATTTGGCCTTTTCCGATGTCAATTCTTGTTGAATCTTTTTCAATTCAATTGTACATTGCGTTAGTAGGCTCTTGAGTTGTTGACTTTCTTCTTTTTGACGCTTCATTTCCACCAAGTGCGATTGAATGTCATCCGACGACGTGTAGTGCATATAGACCGGCTTTATGTCAGCATCACCAATAACCGATCGGCAATCCGGACAAGTGTAAACACCAATTGGATTGAGACTATAATTGAATCGTATTTAAATACCAAGAAATCATTAATTTTCGCTTTTTGTAATTTTCCAATTTTCCACTTACGAATCCATCGAATCGAACCACTTTTCGAGGCATTCTTTATGATACAGATGGCCGCATCTTGTCACGATTGTGTTTTGGTCATCTTGCCATGTGAAATTTGTTGCGCACATCACACAACCGATGGAATTAACAGCATTTTGAACATCACCTTTCTTGTTATTTTCCATGGTGAATGGTTAACAATGAATTTTTTTCTTCCAAAATGTGATGATATTCAGACTATTAAGTGCAGATTTTATCGACATACATACAAAATGCTTTGTATTGCATTTAGTTTGCTATGATTCGAAACGGTATTTTTTGCACAATATTTCGATATTGAAACATCGAATTCGATGTCAACGTAATGACAACAAATATACTTTAAAACTACTAAGACGTATTGTCCGATGCAAATATCACACAGTCACTGTAGTTGTAGCGATGATGCACACAATTTGAATGACCTGTCAAAACATTCAGAGAAAACATGTTTATTTTTAGTTTTTCCACTCAACACACATTCGAATGATTGTCTATTTTTAAAAAGAAAATACTATATTGCATCGCATGTTCCCGAATGAAAAGCGTATTTGTGTGAAATTCTAGAAACACTGAGAATTTTCTCGAGCACATTTCAAAAATACATCATTTTGCTTATATATAAAAAGCAACCGGTTTCGCAGTAAGTAATTTAACTACAGAAAACTAAGCTGAAGGAGTGCAAAGAAAATCAATATTGATAAAAAAAAAATCGTTTGATTTGTGTAGATAAAGTGATCAACGTAATTCAATCAGAATGACTACAGAGCAATTAAACGACGAAGCAGTTGCGTTTAAGGAGCAAGGAAATTCATCTTTTAAGAATTGTGATTGGACAGGTGCAGTCGAGGCATATACAATGGCAATCAAACGTGGAACAAAACACAAGCAATTGGCAACATTCTACAAAAATCGTGCGGCCGCATATTTGAAGTTGGAAAAGTTCGAGCTTGTCGTAAGAGATTGTAACAAATCATTGGAATTGGAACCGAACGAACCAAAGGCATTGTTTCGTCGAGCACAGGCCAACGAGCAGTTGGGCCGTTTTGAAGAAGCCTATCGGGATGCAGTGAACGTATGGAATATTGACAAAAGTGATAAATCGGTTAAAAGTTTTGTCGAAGAATTGCACACGATTGTTCAACGTCGAGCTGAAGAGAATGCACAAACCTCGAACAAGGTGCAAAAAATGGTGGAGCTAGCATTCGATATGGAAAAGCCAATGGACACACGTGCCTCAGCAATGAATAATATTTTAGTTTTGGCAAGAGAACATGTCGGAGCTGATATTCTTCTAAAGTCGGGCGTCATCCAGAAAATTGTTAATCTCTTGAAGTACGAGAAAAAGAAGGAGATTAGTGTGAATGCAATCAGAACGATTAGTGAAGTGTGCAGTAGATCATTGCAACGAACCCGCGAAGTTTTGAAAATTATAGGTGTGCCATGGTTTTTCCAAATTTTAAACAGCAAAGATACTGAACGCGTAAATGCGGTCCAACACTGTATCCAAACGATTTTAAATTCATTTTCGGGCATGGACACAAAAACGGGCTCAAAACCCGTGAAGGAACTTTGTGAGGAGAATAATAGTGAAATCGATGCAATTCTATCGACTCTCGTCTATTCGATAACAGAGCCAACCATAAGTGGATTGGCCCGAGATGCCATTATTGAAGTCATCACACGTAACATTAATTATGATGCATTGAATTGGGCGGAACGTTTAATCGAAATCAAAGGATTACATCGTTTGCTGAAAGTGTGCAGCGAAATGGAAGAGTATAAGTCGGAATGTTCAATGGAAATTACGCCATCGTCAAGGACCATTGCAGCAGTGTGTTTGTCACGAATTTATGACAATATGTACTACGATAAATTACGTGAACGTTACACAGAACAAGTGGATGAATTTATAAAAGGTAAACGAAAAGAAGAATCAAGAATCAAGATGTATATTTTTACACAATTTTTTTTTCATTTGTTTGTAGATAAACTTTTGGATCCAGAATTGGAGGAAAAAGTACGTGTTGTTGTAGTTATTACAGCGATTTTGACTTGTGCAATGGACGTCGGTGCGACGATTATTGGCCGAGAGGGAATATTGCAAATGGTTTTGGCATTTGCTCAGTCGGACGATGTGCTTCAACAGAGAGTTGCATGTGAATGCATCGTTGCCGCTTGTTTGAAGCAGGACAAAGCAAAGGCCATCATGTCTCAAGGTGTTGATATTTTGAAGAATTTGTACCACTCCAAAGACGATTCGATTAAAGTTCGTGCATTGGTGGGTCTCTGTAAAGTCGGTAGTTCCGGTGGTGTTGATGCCTCTATTCGTCCATTTGCTGACGGTGCAACGTTGAAATTAGCCGAAGCATGTCGTCGATTTTTAATCAAACCCGGCAAAGACAAAGACATTCGAAAATGGGCGGCCGATGGTTTGGCTTATTTGACATTGGATGCTGAAGTTAAAGAAAAATTATGCGAAGATACGGCAGCCATTCAATCACTCATTGATCTGGCCAAGACCGGAAATCAAGATGTACTATATGGTATTGTTACAACATTTGTTAATTTATGCAACGCATACGATAAACAAGAAATTCTACCCGAAATGGTTGAACTGGCCAAATTTGCAAAGCATCACATCCCAGAGGAGCACGAATTAGACGATGAGGACTTTATAAATAAGCGCATTTCAATGCTAACAGACGCTGGCATTGTTAGCGCCTTGGTGGCACTCAGCAAAACCGAAAGTAACAATTCGAAAGAATTAATTGCCCGTGTACTGAATGCAATTTGTAATTTGCAAGAGTTGCGAGGCAAAGTAGTGCAACAAGGTGGCGCAAAAGCATTATTGCCACTTTGTTTCAATTGCACGGAGAAAGGCAAGCGTCAAGCAGCTCAAGCTCTTTCACGAATCGGTATAACAATCAATCCAGAGATTGCATTCTCTGGACAACGAAATCTCGAGGTGATTCGTCCACTCTTGAATCAGTTACACCAAGATTACAAGGCATTGGAAAACTTTGAAGCATTAATGGCTCTCTGTAATTTGGCAGCCATGAACGACACGGTGCGACAGCGAATCATTAAAGAAGGCGGTTTGCAGAAAATTGAAATGTATCTCATGGAAGACCATTTGTTGTTGAGTCGAGCTGCCACTCAGGTCATATGTAACTTGGTTATGTCCAAGGATGTTGTGAAATTGTTCGAATCGAAAAATGATCGTGTTAAATTTTTATGCCTTCTGTGCCAAGAAGAAGATGAAGAAACAGCAATGGCCGCTGCGGGCGCATTGGCCATTCTAACATCCGACAGTAAAAAATGTTGTGAAAAAATGTTTGAACCAAATGCATGGTTAGAAATATTCCATACACTAATTGCGAATCCATCGACAGCCGTGCAGCACCGTGGATTGGTCATTGTGCTGAATGTAATTCGGTCGAGTACCGAATTGGCCGAAAAATTACTAAACACTGATGTAATCGACTTGCTCAATGGGTTGGCACAGTTGCCGGATGAAAGCAGAGCCAAAGCACGGGAAATTGCCGTTGAGTGTCTTAAAGAAGCTGAAAAATTACATCTCGTTGAGAAAACGAATAAAAATACGGAATAAATCGATATGAAAAGTATTTGAAGGTCAATCATAAAATGTATTCAACTCCATATCATCAAATCAATAGTTAATAATGATAATCATGTTTTTTAACCTACTTTTAGATCTAATGCTCGTTTAAAATATTTATAAATTTTAATATTTTACTATAGTCGTTGACGATCTAACAAAAACTGAATAAAAATGCATTTTCAATTTTATTTATTTTTCTATGTATTTGTTTTTATTCAACCAAAAATGAGCGGAAAGTAACAGCAAACATGTAACATTTCTACTTTTCTCAATTCTAAATTTGATTCTAATATTTGAGCGTTTGTCTCCATAAAATAAATTGACATATTTGATTTTCGATAAAATTCTATTCATTAACATCAATAATTTGTAAACAATATTTCTAATAATAATTCCATGCAACAAAAAGGCACATTATGCTTATTGAAATTTGTTGGAGCAAACTGATGTTTTTGTTGGTGTGAAATATTGTGCTTATTCACTTGCAGTCACCGTAATTGTCTTCCCTTTGGGGTCGTCAAAACGGTCCATGGTACGAATGTCCATGATACATGAAATGCCACCTGCAATGATTCCAAGTAATAGGAATGTGATGAATAGGCCAGCCCAAATCGGTGCACTTGTGAAGCCAGTGCAATCGTATGAGTCTGCAAATTTATCAATCTTCTTCCCATCAAAAATGGGCTGAATTTGGAATCTTTTAAAATAAACAAATTCAACATCTGGTACATAATCATGGACATTAATGCGTACACCTGATGTACAACTGAAGGAGAAATTTGTTGGTGCACCCATGTCAAGGGACACGTTCAATGGTTTTTTCTCATTTTGTGACGACTCCGTAATATTTAGAGACCAAAATTGCGACTCTCCAAGGTCGAAGACAAGTGTAATTGGAATTTCACTTTTGAATGAAACAATGAGGGTGCTTCCCTTTTTAGACGCTTCAATATCGCTTTCGCTAATTGCAATTTGAGTATCATCTTGGTCCTTTTTTTGATTCTTCATGTGTTTGAAAAAACCTTCGAAGTAGATAGCGGCATCGGTGCCGTTGTAAATGGTGCCGGTTTTTGTGTCGTCGGCGGCTCGTCTTTTGCGCGAATGTTCTTCTTCTTGTTGTTGCAAACGGGAATTCTTTTCGGATGACAAAATGAAAAGTGCATCTTTGTATTTCTGACTCACGCCATGCATGGCACGATCACAACGGGCCAACCAATGGAATTTTGACTCAGATTCGTGATAACCAGGCAATTGTACCACGATAACTTTTGCGTTGCTGCTTGGTTCGGGCTCCAAATCGTTTGTGGTCGACACTGAAGCATCAACGACATTGTTTCCCTGTGTCACTTTATTATCCGCAGCATTTTCAACATATGGAATGTACTCTACAATATCAGCTTTACTGGCGATGTTCTGGAAGGCTTTGATATTGTCTTCATTTTTTGCGCCAAGATCTTCTGGGCACAAGTCTGGAAGGATGAAGAAAACGATTTTTTGATCCACAAGCAATGAAGTGACACGACTCTCAAAATCACGTTGACTCATTTTCGTTGTAGCCGAAATAACACTGTTTTCAATCACATTTGGATTGTCTTTGTGTTTCCACAGAAGAACTGGCGAAAAATTTTCATTCAATGCCAAAGTGTTACAAACCAACGATAATAGTATCGCCACAACAATATTTTTCACCATTTTGGTTTAATTCCAACGATATTGTATAGAAAAACACAAAATTAAACTCGAAATATTAGCTTTGTTAAAATAAAAATTGGTGTGAAAAAAAAAGTATGAGAAAAATGAATAGGTCACGAGACTCGGAGAAAAAGTCAAGTGATGTTGACAAATGATGGACTTGGAATAAATTGTTTCATATAAAATATTCGTCGTATATATAATATGACGATCAACGATTCGAAAATGACGAATGGTTTCTGTATGCGATTATTTTCGAACATCGTTTCACACAAATGACAGATGTTTGACATATGCACAACATAACCAAACATTTTCATCAAAGCAATAAACCCAAAACGTAGAAGACTAGCACGTTGATTTTAGTTATTGTTTATTTTCAGTGAATCAATTGCTTTAAAAAAAAGAATATGTCACGACCAGAACATCAAGCTCCACCAGATATCGTAAGTGCATTCAAATAGCTACAAGAAAAATCATCATCATTTTCATCGCATCACGCTTGATTTATTAACGTTTACATCTATTTAAAATCTTTTCTCTGTAGTTCTATAATGATGATGAAGCAAAGAAGTATTCGAGCAAGTAAGCTGAAGCAAATGTCATATAGAAATGAAACATTTCTTTTAATTCGATTTTTCTTCATTTTCCAGTTCTCGGATCATCAAAATTCAGGTGGAAATGTGTGAAAGAGCCATTGAATTGTTGGCTTTACCAGAAGATCAACCGTCTTTGATATTGGACATAGGATGTGGTTCCGGACTGTCGGGTTCAGCTTTAGAGGAAGCTGGCCATCAATGGATCGGAATCGATATATCATCGGCAATGTTAAATGTGGCCGTTGATCGTGAAGTCGAAGGAGATTTAATTTTGGGTGACATGGGACACGGAATGCCTTTTAAAGCTGGTACCTTTGATGGTGCCATTTCAATCTCAGCGATACAATGGTTATGCCATGCAAATCACAGTGCACACAATCCACGAAAACGATTATATAAATTTTTCAGCACATTGTTGGCATCATTGACTCGATGCGCCCGATGCGTATTTCAATTTTATCCTGAAAACAGCGACGAAATTGAAATGATCACAACACAAGCTATGAAAGCTGGCTTTTATGGCGGATTAGTAGTTGATTATCCAAATTCAACAAAAGCAAAGAAATACTTTTTGGTGCTCATGACTGGCGGCGTTGCCCAATTGCCAAAAGCATTAGGTAAATATATCAATATTTCAATGTAAAATAATAATTCTTTAAATCGATTGTTTTAATCGATTTTTAGGTACGGGAGAAGAAGAAGATGAAACAAATCGCGTGCCATACTCGAAGAGACGTGAAATGGCCAAACAGGCCAGGGGAAAACTAGTGAAAGGATCTAAAGAATGGATTATGAAAAAGAAAGAAAGAAGACGCCAACAAGGAAAAGAAGTACGCGCTGATTCGAGATACACGGCCCGAAAACGAAGCGGTCGATTTTGAAATAAATTTAAAAAATATATATTTCCAATATCAAACATATTTCCTTTTTCATACTATTTTTTTGAACACAATTTATATGTCATAAATATTAAATAAACAATATTTATATTGCAACATGTTGATGATACTATGACTTCTTTTCTCTATGTGCTTTTAATGTAGCGTCCAAATCCTGTTCCTGTTTGATTTCGTAGAGAGTTCCAATAATGAATAAAAGCACGACTAGGACATAAACCATTTGAATTTGTTGTCCCCTTACATTACTTAATTCCTTGTCTTCCTGTTCCTCACGTAATTTCTGCCGGGCATTTTGATGACGTTCAAAGCATTCCGTTATTCTACTTTTGGACCAGTCGTCAAGATCTCGTGCCGTCATTCGATCTGCCATTATCGGTGGTTGCGATTTCACCATATGTTGTTTATAAAATTTTGTTTGAGCATCATCCTCGACTTCGACTTCGACGACTTCAGTCTCTGTGCCCGGACTGTGAGTTTTTCCTTTGGCATATGAACCAATACCTGAAATGCAAATAAAAATAGTTACAATTTTTATAAAAAACCACTTGATTCAAAGTCATTTTAACAGACCTTTATCATATAATCGTCTGGTACGAACATTCCCCAAAATTTCGTACGCTTCACTAATGAGCCGAAATCTCTTTGCAGCCTCATCACATCCCTTATTTTTATCTGGATGATACGCCATCGATAAATTATAGTATGCATTTTTAATTTCTGACTGAGTGGCAGTTCTTGGTATTTCTAAGTCAACGTAAAAATTTCTTGATTTTGCCATATGACTTGTCCTCGAAAATGTTCGCGTTGGTGGTCGTAATGTGTTACACACATTATTTGACGCGTTCGATACGCAACCAAAAATAGCACACACATTTTGGTTTAAATATTTTTTTGAATGTTTTCCTAAATTTGCCATTATTCTCACAACTAATTGTTAGATCACAGTGCACAGTACTACTTAACTTTACAATTCAATAAAATCTAGGATATGTATTTCATTTAAAATTATGTAATTTCATACATTATTTCCTAGTGACTTTCAAATAACAATATCAATATCTAATGAAATAATAACACTCATAAACTTATTTGACATTTCACGTGCATCTGCTTGTATCAGCTAAATGTCATGATGTGTATGAGTATACACTATACTGTCATAAAAGAAAAAAGGTATTATATTGTTGTTGTAATCAAAGTAGTTGATAATTTAAAATTAGAAAAACGTTATACAAATCAAGAAGTTATTCGATTGTTGCAGAAAAAAAGTCAAAATTCATATCGTCAACTCACACATTCACTGAATCGATTCAACATCATAAAATTTAACAATAGCTAGCCCTGCGCAATCAAAATGATTGGCTTAAGAATACAATGCAACTTCATTCAAGCCTGTGTGACAGCTGTTTGACAATACGTATGGATGAAACGTAAACAATTGCATCGATTGGTCCTTTCAATTTGTTTATTGCTTGTTTAGAGACTATGTTTAGGGCTGTAATAATGTACAAGAATATTTTTCTTTATTTATTGTGCCAAAAATTATTCAATTATTTCATTTGATGCAAAATTAAAAGAAAATTAATTCGAAAAAAAATCATGGATAACTCATTGCCATATAAAGTATTATATTCAACTGGTGAACAGATTTGCTACAAATGCCTGAAAAAAATTCTAGTGGATTGTATAAAAATCGCAATCATGTTGCAAGTGGGTACTTTATTGTTTTGTTTGGTGTTTTATTTTTAGTTTTAGTACGGCTTCTTCTTAAAAACAACATCAATTTGAAGTGAAATACTCTGATTTCTTTGTTTGTTTGTGTGTAATATATCTTAAATTGATTTTTTTTGTAGTCCGATGACGAAGACTACCGATTTCCCGCATGGTATCATCAAATTTGCTTTTTCAAAACGCGTCTACCTCAAACTGAAGCCGCTTTCGACGGATTTGCCAAGCTTAGATATATCGATCAGCTTGCAATTAAAGAGAATTTAGGTTGGAATTAGTTATTACCTTTCAAATTTAAAAATAATAATTATCATTCATACTAGGTACTGTCGAATACGAGCCGATCAAATTGAAACAACCAGCTAAACTGCCGGATTTTTATGTTGAATACGCGCGTTCAGGCAAAGCTTCATGCGAAGGATGCCAAAAGAAAATTTGCGAACGTGAAATACGAATTATGAAAGTGATTATCGACACAAATCGAGAAACGGCAATTGATGGAAAGGCTACTTGGTATCATGTTGTTTGCTTTGCTCGCGCACGATCACAACTCGGTTGGCCGCACTCAGCCGAACTTTTGCCCGGCTTCAAAAGACTATCCGATTATGACAAAGAAACTATCAAAAATCAAATACCGTACGGTTTTTTTTAAATTTCCAATTTGGTGCAAAATTTAAAAAACTTAATATCATCTATCTTGATTCAACCAGGGTGATGAAGCGCATCTATAATCGGACTGAACAAACAAACGGCATCAAACTGGATGAACTGGAAAAAGACATTGAACATCAAAGTATTGAATATTATAAGTTGTATGATAAACTCGCAAGGAATGTCTCCAAAGAGTATCAAGTTATGTTTTTAGAGGAAAATAACCAAATAGTTCCCAAAGCTGAATGTGATGTTAGTGGTTGATTTTATTTTAAACCAAAATCAGACATTACCCCGACCAAATAATTTTTTCCTTTTTTTTCGTACGCAGATTCTACACCATTTATCAGACGTCATCATTTTTGGTGCCTTACAACCATGCAAACAATGCGGAAATGAACGAATGATTTTCAGCAATTCAACGTATGTTTGTGCATATATAAATGATTGGGGAAAATGCGGTTGGGAAACAAGAGAACCAGAACGTTATGTAGCTAAAATACCTCATAAATTTACAAATAAATACCCATCTCTAAAAATAAAGCCTTCGGTTCGGAAGCGTGTATACCATGTGTTTCGACTAACAGACGAAAATGGGACTGACCTAATTTATGCGTAAGATTGAATGAATGATTCGTTTTGACAATTTTAAACATACTTATGATTGTTTTTTGTTTATTATTTTTTAAAGGCCATATAAGCATCCACCATTGTTCCTGATGGAGTTTGCCATCATCGGAATTCTCAGTAAATCTGCCAAAGAAATAGAAAAAGAAGTTAGAAAAATGGGAGGAAAAGTTGTGAATAAGATACATAGCAAAGTGGCAGCTGTTATATCGTCTTCATTCGAATTACTAAAATCTGAAACTTCATTCGTCGAAGCCAAGCACTTTAATATACAAGTCGTTTCCGAAGAATTTCTAACAGAGGCGCAAATAAATGATCCAATTTTATATATAAAAACCAAATGCATAAGCGATTGGGGTGGAGATGTAAGTGTTATGTGGCATCTGACTTCTAATAACTGCAGTTTTAATTCACAGTTACATTGTGACTATTTTTTTTAGCCGTATTCTCGAATCGAAAAGAGTGACGAAATCAGAAGAGAAGATGAATTTTACACGAAATCTTTGCCAGACAAAATAACATACAAATGGAGAGGTAAATGAAACGGTCAGATTTAAAAAGAAAAATCAAATTAATATTTTTTGTTAATAGACGGACCAGCGGTCGATCCAGAATGTGGTTTGGATGAAATTGCTCATGTTTATTGTTGTGCCACAAATCGAGGTGAATTGGAATACTCAGCAGTTTTAGGTCTTGTCGACATTGAAAACAATCGAAATTCATACTACCGTATGCAGTTGCTGGAATCAAATGAACAACAACTGCATTCAAGGTATTGGATATTTGAAGCATGGGGTCGCATATCGACAGTCATTGGTTCGAAACGACTTCAAACATTTGACTCTCTCGAAGAAGCCCGCACAACATTCAACACAATTTATGAAGAAAAAACAGGAAACCCATTCGAACTTAAACAATTCATCAAATGGCCGGAAAAATATTATCATTTGGACATTGATTTTGGTATCAATAGAAAAATGCCAAACACATTTGTTAACTCCAAACTTAGTCTACCGGTGTACCAATTAATGGAAATGCTTTTCAATATTAATCAAATGGAAAACATGATGCTCGGCTGTGATGTAGACTTAAAGCAAATGCCATTGGGAAAGATAAGTGCTCAAGGAATCCGTTCGGCAATGACTGTTCTCAGGGATATTGTACAATTGATTCGCCAAAATGATTCATATAGCCAACTACGTGAAGCGTCAAATAAGTTTTATACGCTGATTCCACATGCGTTTGGTATAAAACGTCCACCAGTCATCAATTCAATCGATGTGGTAAATGCAAAGGGGCATTCACTTAAAAATTGTCTTTCTTTCTTTTTGATTTTTTTCGATTATTTGTTGATTATTCACAAATTAATTCTATTCTTTTCATTTGTGATTCTCCCCTTAGGTAAATGCAAAGAATGAAATGCTGGAGAGTTTACTAAACATGGAATTGATTTATGGTTTCCTCGAGGGAGAGAATGGCGAAAAAACGAATCCACTCGATGCTTGCTATCTGAAATTAAAAGCCGACATCGTAGCTGTGGACAAAAATTCAGATGAATTTAAGAAAATAAATGAAATTGCCAAAACTACTCATGGACCAACACACAAAAACTACAGACTGGAAGTTCTCGAAATATTCAAAGTTCGACGACACGGTGAAGATAATCGTTTTCAAGCATGGCAAGGTGTGAGCAATCAGCGTCTGCTGTGGCACGGGTCACGTCTTATGAATTTCGTTAGTATTTTATCGAATGGATTAAAAGTGGCTCCTCCCGAAGCAACACATACTGGTTACATGTTTGGCAAAGGCATTTACTTCGCTGACGCTATAAGCAAATCAGGTATAAAAAATATTGAAAAAATCTTGTAACAGAGAGAAAGAATAATTTGATTTTATTCTAGCCAACTATTGCATGACTGATAAAACAAATGACATCGGTTTGATATTACTGTGTGAAGTGGCCTTAGGTCAATGCCAATATCAATATGCTGCAAATCATAAGATCACGAACATTCCAAATCTAACTGAACATTCTGTTCAAGGGTGTGGTACATATGTTCCATCAAAGACTTCGATCATCGACGGAATACCAGCGAGCACAGGAAACTTTCGTAAAAACAGTTTTATTACAGCACTTTTCTACAACGAATACATAGTATATGATCCGGCCCAAGTGAAAATTAAATACTTAATAAAACTTAAATTTAATTATATTTAGTAAGCGAAGTAAACGTTTGACATCCTTTTTTGACTTAATGTTACCAGCATTCACTTCAAGACGAAGAAAGTAAATATTAATTTTATATTTTATGACCATACAATTTGAAATAAATAAGATATTATATTTTTAAACCGAAAATTTACACAATTTATTGCAGTTTTTTGTTTCATTAAAAATGTGTTTTGACTTTATTTCAAACCTTGGCTACAACAAGACCTAAAAATCATGTTGCTGAAATTGAAGAAATCAGTCTAGCTCGAGAAGTCATTACATTATTATAGTTTATTGGTTCAAGTTTTAGACATGTACAGTTCAGGACAAAATTATAAGTCACGTAACTCTCAGAGTTTTTCAAAATTTCGACTTGACTTTAGTTATTCAATTGAAATGTTTTTTTTTCCTACTCGAAGTAATATAATTATAGTTCGTAAACAAATGACTTTAATTGGCTCAAATTATGACAAACCTTTTGAAGGATAGTAGTTGTTTAAAAAATAGATAAAATTTAATTTTTGAAGTATTTGCGATAGCAAATCAATCCGATGAATAAATTCGATAGGTTTTGATTGGAGCAAAGAACGATTCGCGTTCGGTTGCATTCATCTTGATGATTTTCGACATTATATACTGGAAATACAGACCTTTAAATTGCAAGTTTTCCTAGATTTTCATAAAAATTTTAAATGTCAGTTACTCAAGATGTATATTTCGGTAATAACTGGTTGACTTCAATGATTACCTTGATAAATGATAGAAGACCGGCAATAGCAAAATTTAGTTGAATATGTGAATGTGCGCTTTTGTAAAGATGTGCTGCCCGAATATGACTTGCCACCAAAACAGTGGGATAATCTACGTCCTTGATATCATTTGTGGAATTCATATATTCGGTGTGAAGAATACCATCGGCTTCAATCTCCTGAATGAGTCCGTGCTACAAAATGAATACCATCAATAAATCATCGTAAGCAATAAAATTGAATTAATTGACAAAATCAACAATCAAAAATACCTTAACCAGTGCAAACAAAGTCGTACTTATAAGCCGAAAAGCCGTTGGCAATATTTTGATTGCGGAAATCGTATTTTCAGATAGCGACATAATGAATGCAAGAATTTTCCATCGGATTTCCATATTATCAACGCTGTCGATTTGCAAATATAAATCGTCTAAACAAGGTACTGAAACTGAGATATAAACAATAAAATATTTTAATTTTTCATACATTAAACTCAATTGGTTTTGTTAGTCTCGCTCACAGTTGGGATAAATTGGTGTTTCGGTATATGCTTTATAACCTACATCAATGCTTTTCTTCATCAATATTGTAAAAGTGAATTCACTGTCATTGTTTCGTTGCCGCAATATACCGACATTACGTTTATACCAATCGGCGATGAGCAATGGATAATTTGCTTCTGGTTTACAACCTCGCATATCATAACAATCGAGGATAATATCTAGAATTGTGCCCATCAAATACGTGTAAGGCTCATACATGTCGGTGTTTAATAACTTTTCTTCAAGAGGATCGTCAATGGTCGCTGATGGAATATCAATATTATAAGAATCAAGGCTGTCTCTGATCACTTGTTGAATTTTTTTATCGGCTTTTCCAAAAACATGCTGTGAAAGTCGTCTTATATCCAAATCGGAGAGATATTCACTGCCCACCTTTCGTGCATAAGCCGCCACGTTCCTAATTCGATATTTAAATGGACCCAAACTGTTGTAAAATTTCTCCAATTGATCTTCGTATTTCTTTGTGAAATCGTTTCCCAATAAAGTGGCAAACAAAGGAAGTTGATATCGAGACAGCGAACATACTTTAGCAAGGCCGTTTCTATCGAATTCAATGGTTCGTATTTCATTTGTTCGATAGAAGTGTAGATCATGGATCGACCAATTTTTCCATGGACCATCGAATATTAAGAAATCTGTATCTGATGACAAAATGGCCAATGCATTATTTTGTGTAGCATATTGAGCAGTTTCCAAATCACATTCGTATCGCGATGAATAATGAAATTCTCCGTATGTTTTTGCTATTGCCTTCAATGCATTAAGCGTTGAACCGAGCACGGCTCCTTCATCAGTATCAAATAACTCTGAAAGTGGTAGTAAACCAATTCTGTCATACAAGATAATGTTTGATTGAAATTCAGCGTTACGACGACTCAACCATTCGTCGATTTTTCCTTCTTGCACATTTAAATCCATGAAAAATACAAGCGAACATCCAGCATCTTTGAGTGTAGACAATATTTTTCGCAAAGAGTTTGACGATTTTTGATCATCACCACCGCAAACACTGTCATGTATGTTTGCCGTCAAAGAAAAACATAAATTATAAAAGTCAATGACTAATATAGGCTTTTGTCCAGGATGTTCTCTGTTTGATCGAATGAAGAATAAAAAGCAATGAAAATTTACTTCCAAATTTCGTTAAATCCAAAAAATATAAGCAAATAACGTTAAATTACTCTCTCCATTTGTTGATTTCTACCGAAGTTTCAATTGGCCGAACTAGTTTTTCGCGTTCAAAAAATGTTTTAAGGCCTCTAACACCCATTTTCGTTTCTTTTTAAGTTAAATGATCACAAAAAACAAGACAATCCAAGTTGATGCCGTTCAATTTATGATGCCGTTCAACTTAGCGTTCAATACCGATAAGAAAAATTCAAAAAGATATGAAATTTCTCTTGTAATTAGCTCTGTTAACTGTCAAAAGAATGACAGTTGCTCAACAAACATGCACATCAAGATTGTTCAACTTGATACACATACAACATAAAAACAATCGCTTTGATTCGTCATTCCAATTTGTTTATAATGTTCGGTGTGGCATTAAGTTGATATACGCGTGATTCACTGAGATTTTTTTATCTTTTTAATGTCTAATTTTTCGTTTTTTTAACTAAAATCATAAATTTAAGAAATAAGAGAAAAAAATGGAAAATTCATTACCGTATAAAGTTACGTATTCAACCGGTAATCAGATCTGCAACAAATGTCACACACAAATTTTATTAAACTGTTTACAAATAGCAGTAATGACACAGGTTAGTACTTTGTATTGTACACATATATCAATTTGAATGTCAAAAACCAAGATTTTGTCATTTTAAATATTTAGTCCGTTGAAGATGATTTTCGATTCCCTGTGTGGCATCATAAAATTTGCTTCTTTACATCCTATCTACCTCAAACTGTAGCCGCATTTGATGGTTTTACCAAGCTTAGATACATCGATCAAATTGCAATCAAAGAATGTATAGGTTAGAATTTGTATTAACATATTCAAACTTGTAAAATATCATGATTATGATTATTTATTGGTATTATTTAAGGTATTTTTGAGCCCGAAAATGTGACACAAGAATATAAATTGTCAGATTTTTGGATTAGCAGAGGTCCGACCAGGGACTCATGTGCTGGATGCGATAAGAAAATTTCTCAAAGTGAAATTCAAATTATGAAAATAGTTTTGGACACATCGGATACCGTTGGTAAGGCAACATGGTGGCATGCAATTTGCTTTGTTCGTACAGGATCTCATCTTGGTTGGCCTTTGTCAGCTGATCTATTGCCGGGTTTCAAAAGACTAGGAGAGGAAGACAAAGACGCCGTCAAACATCAAATGCCGTACGGGTAGGTGTAATTAATGATATCCTTAAAATGTGAACTTTTTTATATTGTTCAATAATAATTACATTGTATTTTAAGGCTGTGAATATATATATTTTTTAATTTAATCTTTTTATTGCTAAAAAATAACTGAATACAAATGAATTTATTCAAATATTTAATCAGGGCGTTGAGACGAATTTTTAAACCGCCTAAACAGAAGGACGATGTAGAAATGGTTATAGAAATGGATATAGAAATGGATGTAGAAACGGATGTAGAAATGGAGGAAGTGGAAAAAATCATTGAAAAACAAAACATGGAATATTATAAGTTGTATGATAAGCTCGCAAGGAATGTCTCGAAAAAGTATCAAATTGAATTCCTAAAAGAAAACAATCAAATGGTTCCCAAAACTGACAGTGATGTTAGTGGTTTATTTCTTCTTTTTTAAAATTTCATCTCATTTAAAAATCAGACCTTAGCTGATGTAGTATCTCTGATTTTTTTTGCTTTCAGATTTTACATCAATTAACGGATGTTATCATGTTTGGTGCTTTAAAACCATGTAAAATATGTGAACATGAACGGATGATATTCGGTAATTCGGCGTATGTTTGTGCATATACAAATGATTGGGGAAAATGCGGTTGGGAAACGAGGGAACCAGAACGATATCCAGTTAAAATACATAAAAAATTTACAAATAAATATCCATCTCTAAAAATAAAGCCTTCGGTTCGGCAGCGTGTATACAACGTGTTTCGACTAACAGACGAAAATGGGACTGACCTAATTTATGCGCATGATTGTGAATCTGAGATCGTCGAAGCCAATGACTTTGAAATGGAAGTCGATTCCGAAAAACATTTAGCAGAGGGAAAAGAGACACAAAAAAATGGTCCATTTTTATCTGTAAAAACCAAATGCATGAGGGAATGGGCTGGAGATGTAAGTTTTACGTAGTTGAATTTGTCCCTGCCTCTGCCGACATCATTGTCATAATAATTATTGTTAATATTTCTTCTAGGAGCGTGCTCGTATCGAAATGATTGGAAAAAACATGAAAAAAGATGAAGACTACACAAATTTATTGCCAGAAAAAATAACATTCAAAGTAACAGGTATATATATAAAAGTAATTGATTTCAGTGGACAAATTAATAAATTACAAATATCAATAGGTGGACGTGCGATCGATCCGGGGTGTCATGAATTTGATTTGAATTTAAATCGAATGCGAGTCTATTCATGTAAATTAGACAAGGGCGAATTGGAATACACAGCTGTTTTGGGTCTAGTCGACATTGAAAACAATCGAAATTCATACTACCGTATGCAATTGCTAGTGGAGCATATAACAATTTCTACATTTCATTCCGTTTTTTGGGTATTCGAAACATGGGGTCGCATATCGACAGTCATTGGTTCGAAACGACTTCAATTATTTGAAACTATCGAAGAAGCCCGCACAACATTTAACACAATTTATGAAGAAAAAACAGGAAACCCATTCGAACTTAAACAATTCATCAAATGGCCGGAAAAATATTATCATTTGGAAATTGATTTGGGTTTGAAACCAAAAGTGCCGCTAAAATCATTTCCGACCAAACTAAATCCACCGCTGTTCCAATTAATGCAAATCATTTTCAATATTAATCAAATGGAAAACGTGATGATCGGTTGTGATGTAGACTTAAAGCAAATGCCTTTGGGAAAGATAAGTGCTCAAGGAATCCGTTCGGCAATGAATGTTCTCAGGCACATTGAACAATCGATAAGCCAAAATAATTCATATAGCCAACTACGTGAAGCGTCAAATAAGTTTTATACGCTGATTCCACATGCGTTTGGTATAAAACGCCCACCGGTTATCGATTCAATGGAAGTAGTCATTGCAAAAAATGAAATGTTGGAAAGTTTACTAAACATGGAATTAATTTATCGTTTCCTTGATGAAGAAAACGGCGAAAAAATGAATATACTCGATGCTTGCTATCTAAGATTAAAAACCGACATCGTAGCTGTGAACAAAAATTCAGCTGTATTTAAAAAACTCGTTGATATAATTAAAACTACACATGGACCAACACACGATAACTTCACACTGGAAGTTCTTGAAATATTCAAAGTTCGACGGCACGGTGAAGATAATCGATTTGAGAAGTGGAAAGACGTGAGCACTCAGCTACTTTGGCACGGGTCAAGTTCAATGAATTTCGTTAGTATTTTAGCGAATGGATTAAAAGTGGCTCCTCCCGAAGCAAAACATAATGGTGATATGTTTGGCGAGGGTATTTATTTCACTGACGTTGTTTCGAAAGCAACCAACTACTGTCAGGCACAAAAAACAGATAACATCGGTTTTGTTTTATTGTGCGAAGTGGCCATAGGTCAAGTTCGATGTTTATATGAGTCCAATAAAATTGAAGATCATATTCCAAATGATACATATCAATCTGTTCAAGGGTGCGGCCAATATCAAACATCAAAGAATTCAAAAATCAATGGCAAACTAATTAAAACTGGCAAACTTATTAAAAAACGATTTATCACATCACTAACATACAACGAATTTGTTGTCTATGATCCTGGACAAGTGAAAATTGAATACATGATAAAACTTAAATTCAATTACACCGAGAAAAAGAACTTTCCATAAAAATTAATGAATTTTTTTTAGATTAAGAATGACGCATACAAATTTATGACGATAATATATATTTTGAAACATTTTTTCCACTTCAGTGATGACTTTATTTTTTCAAGATTTTCTCATATACGTGAAATTGCTGGATAAGTTACGTAAAGCGTTTGAGCTTAAATCCAAGTCAATCAAAAATTCTCACTTATTAATTTACAAAAGTCCGACTTTTTCATAAATATACATATTTATTAAAGATTTTGCTATGCACAAACTAGATTGAATATTTTACTTCGGTATTTCTGTTTTAGTTCTGTTTACGTCAAGTCCTTCATTTCCCAATTCCAAATTTAGATAAACGATGATAAAAAAGAAGATTATCATTGCAAGTAAGAATGAAGCTGAGTAAATATTTTCCATGCGTCTCTCGCCAAAAACAAAATGTTCTGTTAACCAGGTACGTGTGTGTCGATATGCGCGTACAATTTTTGATGGATGATGGTCATAGTTTTTATAATAATGTCTCATTGCCGTAAGATTTGGATTTTGGTTTGATGAACGCAGAATACTTGCCCCATTATCTGAGATGAAAAATTGAAAAAATACGTGTAATAAGAAGTTGACATTAGTGAACGGTTGTGATTGGTTCTTACTTATTTTGAATTGGTTGACATTATTCAAACGGTTCGTATGGATAAGTTGTCTCGCCTCAATGTAGCTCAAACACCGTAGTCTTGTCAGCAACATATTTGTTATTTTTATCACTCAACTCAATGATCAAACAGTGAATATTTCGTCTATTCTTGCTTTTTCTCAGTTTGTTTGCGGTACTGTTTCATGCGTTCTCGAATTGGCAGATCAAATTCGTCAAATTTGGTATTTACTGGATTGTCTTGAAATCGCCCGCGATGATACGATGTCCGAAATCTCGTGGAAACACCTCTTATGACCTGCTTGGGAAAATGTTCTAAAACAATTTATTGAGATTTGATTAACTTAATTGGTTGCCATTTGAAATAAATGAAAAAATAGTCACCTGCGTCGTATTTGGCTTTTGCTTTTGGATCGCTTAAAGTTTCGTATGCTTCAGTGATGTTACGAAACTGAACTGATGCCTTTGGGCAATTGTTTGTTTTATCCGGATGATAGATTTTCGACAAACGATAATAAGCACTTTTAATATCTGCTTGTGTTGCGGCCGCTGTTAATCTCAAACGTGCATACAAACTACCAAAATTCATGCTACAACAAGGATACCTTTTATTAAAACCAAAACGTTCAACATGTTTTTGCTTTTATGCACATGAAATTTTTCTATAAATCAGATGATTGAGTTTCACACTGACTGTCATTGTTAGTTATGTCAGAGTGTGACCTAACCTCAAAAAAACACAGCAAATAAGAGATATACATGTATATGATTTACATATGAGATGTTTTATTTCAATGAACTATTAAGCTTTTTTATCGTCAATTTTTGTTGACGATTCATCATTTTGCTTCGCATATGGATCTTGATAAGGAACAGCATTTTTCTTATTATTATACTCTATTATGCATAGTACAGTAAATAGCGCAATTAAACAAATTATTCCAAAATGTAATACATTCATAATTTTCTGGTTCATTTCCTTTTCTACCATTTCATACATTTGTTTTTCGATATCGGACAGCTCTTTGCGTTCCAAATATGGTCTTGGCGGTCGAATTCGATATTGTCCCCGTGATATCCGCATCATTTGCTCTTGGTATTGTTCAGCAAACTTTTGTATACGCTCTTTACGAATCTTTGAGCCGTAATCTTCTTGGAAATGCGCTCTGTACCAAGCATCAAAATCAAACAAATTTTCACGTCGAAATTGGAATTCTTCACTTTCACTTCGTTTCTTCCCTTTTCGTCGCATATTCTCACGGTACGTTCGAATCTTTTCAGCAAGTTCTTCATCTTTTTCGTGGAACGATGAACTGGGTTGGGGTTTGTATGAAGTAGCTCTCCTTGTCGCTCTTCCGTAAGGGGTTTCTGTTGTGAACAAATGATATAATTAAAACTTTCATCTGACATAGTGATTGCTCTTGGCGCAGAAATATGTTACCTTTATCATATTGAGCTCTGGTTGTTTCATTGCCAAGAATTTCATAAGCCTCGGTAATACTTCGAAATTTCGATGCAGAAACATCACAGCCTTCATTCCTATCTGGGTGATATTCTTTAGATAATTTGTAGTAGGCCTTTTTGATTTCAGGCTGTGATGCACCAGCCAGTAGTCCCAGTCGAGCATATAAATCACCTAATTTTATATACTTTCTACTAGAGAATTGTCGTTTTATCTCACAAATATTCAGCGATTTTCGTTTCACGTGTTTACGATGTGTTGTCAAACATTGTCTTATTTGCGATTTATTCAAATATCCAAACATTTTTTAAACTCAATATTAACAATTGTTCATAACCACTCAGATAAATTAACAGAATTTATAAAGCTTAAACTATCAATCAACTAAATTTAAAAAAAAAAACGACCCAATATTCAGAGCTGTACATAAACTATGTGAGACATTTCTTATGCAACTCAAACAGCTGATTTGACATTCTATTGAATACAAAGTAGACGTCACATTGACAATGTATACAAAAATAAAAAACAAACGAACAATACAATATGTTGTTATACATATAGTGCACAGTTTTATCAATGCAGCATTTAAACGAATTCTATGATGTTTTTATTATATGAACGACATAGATGTATTTTAATATCGAGTTGATAGTTTGTGCTATTGATTATTTTACATTTACAACATTAAATAAGAAAACCTGGTTTTTTATTTAGTGATATCGAAATGTTTGAAAAATAGAGTTTATGCATTCAAGACAAGCCATATTTGTTGAACAACAAACCTCTTTTTTAATTCCTACGATGAAGAAAATATAGAGCTGCAAAAAATTAAAATCTTTTCGAAATAAAATACATTGAGTTTCTTTTTATAACTTAGTACTACTTTATTTATTTATTTGACATCAATAATACGATTTACATTTTGCTTATTCTCTAATCATATTCGAACTACTATTAAATTCTATTTTAAAATACTTTTTTATTTGAAGACATTCTTAAGTTGTAATGGTTATATCTATTGATTTTTGTGACTTTAGTCGACTTCTTCAACGGTTGGCCCTTGACGGTTGTTGAAATTGTTTCCAGCCTGTTGGCCACAATTGTTTGGTCCTGCTCCGCCTGTGTGAATCTTTGTCATGATTGGTGAACAGATTTGAGTGACCTCTTTCATTTTGTGTTCAAATTCGTCTTTTTCGGCCAATCCATTGGCATCGAGCCATCGCAGCGTTTCTTCACAACAATTGCGAGCTTTGGATTTTTCATCATCTGACAATTTGTCGCCGGCCTCACCGACCGCTTGTTTCACACTGAACACATAACCCTCGAGATTGTTACGAGCGACAATTTTTTCACGTTGTTTCTCATCCTCTTCGCGATATCTTTCAGCTTCGGCCAACATTCGATCAATTTCCGATTGCGATAGGCGACCTTTGTCATTTTTAATGGTGATATTCTTTGATTTGCCTGTGCTCATTTCTTTCGCTGTTACATTGAGAATACCATTTGCATCCAAATCGAATGTCACCTCAACCTTTGGAACGCCACGCGGTGCTGGCGGAATGCCGCTCAATTCAAAGCTACCCAATACGTTGTTGTCTTTAGTCATTGCTCGCTCACCTTCAAATACTTGAATCGAAACGCCTGGTTGATTGTCGGCGTATGTGGTGAATGTTTGTGTTTGTTTGCATGGAATACGAGCGTTTCGTTCAATGAGTTTGGTCATCACACCGCCAGCTGTTTCGATACCAAGCGAAAGTGGTGTCACATCGACCAAAAGAACATCTTGAATCTTACTGTCTTTGCTGCCGGTGAGAATGGCTGCTTGAACGGCTGCTCCGTAAGCGACGGCCTCATCTGGGTTGATTGAGAGATTCAATTGTTTGCCGTTGAAGAAGTTCTGCAATAATGATTGAACTTTTGGTATACGAGTAGAGCCACCGACCAAAACAATTTCATCGATCTTCGATTTATCCAATTTAGCATCGGCCAGTGCTTTCTCCACGGGTTGTAGTGTGGCTCGGAATAAATCACCGCACAATTCTTCGAAACGGGCACGCGTTATTTTTGTATAGAAATCAATGCCCTCAAACAATGAATCTATTTCAATGGTGGCCTCAGTACTTGCCGAAAGTGTACGTTTAGCGCGTTCGGCCGCTGTTCGCAATCGTCGCAATGCTCGTGGATTGGTGGCCATGTCCTTTTTGAATTTGCGCTTGAATTCATCGGCAAAATGTGTTACCAAACGATTGTCGAAATCTTCGCCGCCCAAATGGGTATCTCCGGCCGTTGAACGTACTTCAAACAGTGAACCTTCATCAATCGAAAGAATCGAAACATCAAATGTACCGCCGCCCAAATCGAAAATAAGTACATTCTTTTCACTCTGTAAATGTTTGTCCAATCCATAGGCCAGTGCTGCCGCCGTGGGTTCGTTTATGATACGAAGAACGTTCAATCCAGCAATCATACCAGCGTCTTTTGTTGCTTCTCGCTGTGCATTGTTGAAGTAAGCTGGCACTGTGATGACAGCGTCTGTGATAGTTTCACCCAAATATGCTTCGGCCGTTTCTTTCATTTTTGTTAAAACCATCGAACTAATTTCTTCTGGTGCGAAACGTTTACGTTCTCCTTTGAATTCAGCGACGAGTTTTGGTTTTCCATTTTCACTGACAACAGTGAATGGCCAATGTTTAAGATCGTCTTGGATTTTTGGATCATCGAATTTGCGGCCAATCAATCGCTTTGCATCGAAGATGGTATTTTTTGGATTCATGGCGACTTGATTTTTGGCCGCATCGCCAATCAAACGTTCGGTATCGGTGAATGCGACATAGCTTGGCGTTGTTCGATTGCCTTGATCGTTTGCAATTATTTCCACTTTTCCGTGTTGAAAAACTCCAACGCACGAATAAGTTGTTCCCAAATCAATTCCAATTGCTGGCATTTTTACTTTTTTTACTTTTTTTTCACTTTGTTTCACAATTCACAAATAAATCAACTTTTATTTTTCACTTTCAAATATATATTCTGATTGAATTAGCGTTTTGCTTTGAAATTACTTCTTTCTATTTTACTTTTATTTTTCTCACTTTGAAGTGTTTGCTTCTGTGTTTATGTATTAACTGACTTCGTAGCGAACATTTCTCCGTATTTATACTGTATTCATGAATTCGAGAATATTCGTATAGAAAACAGTCGAATACATGTAGACGTTACAGTGTTTTCAAGCATGTTCCCGAATATTCTCAATGTATCTTTCAATGGCGTTCGAATATAGTGGACGCATTTAAAAGGTTTGAGTAGAAATGTATAGAAAGTTCGCTCTCGTTACTCTCGTTTTGTTTAATCATCAGTTTGTTTTGATCAAAATAATATAACTGCGTATAAACATTTTTTATCGTAAAATTGCATCATTATTTGAAAGTAAACATATTTTTGAACTATGTTATCTATAACTTATAGACTAGACGTAGAATTCACGTAGATAATGTTAATGAAACAGTCAACATTTTTCTTATTCATATTTCTAAAAATAATCAATGACAGAAACATCAATGATTTGAAATTAAATATTCAATAACATAAAGAATGCCAAATTAAACTCTCGAGAATTTTCCACGTGAGACCATTAGGTCACATATAAACAAACAAACGTAAACCAAACGAGAGCGAACTTTCTATACATTTCTCCTCAAACCTTCTAAATGCGTCGACTACATTCAAACGCTACTTAAAAATACATTGAGAATATTCGGAAACATGCTTGAAAACACTGTAACGTCTACATGTATTCGACTGTCTTCTATATGATTATTCTCGAATTCATGGATACAGTATAAATATGGGTAAATGTTCGCTGCGAGGTCAGTTTACACATAAACACAAAAGCAAACACTTCAAAGTGAGAAAAATAAAAGTGAAATAATAAGACGCAATTTCAAAGCAAAACGCTAATTCAATCAGAATATATATTTGAAAGTGAAAAATAAAAGTTGATTTATTTGTGAATTGTGAAACAAAGTGAAAAAAAAGTAAAAAAAGTAAAAATGCCAGCAATTGGAATTGATTTGGGAACAACTTATTCGTGCGTTGGAGTTTTTCAACACGGAAAAGTGGAAATAATTGCAAACGATCAAGGCAATCGAACAACGCCCAGCTATGTCGCATTCACCGATACCGAACGTTTGATTGGCGATGCGGCCAAAAATCAAGTCGCCATGAACCCGAAAAATACTATCTTCGATGCAAAGCGATTGATTGGCCGCAAATTCAATGATCCAAAAATCCAAGGCGATCTCAAACATTGGCCATTCACCGTTGTCAGTGAAAATGGAAAACCAAAACTCGTCGCTGAATTCAAAGGAGAACGCAAACTTTTCACACCAGAAGAAATCAGTTCGATGGTTTTAACAAAAATGAGAGAAACGGCCGAAGCATATTTGGGTGGAACCATCACAGACGCTGTCATCACAGTGCCAGCTTACTTCAACAATGCACAGCGAGAAGCAACAAAAGACGCTGGTATGATTGCTGGATTGAACGTTCTTCGTATCATTAACGAACCCACGGCGGCAGCACTGGCCTATGGATTGGACAAAAAGTTACAGAGTGAAAAGAATGTACTTATTTTCGATTTGGGCGGCGGTACATTTGATGTTTCGATTCTTTCGATTGATGAAGGCTCACTGTTTGAAGTACGTTCAACGGCCGGAGATACCCATTTGGGCGGCGAAGATTTCGACAATCGTTTGGTAACACATTTTGCCGAAGAATTCAAGCGCAAATTCAAAAAGGACATGGCCACCAATCCACGAGCATTGCGACGATTGCGAACAGCGGCCGAACGCGCCAAACGTACACTTTCGGCAAGTACTGAGGCCACCATTGAAATAGATTCGTTGTTTGAGGGCATTGATTTCTATACAAAAATATCACGTGCCCGTTTCGAAGAATTGTGCGGTGATTTATTCCGATCCACACTACAACCCGTGGAGAAAGCACTGACCGATGCTAAATTGGATAAATCGAAAATCGATGAAATTGTTTTGGTCGGTGGCTCTACTCGTATACCAAAAGTTCAATCATTATTGCAGAACTTCTTCAACGGCAAACAATTGAATCTCTCAATCAACCCAGATGAGGCCGTCGCTTACGGAGCAGCAATCCAAGCAGCCATTCTCACCGGCAGCAAAGACAGTCAAATTCAAGATGTTCTTTTGGTCGATGTGACACCACTTTCGCTTGGTATCGAAACAGCTGGCGGTGTGATGACCAAACTCATTGAACGAAACGCTCGTATTCCATGCAAACAAACACAAACATTCACCACATACGCCGACAATCAACCAGGCGTTTCGGTTCAAGTATTTGAAGGCGAGCGAGCAATGACTAAAGACAACAACGTATTGGGTAGCTTTGAATTGAGCGGCATTCCGCCAGCACCGCGTGGCGTTCCAAAGGTTGAGGTGACATTCGATTTGGATGCAAATGGTATTCTCAATGTAACAGCGAAAGAAATGAGCACCGGCAAATCAAAGAATATCACCATTAAAAATGATAAAGGTCGCCTATCGCAATCGGAAATTGATCGAATGTTGGCCGAAGCTGAAAGATATCGCGAAGAGGATGAGAAACAACGTGAAAAAATTGCCGCTCGTAACAACCTCGAGGGCTATGTTTTCAGTGTGAAACAAGCGGTCGGTGAAGCCGGCGACAAATTGTCAGATGATGAAAAATCCAAAGCTCGCAATTGTTGTGAAGAAACGCTGCGATGGCTGGATGCCAATGGATTGGCCGAAAAAGATGAATTTGAACACAAAATGAAAGAGGTCACTCAAATCTGTTCACCAATCATGACAAAGATTCACACAGGCGGAGCAGGACCAAATTGTGGCCAACAGGCCGGAAACAATTTCAACAACCGTCAAGGGCCAACCGTTGAAGAAGTCGACTAAAGTCACAAAAATCAAAAGATATAACCATTACAATTTAAGAATGTCTTCAAATAAAAAAGCATTTTAAAATAGAATTAATAATTTGAATGAGATTAGCGAATAAGCAAAATGTAAATCGTATTATTGATGTCAAATAAATAAATAAAGTAGTACTAAGTTATAAAAAGAAACTCAATGTATTTTATTTCGAAAAGATTTTAATTTTTTGCAGCACTATATTTTCTTCATTGTAGGAATTAAAAAAGAGGTTTGTTGTTCAGCAAATTTGGCTTGAGTTTTCAAACATTTTCAGATCTCATAAACAATGGTATTGAATAAAAAAGCAGGTTTACTCATTTGAATTTCATTTTTTGCATTTATTTTTACTCTATAGTGTGTTTGAGTGTGTGATTTGCTTGTGTATTTTTATGTGTGATTTTATAGGTTTATCTGTAAGTATTTATCGCATGAGCTATGAGTTTAATCTGTTCTAGGACCAATTTGAGTAAATCTGTCATTCTTATGATTATAGCGATTCATCAATTTGTTTAGTTTTGCACAAGTTATATGGCATTTTAATTGGCTTTATACAAAATATTCATTATTATAGATAAAAACTCTCTTCCTCCGTTCCAATTATTCTAAAATTAAATAATAAACAAATCAAAATAACCAAACAAACAAGAATTAAAAATAAGACAAAATGTTTAAAGTGTTTATTTGAAGTCAACACATAAAATTTGAACCAATGTGAAACAGAAGTTAAAATCAAGAAATTGTAAAAATGAGCGAACTATGTAAATAATTCTAATTTATCAATTGAAATTATGACTTCGATTGTAAAGACCGAAGCGCTTTAGACTTCATCTAGTGTGTAATTTTACAAAATTTTACAAGAGGTGTTTGTTTTAAAAGATCATTTTAATTAGTGCTATTCTCTACCATTTCTGTCCACGTGTGTTGCCAACTAAATCGCAATCAACGCACGAAATTTCGCATTGGAAAAAAGGAATTGCATTCTACTCGCCGATAATCTATTACGTATTTCTTATGTTCCTAGAGAAAAAATGTTTTCGAAATTTTTGATTGTAAATTTCAGAACAAGGGACACTTTTAACAATTTAATTAGTGCTTTCGGCGTGTAATTCGATTCACAATGTTGCAAATTTTAAGCGCAGGTCCCAATTTCATATCCATGTATTTCATCATCATATCCGAATTGAGGAGCAACAGTGCCTTGCCATCGATTTCCTGTAATAAACATTTGTTCAAAATTAATACGGCATTCGATATGATAATTTAAGCGTTTTCCCAACTTACATGCTTCCTAAACAGTTCGGCATGAACAGCCAACGCTGGATCTGTGTCCGCAATGAATTTTATGACGCCTTCCACCGACCATTCTTGCGGCGGTCCGGTCGGTAATTTGGATGCGGTTGAAGAGAGCGATGTTGTACCCGTAGTTGTTGTTGTAGTTGTTGTTATTGCTGGTGCTGTTGTACTTGAAACGTTTTCCTCTTGTTCCTCTGTGCTGTCAACGTCCGATACACCGATCGTCATCAGTTCATTATCATTGTCTTTGTCACTCTCAAATGCATACTCATTCTTAATCTTGCGAATGGTGTACTTCAATGGTCTATCACTATTCGATGAATCACTCTCGCTTTCATATTTAATCGATCGCTTAAGTTGATGTAGACGCATTTTCTCCCTTCGTTCAATTTCACTGTACCGTTTTTCCGCTTGCTCTTGCTCCAGAAGTGCTTCCCGTTGCTCATCGGCAACGCACTGTTCACATTGCTCTGGTCCCGGATCCAGAGTGATTAGATTTTCACATGAATTACACGTTCGACAAACTGTTTGTAGGAATTGTGTCATCTGGTCATCACTAAGTGTATCATTTGGTTTACAAGGTATCTTAACCTGTTAACATACACACGATATAAAGTATTAGAAGTGCATCGAATAATAAAATTGTGTTAAAAGTAATCTAAGTTAAGAAGTCTTACTGTAAAATTCTTTCCAGCCGCCGTTACAATGATAACTTCACCTTCCAAGCCAAATAATAGTGGTGAAAGTTGTGATGTATCTCGCGATGCAGCCAAAACTTCTTGTAAGCAAAGTTTAGCAAGCAGATGGTGTGATGGTGCCGTTACCATCGACGGCAATTTTGAGCTGTTGATGTAACGGCCACCTCGACATTTTGTATGAAAGTGAATTGTTATGGGAGTTGCAGTGGGCAGGGAATCATCAGGTATCATTATATTTGAAGGTTTTGCTGTCTTTCGCTTGTTCGTTCCATCGAACTTGTTTCGATGACCAGGAGGTTGCACAGGATGACAACTGCGCGTACACCAACCAACGGGAAATATATCGCGTGAATCGTATCTGGTCCAATAATCAAATGCACCCCGCCAACCATCAAATGCAACATGGATTTGATCATCTTTTATTGTATCAACTGTTGCACAGCAAATCAGTTGTGGATTCTTTTTATCAACAGCCTCCAATTTTTGACCAACCTTAAAATAAAAATTAACATTTTTCAATCAATGGAAACGGCATAGAGCGCTATTAATTTATCGCATTTTACCTTGAAAAGGTTCTTCTTCGGCGTTGGCGGTTCAGGTAAAAATATTTCTTCAGGTGCCAGTACGGCATTTTTTAATTGTTTAACTAGGAACGTTTGCCATCCATTGACATTTTTTGCATAGCCTAAAGGCGGTTGCAGTTGACCGCCACTTCGTTCGCAATGGCCAATGGCATGAATTTCATTTGAATTATCAACTAAGCGCCAAAAATCATTTTGATTATCACTGCCATCTAGTCGAATTCGCAGTCTTGATCCGAGCACATTTATAACAGTCCCACTATTTGAATAGACATAAATGTTTATAAATTTTGTGCTAAACTAAATGAAGTTGAAATACATACATGCATGTGGATGTGACACAGCGTGGATCTAACGCCTCCAGTTTCATTCCAATTTTGAACTCATTCTGAGGTGGATCCAAAGCCTGTTTGAAACACTCGGGTGGTGCAGCCTCGCTGTTTGTTTCCTAAAATACATCCGATACATTTAAAAATCACTTCTGGCATTGCACGGGAAATTCGAAAACTTACTTTGAGATATTCATCCCAATTAAATACATGAAAACTTTCATATTGAAACGATCGCGTTGGTTGATGTGTATTTGTCGGACTATTACGTTTCACCGTTGCAGTTTTCACAATACTACCGGAACTTCGGTGTTCATTGTTATTATTTTTTGTACTATTGTTATTATTTACACTATTACTACTGCTCGATTTGCTATTTGACGTTGACGATGTCGGATATAATTTTTGGTTTAGCTGCTTATAAGATCCATATCCCTTAGAAGAGGATGCCAAACTATCTTTATTGGATTTTGTCCCATTTGGTCGCTGTGAACAAACAAAAAGAAATCGATGTTATTATACGACATAAAATCAATATTCGATCAAAATCGATTCAAAACTCACAAATTTAAATACGTCCAACGCATTTGACTCGGTTGATGTATGTTTTGGTGGTCTGCCTCGAACCTTGCCATTGACCGGAATAGCAGTCATGCCATTGCTATTTGTGATGATTTTCAATTTGGTTGGCGGCTGTGATGACGAATTGTTTATTTTATGCGATTTCTTACTGTTATTCATTGCACTGGATTTTCTTGTTTGTGTTGCTTAGATTCTGTTTCTCATTGCACATATTCTCTTATCGATAATTTCCACAATGTTCACCTAATTGTATGCTACACTTTTCGAATGAAAGAGAAAACAACAATATAAATGTTTAAACTGTAAACTACTTACAAATTGAATTCATGCTATCATCAGATTTGTGCAAACGAAATGCAACTGTTTTTAAACGATTTCTATGCTAACAATTTCCCACATGAATAATTTAATGAAAAAAAAAAACATTAAGGAGTCAATAAATGGTAGAAATGACCTAAAAACATCGATATTCGTCATCCGTTGGTTTGTGCAATTTTATGACTTCATTTGAATAATGAATAAATTCGTTCACATTTGCAATAAAAATTTGGTTCGTGACTTATGGGACGAAAAAAAATGCAATAAACTCAATAAACGAATACTGAACGATCAAAACACCCAATGAAATTGCAGAAGCAATTGGAACAAATCAATGGAATTTAGCTCACAACCACTTGAACACTAAACGGATTTATAAACAAAATTAAATAAAACTTATTTGTTTGTTATTGTACACGTATTTACTTTAAATATACGTTTGTTTACATTTTTAGCGCTGAACAAATCCATTACGAATCTATTTGCACAATAGTTTTGATTTTAAAATGATTCCGTAATTAACATATTTCACACTATTAAATAAAATGTAAAATAAATACCATTCAGTGGATGTAATTCACGCGATTGATGATTTTAAATTAAAATTCAATCGAATCGAATCGAATGCAAATGTTTTATTGGAAAAAGAACTGATTTTGATTTCAGTTTCACAGAATCAACCAAATATAAACATTTATTCGCTTGTATTCGATCAATTTTACCACAGTATTTTCGCTCTTTAATCAATTCGATACAGCGCCATATTTTTTTTTTCGTCAATATTTTGGCATTTGTTTCTGTTGTGTTTGTTAGTGTAGCGGAGTACGTTTAATGAGAGGAACGTAAATAATACATTTGAAAGGTTTTTCTTATTGAGCTGCGAATGTGTAACAAAGTGGATACAACGCCAACTGGTGGCAACTAGCACACAACTCTATACTATTATTGTAGCACAATGGATTTTTATCAATTTATATTTAATTTACTTGATTTCATTGGTAAAAAATAGTTTGGATTTGTAATTATGCGTACTTTGCTTGAGCTAGTGGTGAATTTTTCGTTAGCCGTCATATTGATTGAATATACTCATTTGTAAAACAAATTTGAATGTATTCGAAAAACATGATTTGTATAAAGGGTCAAAATCAAATCAATCATTTGAAGCGAAAAACCTTCGAGCGACTTGTCGTTCGATAAAATTAGTATGGGTTGAATGACTGTTAAGTAGTTCACTCGAGATGAGTCGTTTATGCGTAACCTTTTGAAATCAAACATTAATTTCACGTAATTTTGTTAATTTACACCTGCACATTGCGACATGCAAATATCTTGCAACAAATGTTCCAAACGTAAAATCCACAAGTGAAATGAATACTTTAGTGTACACCTTAGCTAACAAAAATCATTGGTTGATTTGTAATCGGTTCTGATTACGTTTGTAAAATGATAATTTATTCCAAGAATTGGTAGCTTCCGATTGATTCATTCATTGACGCGTATAGAAACTAATTTATGCTTATCAGTAAAACTCTGCGACATTGATTTGTACGATTGAATGTATAATGGTAGCAATTCAAATCTTATGTAAATATACATATGAATGTGTATCAAATTTTAAACGAAATTTTCGCTGCTTGATAAGGAGATATAATTAGTGCCAAAGGTATTTTTGATCGTATTTGCATAAAACGATGTTAGATTTAAATATACAACTCGAATATTCAACGGCTTTGTATGAAAAACGAGATTTTTATAAATACGTATTCCAATCAAAGACTTACTTCTAACTACTATGACGTCCTTTTCGATATTTTTTTCCTGATATTTTATCCCATTTTCTGTGCATTCATCAGTTTTCCATCAAAATAAATTTTTTCTAATTAAATTCTGACTCTTTTCTTACATGATTTAATTTTAAGCACAGGTTATTTAAACGTCCAGCACACTTCATCAAGGTGCTATTTGCACATTTCAAATTCAATTACCATGAAGCTACAGTACGGCTATAGCATCTGTATAAATTTTAACACGAATTCCCTGATCGCCATGCTTTACATAAATGTAATTGCTTTAGATGACATTTGAGTTGGTATTATGACGCGAGCATATTGATACAATTAAATTTAAACCTCTTATTTCCACCTTTGCAACTTCTTCAGCCAAAAGCTTTAATATGATGCAAATCATGCGAAATGTTTCACTTATCTGATGTCATCCAACAACAACAACAACGAAATACGTGTCAAATGTTCCCTCCGCGATTGGAGTCCGCTCATCTTAAATCAAAATTCAATAACAATCCGTCTAAATTCAACGGTATTCCATTCATGATCCATCTATGGCGCGTGATGTAGACAGTGTCGTGCTTATGTTGATTCTTAACTCGATTTCAATGAATGAATGTTTGCGATGCGCACAATCACCAGCAAGCATGTTTGCTCTGCATGAATTTCTTCGCGATTCCCCTCACTGTAGCACAAACACCGTAAAGTACAAGCAAACTGATCAATTGTTGATAGAACTTATAACTATCTCCAAAAAAAAGAAAACAAGTTTGCAATTTCAGAAAGTCAAATGACGTCTTTTGCTAAATGAGCGAAAAACCCACGTTATTCCCCATTAGGTCCGAATATGACGAAACCATTTCAACCATATTTTTCATCGTATTTTGAATAAAAACAATAACTAAATAAATCAAGATGTTAATTTATTCAACTCTTTCTTTCAGACCTTTGCAACATTAAAAAAAAATTGGACCGAAGGAAAAATGTTGTTATTCACCCTTCAAATTAGTAGCAAAACCATAAGATTTCAAATTAATAAATGCCAATTATCAATCACATCAATTGTTTAAAAAATTGATTAGCAAATGTGAAAAGTTACCGGTGCATAGATTCGCCACAGCGTCACGTAGAAATATTACTTGGCGCTATGAAATTCCCACGACCCGCTTAACGAATTGATGAGTATCACTTTGAAAAGAAAACAGTGTTTCACACAAACCGAACGGTGCTTGCACGCATCGAAAATGGCTTATCAAATGCGTAAACATCCAATCTGAATTTGCTATCGTATCGGCGAAACAACACACAGAGAGAGCGATATAGACATATACATACATACATCGCAAACATTGTGTCGACAGTGACGACGATGACGAAGGCAGGCAGCTCGCACTCAATTTTGGTATTAAAAGGAACACGCACGACGAAAATATGGTGATTTGTTCGTGAAACATTGAACTAAAAACAACTTGTTGAATAAACTCTGGCAGTTGTGGCTCTGTATTCCGTTGTTGAATATACGAACAAAATTTTGTGATTTGTAGTGCAGTGTTAAAAAATTAATAAAAGGTGAAATAAAATATTTTGGTGTTAGCATTTTTTTGTGCATTTTTTCCTGGATTTTTCTCTAGCAATTTTTTTTTCTGTTGCCAATTTTTTTCCATCGAAACAAAAATCGTAAAATCGAATTTTATGCAACAGGGTGGATTTTAGTGCCACTCGATATTTTTTAAACAGAAATTTTCAGGAAAAAAAGAACCGATCAGCAGTGAGTTATCATTCGATTTATTTACATCAATTTTCTTTTGTTTTCTACTTTTTCCATTTTGCTCTAGTAAAGGTAGTACGGCTCAGTCTCCAGAATTTAAAAAATATTTCAAGCAGATTGAATGTTATTTCAAGTTTTGTCGAAGACAATAAAATCAATTGAGTATTTTCAACGAATTGACGCGATTAATTTAAAAAAAAAAGAGAACATAGGACATCAGCATAAATTTTCACCCTTTGAACTTTCATAAAACACGATCAATACTTACGGCTGATTAAATAAAGCCTGTACTGTTTAATGAGCCGGTGATAATTTTAGACGGCACGTATACACTCTTCTCAAATCGATAATTTCCATTGTGATTTCTATATACATGTCAAAACTACTCGTATTGTGGACAAAAACGAGCAGCAAGCCATCAAACTCGGTCTATAAAATTGATCGATAAAATAAAGGCAATATACATTTTTTTCCAAGCAACAGTGAAAAACTAAACGTCCAGAGAGTGAGAGTGACCGCTTGTTTGAGCTATTTAAATACTTGTGCATTTCAAACGGATTTTTGTACGAAAACAAACTTTTGATACGTGACTGCTGACGACGGATTTGTCATTCATCAGTGCCATTTTTGTTGTTGTTGTTCGAAAAATTAAAAGCTTCGTAGCTGATTGTTGTGAATTCGCATATCCCTCCTTTCGGCATTCAAAAAATATGGTTAATCACAGAAAAGGTTAGTGCCTCCTTTTATACGAAATTGCATACCTGAATACCGTCTCTTGATGCAGTTTTGATGCTCTCACATTTAAAAAAAATCATTTTGCACAAACTATGTTGGTATTTCTCTTCATTCTGAAATTCAAACTTTTGATGCATTCTTTTGGACAATATTTCTAGAGAAAAACAATTCGGAAACATTTTTTTAATGCTTTCAAATAGTTGGACACTAACAAAAAAAAAATCGCAACCCAAAAACAAACGAAAGAAAAAGATATTGAAAACATTGAACCGAAAAACGATTCACTCGAATTGAAATATCAACAAATGCAGGATATTCTCAAGAGAAATCAAAAACAATTGGCTATTTATAATTCTGTTGTATGCTTCTAGTCTTATTTATTTATTCATCTATTTACGAATGCTCTGTTTCGAAATCTATGCTATTTTTTATGTAATTTATTGATTTTCCTCAGCAGTGTGGAAGACAACGAGCGACAATAAAACAATTACTTGTTGCAGCACTTTCATTTGTTTCACTCTTCACGGATAATTTTATTTAATACATCAAATACCACGATGTAATTTAAATGCTGCCATTCTATTGTGTTAAAAGCCATTAAACACTGTATCCATCGCATCACTCACTTCGAATCAACGCCGTGTTGATATGCGTCTTGATCAGAAAAAAGTGCAAACAACATCGAAATAACAATTAGCGTGTGCAAAGAAGCAAAAGAATCTAATTGTCTGTCTAATAAAACGTAATTTATAAATTTGCTCATTTTTGTTGAGTTCGAACCCACGAATACAGTTCTTCTAACGGATTTACAAATACCATTTGATTTGCGACAGGCTCTCAGTAGGTTTTGGATGTATTTTTTTTAAATCCAAAGTGTGAGCCGTGCACTAATTCGATTTTCCGGTAAATCAAACGCGAACAAAAACAATGTATTGAATTATTAGCAATGTCAATTAAATTAATTATTTTGATAAAAGTCTTCTAAGTAAGCACAAATCAGCACGCCAAAAACTAATTATAATCTTGTGTTAATAGCATTTGTTACGGCTGAAACACCGTCTTCATCGGCAATTCATAGAAAATGAAAACAAACCTTGCGAAATAGATTGAATTCGATTATTCTTGTGCTTGATTGTTCGGTAAGATTCCTTTTGATTTTCGTGTACTTATAGCCGCCAAGAATCCATAGACAGTACGTAAATTGGCATCAAGACATAATGAAGTAGTACTCATACGTGTAACACATTGAAAAAGGCCAGGTTTGGCAAAAAACACTCGAACAAATAAATATTGATGTGAATTTGATTTCAAAATTGTAAAGTAAACAGTCGATTTTATTCATGACAAATTCTAACAAAATCGACCTCACCAAACATTCTCGGACACATCAATTCAATTTATCCCGAACGCCAAAAGTCAAATTACTTTTGTCCAAACAGTTGGTTAAAATCTGAATTTTGGTCACAAACCATGTTTATGGCTTATAAAATCCTGTTAAAGCTTGTTTTATTATATTGAAGGGTTCAAATATGTCAGAAGCAATTTTATGACAAACCTCACTTTATTGACCAACAAAATTCGTTTGACCATAAGCAAGTGTAAGCACTGTGTGTAAGCTTTTCACAGTTAGAAGGTATGTGATGTATTCACACACAAAAACGCAACAATAGAAAGTGATTATAATAAATGGACAAACCAATTCTTTTCTTAAGTCAAATGACAAAATCTTGGTATCCTTTATCGTAACACTAATCACAAAGGATACACAAATAAATAGACTATTTACAACTTTGGGACATGATTTTGAGAAAATAAACTGTTTTATATTTAAATTACTGCAATGAGATGTGTTACTAAAGAGTTTGTACTTCGTAAAATATGTAGAAATAACACTCACTTCAATCTCATAAAAATCGACTACATTTTTCTATCCATGATGAATAACATCAGACTCTTGAACCACACTGAATTCTTTATGGAAATGTGTATCTTATTTACTTTCTTCATTCTTAACATTTGCCATAAATATAAGTGGTTTTCGAAATTCGTTCATTTGTTTTTCACCATTCTCTGGAACGTTTTTTTTGCGTTGATACTTTGTAGCTATTTGAATGGAGGGTGAAAATATGTTATGATAAAAATGACTTTTCTTGAAGAGTATGAATTGCCAATTTGCTACTTTGTATGTTTTTGTATTTATAAAATATTCAATGGATTTCGGGAACCATTCAAAAATTTACATCCTTTTAATAATAAAATCTGACACTTCTAGCAGAACGTTAAATGAAGCGTAATAGATTTCTTAATCATTTTTTATTGAGCGTTTAAGATGACGCACAACACTTTATGTGTTAGCATAACGCCAAACTCACAACGAATTAGTCATTACAATTTTTTCGTAAATTGATTTATCGCATATTGCGAGGGCGAAATGACACGTTTAGTAAGAACGAAAACAAACAATCCAAAGCCAACGAAACGTGTCAATTCGTTTGAAAAGCGCGAGAACAGCATCATAGAAACGTAGATTCTAATATTCGAATGGTGTATTACACATTCGATTAAAATGAAATTGAACAAATCGCTTTCAATGCTAAATAGATATATGAACAAAAGTGAGAGTTTCATCGTGAACAAAATATCCTTGTAAACTAGCACGAAAAAACTTCCCTTAATAATGATGTTGGCCAATAAATTCAGATTAAGGGTTTTTTTTATTTGAAAAGTTAACCCCTGTTTATGTCGAAAATACGGTTTTTTGTGCGAGAAAAAAGAAGGTTATTACTTTAAATTTACCCTTAAATCACAGTTAAACATAAAACTAAATTTGCGTAATTTTTCATTAGCCTTTCAATTTTCTCACACATTTCGTTTTGTAATAAATGTGTTGGTATCACGGTTCACCCATGCGTAAGAACTTGACAACCATATAAAAGCATCTATTTGAAACTTCCTTCACATTTTTTATTATCCAAAATTATGCAGAAACTTTCCGCGAGAATTTCTTCGGCTGTATGCTTGTAAATCTCGTCTTTGGGACGAGAAAAAAAGGAACATTTTAGAATACTTCTGGTTTGGATTTGTTAAAAGGAAGGTAAAACTTAAAGTCGAATAAAGACAATATTTTCAAAAATAATGTCACTAATTTGGCATTCACCAAATATTTGTTGAACGTAGTTTGAAGAAGAAAGTACTAAAGTTTAATCAGAAAAGCTAAAACTTTCTCGAGTTATTCAATGATAATTTACTGGAAAAAGAAGGATCGAGAAATTATATGAGCTTCTGAGGTGTTTTTGCATGATTTATTCTCACGGTGACCTTTTCACACTCGTCACATGTCAATATTTCGGATGTTCACATCTACATACTGAATTATGGAAATCAAATAATGAAAACCTTTTTCTTGTATTGTTCTCTCTTGCGTGATGCTTTTCTTCGTTCTTTAAACAAGTCAAATAGTTGATGAAGTTGAACAATGGAATTTAAAATACGAAGTGAGTTCGTGGAATGGTTGCAACCGAATAAAAAGATAGTTCATCTCGAAGAGAGTGTGTGCAAATTTGGTGAACGCTTCAAGTGTAAACGTGGAATAATAACACGTTAGAGTCTTTTCCTTTTTTTCATCAATAAATACAATGAACATATCTGACCACATTCGACTCTCAGGGGAACTGCAAGCTTGACGCTACCAAAACAAGTGGGAAAAATTCACAAGATTCGGAGAGAGAAAAAAATCTCTGTCCAGATTCTGTTAACGTTGTCAAAGTGCTTCGCAAAACGGTAGTTTGTGCCACTGTCCTTTCTATTGATGTGTAATTGTGTTTATATTCTGGAGAAATTCAATGAAATGCACTTAGAAAATCGAATTTGAACATTTGAAATTGGTTTCATTCGTTTTGAGTTGGCCACAAAGCGATTCAAGACTTTTTTAAACTTTAAATGTTTTATTGCTTTACTGACAGGGTCATACCATTCAAAGTCACATTCAAATCGAATTTTTGTTATATCCAATAAAAATCGAATTCATGACGTGAATTTTTCATTACAAATTTGGAAGAAAAAAATATCAAATGCAAGCAAAATCATCTCTGACCAGAATACGAAGAAATAAATCAGGATTTCAGTGATTCACTTGATGCGATCGAAAAACAAACAACAGCCCACAAGTGTGCGTGTCACTCATAATGCAGGCACTAAATACTGACCATGCGTATGGAAATAAAACTGAAGTCGAAGAAACAGTGTAATCAAAGTGCTCTACCAAAATTTGAATCAATTCCCCTTTCATGCATACATAAAAATACGCAACTTTTCCATTCTGGACGTTTTATGACATTCATTAGAGGCGTCGTATTCTGAATTTTTCATGAAACGTTACTTTCTCCCACGTAATTTCCTTTATATTGAATAGATTTGACCAATATAACTCATGCCAAGAGCTTGCCAAGCAGTAAAATACGCTCGGGGGAGTATTTTTCTGTTGACTTAGTATTTCCAAAATAATAAACAAAGGTGAAAAAATTGCGGTACATTTCAGATGGTAGTGAATTTACAAATTAGATGCTCCAAAATAATTATCCTCAGGTGCTAATATAAAGAAAAAACTCGAGTTCGTTGTTTGAATTTCTCCGCAAATTCACCAGTTTCCATAGAATGCAAATTTATCAGACGTTAAGAAGAAAACATCCTTGAAGAGAGAAAAAACACGGCATTTTTTTACGGGAACCGCATACATTTTTTTATATTTCCAATCGATGCGGATTTTTTTCTGGTAGTTTAAATAAACACAAGGAAAATAGAAAGATGTGTGGGCCGTGAGTTCGAGTAAAATTCACAGATCTTCAACCTTTCCTTCTTTTTAGTATTGCTCCCTCAAAAAATTGATAGCCGTGTAATGTGCTGATAACAATATCAATTACTATGAATAATAATGCCACTTTGGAAACTATGACTCTCGGTAATTGCATAGACCCAAACATTTTACCTTTTTTAAC